ATGGCCATAAATACTAATTTGGCCCAAGACGTGAGTTGGTTGTTAAATTGGACGGTTAATCGTGAGTGAGCCAACGAAAATGTTGATTTGGATGCCACGTGGTATGAAGAAATTAATAAAAAAAATAATTTAAATAAAATTATAAAAAACTAATTCTTTGCCATTTATTTCAAATTAACAAATAAAAATGTTCAAATCCCCTAGCCGCCGAACTAATCTCCTCATCACTCTATCCTCTCCACTCTTGCCAAAATCCCCTATCGTCCCTGCCAGAATCCCAAAATTCCAAACCCATAATCCCTAGCCACATGTCGCTGAGAATCCTAAAATCTTCATTCGTCCATGCCAAGAATCCCCGCCCAGAAGACATCGGGAATGAAGGATGGAGCAAGGAATCGACGACCGAGATCGATGATGGCTATATGTGGCGGGTTGTTGTTGCTTGCATCGGCGGAGACGGAGTGGGGAAATCAACAGATTGTATCTCCTTTTTTGGAGACAATTTCAGCATGAAATGAATAAGGAGAATCGGAGACCAACATTCAATTCGAGATTATCCTGCGGTACCAATCCGATGCGATGAGGAGCAACATACATAGGGCGGCGGCATCAAAATCCTTGCCCTCTCTCTCTCTCTCTCTCTCTCTCTACACATGGCAACATGCGGTTGCTTGTTCTTCCCGATTTTGGTTGAGTCAATGTCGATGCAGACGCAGACGATTGTAGCTCGGTTGGCAAAGATTTTGACTTTCCAAGTGACACGGTAGTTGAATCGGACTTTGAGTCCCCATGACCGTGATGGCTATCGGAATTCCAGAAAAATTTAGGAATCTTTGAAGTCCATTGCAGAAGTGCAAACTCCAGTTGTATGTCATCCTTCATTCTTCTTTGACTTGATGGCCGCCACGAAGAAGATACCCCCTAGTCTCCACCTTGCATCTTTTACCCCACACTTTAATTATGGCTTTTGGACTTCGTAGGGGCAGTGGGTCTAGATAGAACTCATATTTATGCAGTCATCAAGACCAAGCCTACTCAAGAAGAAGTTCCAATGACTCGTGCTAAGGCTAAGGCTCTAAGGGATCAAGTTGCAAGCTATTTGGGTTCTCAATTGAAGATCATGGACGAAGGAATGCTAGAGAAGAAACCCATCACAATGTTACGATATATGGACCAGAATGAAGAGAAGATGAGCTTAGAAGAGGGAGGAGTGGATTCGGCCTAGAAGGAATAAAGATCTCCCATGGTGTGAAAGGAATACAAGTGTGAAAGTAATCATAGGTGTGAAAACATGGAAGTGGGCGGATTTGAAGGAGTGATTCTAGGGTGGTTGTTGATTTAGTCTTTACTTGTTTGTTAAGGATTTGTTTTTCCTTTTAATTGTAGGATTTTGTCATTTTTTTGCTTTCTTTTTATATTTTGGATTAGTGTTAGAGAGTCTATAAATAAGGGGCTGAGTTCCTCATTGTAATCATCAACTTTATTCAATCAAATACAAGTGAGTGTTTCGTGTCTTAGCGAATGTGTTTGCTTAAATTCTCATTTGAAGATTCGGGGGGTTTGAATGTCTCTTATCAACTAGAAGATCACATCTAGTTGTGGCGAGTTCGAATCTATCAGTTGACCCTTCTCATAGGTTCGAGATTGTTTGATTGATATCCCTGACTGTCTTTATTTTCGTGTTAAAGAAGAAAGAAGACAACCCCTACAAAAGATTGACGTTTGCAACTCTGGGAGGATTTTCCAATTATGGTCATGTCAAGTGGTATCAAGAGCCGGGTTCAAACACAGTGGAGAAGATGAAGGTTTTGGTGATTCTTGGCGTGACCTTGAAGCAATCTTGAGGATTCTTGTGCATCAAGAAGACTATCTTAAGGAGAGGAATTCATGAAGCTTTGGAAGGTCGACAATGGCGGAAAATCAAGCAATTCAAGACGCCAACGTAGCAGCATCCCTACAACAAATTTCCGCCCAAAGGCAACCTTTACAATGAGGTTGGAAGCATTGGAGAGACGTGATCAAGATCAGCCTCAACTACGAGATCAAGAGCCACCCCAACAAATTGAGAATGCAAACCCTAACCCTAGGGAACAACGAGAGAAAAGGAGGGTTGGATGAGCCATTCAATGTCCTTTGTATGAGCATGTTATTCGACATAGGCCATTGGGAGGGTAGGAGGGTTCAAGGAGAGAATTTCCTTTCTATGACGAAGAAGGTTATGAAGAGTACGAGTATGATGGAGACGCTTACCTACGTGTAGATGATAATGATCTACGAGGCCTTAAGGTGACGTTCCAATGTTTAGAGGTACAATTGATCCGGAAGCATATCCAGATTGGGAGTGCAAGATGGAGTTGATCTTTGACAACCAAAATTACTGGGAAAAGAGGAAGATGGCGATGGCTTGTATTGAGTTTACGGACTATCCATTGGCTTCGTGGGATCAATTGTGCATGAAGAAGAGAAGAGAAAGGCGCAGGACTATTAAAACATGGGATGATATGAAGGGCATAATGAGAGATTGATTTGTGCTAAGCTATCATCAACGGGAGATGCACCAATCATTGCAACTTCTTCGACAAGGCAACAAGAGTGTCGAGGATTACTATCAAGAGATGGAGCTGCTAATGATTCAAGATAATGTTCGTGAAGATAGGGAGGCTACCATAGCTCGATTTCTACATGGTCTTAATTGGGAGATCCATAATATTTTGGAGGATCAACAGTTTGTGGAGATAGAGGACTTGGTGGCTATGGCCAGCAAGGTGGAGAGGCAACAAAAGAATAGGAGGTTTCTACCTCTACAAGTACTCCGAGGGCTACTGACTCGCACGAAACTACACCGTGAATTAATCCCGACTAGAGCCCAAGTTTTTAAACTCTAGTCGAGTGCAGTATAGGGCAAGTATTTAAATTATCAACCCGGGTCGGTCCATGTACCCCTACTTCAATCGCTTAAATTGTTATCTAGCAAAACGGTTTTGGGTTTTAAACTATGAAAACTACAAATGAAAACAAGGAAAGTAAATGGAGGAGAATTCTACTTGAGAGAGCTTCACCCGGGTATTGCTCCCCCTAGGCTCATGCCAAGAAGCGAAAAACAAAGCTCTAGTATGAAGGACGTGTTCATACACCGCTAGGTGGCCGCAACTAGCTAGGGACAAACTCCCTTAGTCGATCAATGAAGGAAAATCAACAAATGTAAGCTAGGAGAACTAGCTCTCTTAATCGTTAGGTCAAGGATTGCGATTCATAGCTAGAGAGTATAGCCCGCTTTATCGATCAACCAAGCAGATCCCTAACTCTCTCTTAGTTAGCTAATTGAGAATCGTTGCAACAAGTTAGAAAGCTAACTCACTTAACCTTTCGACTAAGAGTGACAACGATGGGCTAGGAAACCTAACCCTCTCAACTAGCTAGCTAAGGATGGAAAACCAAACCCTCGGAACTTCATCAGGTCGGCGGAGAGAGCTAACTCGGTGGAATCACGGACCTACTCCGATATTTGATATTTTTGTCTTAATTGACCTAAAGGAGGTTACCCAAGTGGCTAAGGAGTCTAGATCCTAATTGTACCAAGAGGAGATTTCCACCCTCTAGGTTAATTTCACCCAATATTGAGTTAAAGCTAGCACACTCAATCATTCATGAATGATACCTCAAATATTATATAAAACACTCAATCAACACAAAAGGTTCATGTTCTTACATCCTAACACATAGAGAGACTAGGATTCACAATACTCAAGTGTTAGGTAGGCTATTTCCATAGCTAAACAAGATACAACAACAAAAAGGAGAGAAACAACCATGAAGTGATGTCAATCTTTCCTCCTTGTTGCTTGAGACACCCTTGAGCTGAAGAAATCTTCAATCCTCTAGGTAGGAACAAGCCCAAAGCTCAATCTTCCTCCTTTAATTTGCACTTTCTCACTCTAGAAGAAACCCTAAACTCTAACTAGAATCCTCTTTATTCTGAAAAATGAAAACCTAACCTAAATGAAGCTCTTCCTTTCTTCTTCCTTTCAACTCACATTTTATACCAGGATCGGGCTCAGCTCACGGCCTCAGTTCACGACCATGAACTCTTCAACGCTTCCATGAACACAGAGCGTTGTGTCGAAACGCATCGCTTCACTTGCATGAGTTCACGGTTTGCACTCAATGTTCACGGTCTTGTTGACGGTGAACTCGCCTTGCGCTAGTAACTGCAAAAATCGCCCTGGGCGCTTCGCAGTTCATGGTTTATGGCTTCAGTTCACAGCCTTAGGAGACCGTGAACTCCAATGAGAAACCGTGAACATGGCCTGAAACCTGGACTCTTGCACTTCACTATTTCTTCGATTTTGCGCTTTTTGACCTCCAATTATCCCAAAATTCGACCTCGACCCTTCCACACGTGCTAGGAACTGAAATGTATCAAAACAAGCATAACCTAGCATGAAATATGTTGAGGAACGATGATCTACTAAGCTAAGCGAATAAGAAATGAGGGGTAAATGTGTACATTTGGGCCCGAATCACCTACTCCGAGTATTCCTCCAAAGGTGGAGGCTCCAAGCCCTAGTACCAAACAAGGGACATCATCTGGTGGGATTCAATGCTTTAAGTGTCATGGATGTGGGGCATATTGAGAGCCAATGCATCAACAAGGAGAGCATTGATACTATTGGAGAATTGTGAGTATGTGTCCGATGGTGAAGAAGTTGAAATAGAAGAAAAAGATTCATCTGATTATGAAGTAGATGGAGACACCTCTGGGCAAATTGTTTGTAGCTTGAAGGGTATTAAACATCCAATCAAAGGAAGAGCTTGAGAAACGAGAGAACCGCTTCCATACGATGTGCGTGGTGAATGGGAAGACCCTTTCGGTTGTGATTGATGGAGGAAGGTGCACCAATGTGGTTAGCGCAAGTTGTGTGAAGAAGTTGGGGTTGAAAACATCGATTCATCCAAAACCCTACACTCTTCAATGGCTCGATGAAGATGGTTTGATCAAGGTAGCAAAGCAAGCCTTATTGAAGTTTACCATTTACAAGATAAAGTGAAGTGTGATGTGGTGCCTATGAAAGAAACTCATATCCTACTTGGGAGGCCGTGACAATTTGATTGATGTGCACAATATGATGGTGTCGCCAAAAAGTACACGTTGTTGCACCAAGGTAAAAGGATTGTATTGAAACCTCTTTCTCCTGGGGAAGTTTATGAAGATCAATTGCAAATGAAATAAATACGAGAGGAGAAGAAGAAAGCTCAACCCACATAAGGTGCAAAGAAGGGTTCGAGTGGCTTGGAGTCCAAGGCATTAACAATGTTGAAGGATCGGTTGGAAGGAGAATGCACCAAGTTCATTGCAATGTTGAAGCAGGTGCACATCAACTTACCATTCATGGAGGCCCTTGCCCAAATGCCTAAATGTGCCAAGTTCTTGAAGGACATCATTAGAAACAAGAAAAGGTTGGGGATCTATCCACGGTGATGCTCGATGAAGAGTGTTCTGCCATTATGAAGAACAAGCTGCCAAAAAATGTAAAGACCCAGGAAGTTTTACTATCCCTTGCACTATTGGACCCATACATACTGAAAATTACATGGCTGGCCTAGGGGCTAGTATTAATTTAGTTCCATAATATTTTTCTTTTTTTTTGTAGAAAACTAGGCCTAGGTGAACCCTCTACCACTAGGATGAGCATTCAAATAGCAGATGGTTCTATTATGCATCCTATGGGAATTATGGAGAAGTTACTTGTTAAAGTATGTACATTCATATATTCTGCTGATTTTGTGATCTTGGACATATATGAGAATGTGAATGTACCACTAATCCTAGGTAGACCCCTTTTTGGACAGCGCCAAAGCCTTGATCGATGTGAATGATGGTAAACTTATCCTGAAAGACAGGGAGGAACAAATCACCTTTTTCCATTTCTGATAGCATTAAACACTTAGATGTGCATGATGATATGGTGGACCTCACACCCGAGCAGAAGAAAAGAATGGATGATCTATAGAGCTGTTTGTGATCTTTTGGCATACTATGATTGACGTTATTCTTTCTATCTTTTGTTTGTTTATGCCTTTATGTTTACTTTTGTACGATAAAATGAGTTCCTAAGTTGAGATTTCACCCCTTCGTGGTGCAAACATTGAAATCCTAGTCGCATAGATAGACCTTAACTATTAGGATTAATCAAACGAATCACACTTTTATCAGTTTTTTGAGAATTCCCTTTCAGATAATGGAACTCTATTATAAGTGCATTTAACATGCATTACTTTCTTCCAATCCTTAAAATCTTGGGACCAACGGAGATGATAGTTTTATACGATCGACCCTCGATTTGATCAATCATCGTGATGCTTTAAGAGAGAAATGCGAAGGGTCCTTGTTGCCTGCCAGACCTAGGCAAGAATCCTTGGCACAAGGTTGGATTAGATCACATAATAATCAAGCAACTCATACTTTTCCACGATCAAGATTTGAGTCAAGGAACTCTAGGGGGAGCTTTGCTTGTGCAACGCCTCGTCCTCCTGCGTTCTACACTCGCATAGTTATAGATTTCCTTTTACCTATCACTTTTACTTTAGATTTCTATAAACCCAAGGGAAACTTCTAACCCGGAGGAACCACAACCTCCAAATTCATTTTAAGAGATCCTAGAACTCGTCCCTAATCATAGGGGTGGGCATACAGTTCGGTAAACCCGAACTGAACCAAGCCGAAACCGATTTATACCGAACCGAAACCAAAATATTGTTATTCGGTTTGGAGTTCGGAAAGGAAATGTGCCTAATTCAGAAACCAAGGTTCTTTCAACCGAACCGAGATTTCGAATTCCGAACCGAAAAACCAAAATAGGCTGCCCAAATGTCCCATGCCCAGCCCAATAACCCTCCTCTCAGAAACCACCCACAGCCCAACTGAAGCCAAACCCTCCCCCAAACCCAAATCTCCCCGCAACCCAACTGAGCCCAAAATCTCACAACTCACAACCCTAGCCCCCAGGAAGCTCGTCCCCTTCCCTAATTCCCTTCCCCACTCATCGGTCGCCGCTCCTCTCCATAGCCGTCTTCTCGAGGACCTCGACTTCGACTGCTCTCCATCACCAACATTCATGCAACACAATCACCTCCGTCCCATGCAGAGCACAACGGACTGAGCTAGGCATCCCCATCCGCTCTAGTCCCGTAACCAAAAAACCTGCACAATCCATAAAAATATCCCAAATCGAATAAGCAAAACGAGGGAGACTGAAATCGAAAACAGAGAAGATCAAGTGAAGCTCGAAGGAGAAATGCAAACCCCAAAAAAGGCCATGCATGCTTGTATCTGCTAACCTCTAAGCTCTAACCTTCATCGTCGAAGTCGTCACCATCGCCGGCGTCAATCGCCATTGCAGCCTGCCGTCCTCGGTCGATTTCTTTTCTTCCCTTAAAGATCTATGTCGCTTCGAGATCAACAATGGATGAGAGATCTCTACCACTGCAGCACCGCTGCTTTGAGCATTGCGTGATGCTCGTCGGCCGCCTCTTTGTTTATTGGTTGGGTAGAGAAACAGAAAGAGGGAGAGGGAGAGAGAGAGAGAGAGCGAAAGTGAGGGCCAGAGAGGGGAGAGAGAGTTTTTGGAAATCAAATCAGTAAAATGCTAAGAGAGGGTAAAGTAAAAGAGAGAGATGGCGTCTTTTGCTATAGAAATCCGGGTTTGGCCGAAATTCCGAACCGAATTGGAATTAAATTGGGTTCGGTATATTTCGATTCGAAATCGGTTTCAAGTATGGAGGATTCGGGTGATCCGGTATGCATATTTCAGTTCAAACCGAACCGAATCGATGCCCACCCCTACCTGGTCACATGAGCAAGTGGTGAGAGACCCTAGAGAATTAGAATCCTAGTGCTAATTTGGAACACTAGTACAAGTGGATCAAAGAGGAAGATCACCTAGATCACGGAGGTGATCTGAGAAGGTTTCCCATGATCTCCAAAATGGCGTCGCAATGATTAGTTGCACTATTGACTTTGATAATCATGAGACCGGAGATTATGTGCATGAACTCAGGTTCACGGTCGTGATCTTGAGTTAATGAACTATAGAGTTGCTTGTGATCTACCTCATTTTGGTCGTGATCCTCTTTGTTTCTTGTCAATAAAGATCATGAAGAAAATAGGGTGGTTCACTGTCGTGATCTTCAAACTGCATGGGCGTGAACTTCACGGCCAGAGATCACGGTCGTGATTTTCAAGGTCTGCCTGCGATCTTCTGGATTTTCCGTCATTATCTTCTACACTTGTTCTCCAAGACTCGAATCATGCCCAAATCTTTACATTTCTTGGTAAGACCTAAAAATGTAGTAAAGAAATCACCATAGCCTAAAATGGAGCAACTGTGGACACAATTATGGTAAATAAGCATGATAACACCTAATAATGGAGTATTTAGTGCTTATTTAGGTGAGATCAATTTTAGAGTCACTATAGAAAAAAATATTGTTTATGTTGTCGATATTCATAGTCGAACAATTTATAGTTTACTACAGTTTCATGAAGATGCAACTCATAGAGTGCTTATATATTTGAAGAGTGAAGCGCCAAGGTCTTTTTTCTTCCATGGGTAGGTTCACTAAACATATTGCACTTTGTGATGCCGACTGGGGAGGTTACTTTATCTAGCTAGGTGCAAATCTCATTTCTTGGCATACAAATAAGCAAACTACTAATGCACGATCATCGGCTGAAGCAGGGTATTGATTCATGGTGAGTACATTAAGTGAATTCATCCGGCTTTGGTGGTTGTTGCATTAGTTAGGAGCAGCACAAATTGTCACCATGATCCTTCATTGTGATAATCAATCAACACATGTGGCAACGAATTGTTACTTTTGTGCATGAACATTGTGACATCTCAAAAGAAATCATAGATCAAGGAGTTGATCTCTTTAACTTCTCCTATTTGACTTCCAAGTTTGGGAAGTTACATGTCATCTTATTGTGCATGGTGTCGCAGGCGCATGGATTAAGTTGCCCCCTTTGTTTAATTTGGTGATTTGTGTACATTTATTCTTAGCCCAAGCCGAGATCCCTAGTCTGCAGTAAAAGGGTTCGGCCATATAAGCCCTAGGCTATGTATTGTTAAGCACAAGAAGAAAATATCAACAACACCTGAAAGCTCTACATCTTCATCAAGTAATCCCGTTCATACCTAACTAGGAAAGCACGCAGTGTTCCACTTCCCAGTACATAGCTAGTTTAAGGGGTTTCGAACCGAAATTTTGCAAGTAAAACCGAGAAGATGGCAGGAAGATACCACGAAGGGGAAAGGGAATACTACAACAGTCGGCTCAGACGTTTGATTCGCGGCAAGGTGCGATGACTGATGACATCGCAATAGAAGGTGTGGAAGGGATGTGCTGTGTTTAGCTTTAGGCGAAGAAATAAGAGAGAACTTTGAGACACCCGACTGTTCAAAATTACAATAGCAGAGAAGAAGTAAAAATATACAACACTAATAGTAATACAATCATTCCATCACGACATGTATGAAGCTCATTTAACTTCTTCGATTTCGTCCAAAGCATAGTTGTTCGTAGATACATTTGCGTAGTTAACTTTGTCGAATCGAACCACAACTGGGTAGCGAGTCTTGGGGTCCTGCGCAACCAGCAAACAGTTTGAGTGGATGATTAAAACCCACCAAAACAAGTAACAAAGTTTACAACTTGCAAATTTTATTTCTCACCTGATCAACAGCTACTACGGATCCAATCCCATTGAACCAGTAGGATTCCCTCCTCATAATCTTCACCTGTTGAACATGTTTTTAAAAACCCAGATACGTCAAACCTTACTGAACACAGAAAACGACTAATTAGCTTGCCTTGAAGGCCAGTAGTATATAGGGTTCTGTATCTGTAGAAACTAATCAGACGGGCTGGTTTTGGAATAGGAAGTCTAAAGTAGACCAAACAAATTTGAGAGCGGTCGTGCGCCTTTTAGACGGACTGGAATTCCAAATCAGTACTGCTCTTTTTTGGTCCCCTGTTTCTTGCTGTATGTTCAGTGAAAACCCAGTAGGGGGAAAATGGGAATGAGAAGCTAACCTTGGTTCCTCTCTTGGGTCCAATCGGTGGCGGCTTGACCTTAGCCTTAGGAGCTTCACCCTCAGCAGGAGCTGGAGTTGTAGCAGTAGCAGCAGGTGGCGCCGCTCCCTCGTCCGCGGCCGCCCTCACAACGAGCTGCAGCCGGGAACCGCTGCTGCTGTTCTTGGGTGCGAAAAACAAGAAGCTGCTGCCGCTGGTCTTTGAGGTTGTTGTGACGTTAGGTGTGAAGACGAACCCTGAAGCGGCCGATGCCATGTTGCAGCTAGCCATGATTCAGGGTGTGAAGCAGATAAATTGAAAACAGCAGAAGTTGCAGTTGGGGAGTGTGGCTTTTGAGTTTGAGCAATTTGTGTGGCCGGTTTTTTCCTTTTTTTTCCAGGGCTGGTGGCAAGTTAGAATTATCTCTATCTTGGAAGGTAAAGTTAAGGGGAAGATCGTTTCATCCACTGAGATAGTGCCACTTGGTCACCATATCTGGTTCCTATGGATAATGTGATTACAAGTCATCTCGTCTCCCCACCAACTTTAATAATTCGGATGCTCTCCACTCAACCCCAGCTGCGAGACGAGATCTAATGCCAATTTCAGAATTTCTCATGGGGCCAGTCTGTTACATTTTGGTGGAGTTTCGCTGCGTAATTAAAATTCTCCTCACTGTATTTGCTAGGCGGCTGAGATCTTGTGACTAAGGGTAGCTTAGTCAAATGATTAAATGAATCTCCACTCTTGTATCTCATTAAAATTTAATGGTCCAGATTAATTTCATTTAATAAAGGACAAGATAATAATTACACAAATTAATTAATTAATAATTAAATTAAAAATAAAAATTGGGCTGAATTAGCTGTCCCTTCCGCCGGCCGCCTGTTTCCTGAGACCTGCCGCCGACCACCCTGGGAATTCCGGTAGCTTTTCCGGCGATGGCCGAGGAGTCCGACGACTAGACATGGCAGAGATGGATTTTCCGACGACAGTGCTGGATTCGTGATGTTTGTCGACCTATTATGTAATGTTTATCATTCCAGTTTGTAATGTTTATATCACTTCGGTTTGTATCGTTTATCATTCTAGTTTGTTATTTTTATCTATTATGTTTGTAATGTTTATATGACGATTTTGTACATATTGTAAAATGTAATGTTTGTTTGTCTATTTTTTATATTTTAATGCTATGATTTGTATACTTTGTATTAATTTTTTTTTTAGGAAAGGAGGGAGCGCACCATCACAGATTTCGGGCGTTTTTCTAGATTGGCCACTTTTCTTGGATTTTGAAGGCGACGGATCACAGATTCGTCCTTAGGGTACTCTCCACCAATGATGAAGTCTACTCATCGCCGGTTTGGGCATAAATTTGGTCGAACTTTTGCGGATGGCATTTTGGTAATTTTCTTCGATTTTTTTGAAAGGCCGTTTTCCATGGATTTTGAAGGCTACAGATCACGTATTCATGCTGAGGCTATTCTTTAGGGATGAATGAGTCTATTAGACACCGATTTGGGCAAAATATTTCCGGGGCCATTTTTGGCAGATTCCAAAGGGGTACCATCACCGATTTCGGGCGATTTTTTGGAAAGACCATCCTTGGATTTTGAAGGCAACGGATCACAGCTTCGTCCATAGGGTACTCTCCACCAATGATGAAGTCTACTAATCGCCGATTTGGGCAAAAATTTGGTCGAACTGCCCCGCTGTCTCCGATATAGACCCGGTGAAATTGAATTCTCCGTCAAGATGCGGAGTACCAACGGCAAGACGGTAAGACCCCGTGCACCTGAACCATTTGCGGAGGGCATTTTGGTAATTTTCTTCAATTTTTTTGAAAGGTCGTTTTTCATGGATTTTGAAAACTGCAGATCACGAATTCAAGCTGAGGCTATTCTTTAGGGATGAATGAGTCTATTAAACACTGATTCAGACGAAATATTTCCAAGACCATTTTTGGCAGATTCCAAAGGGGTACCATCACTGATTTTGGACGATATTTTGGAAAGATCATTTTTCTTGGATTTTGAAGGCGACTGATCACATATTCGTCCTTAGGGTACTCTCCTCCAATGATGAAGTCTATTAATCGCCGATTTGGAAAGAAATTTGGTCAAACTTTTTCGGAGTGCATTTAGGTAATTTTTCGGCGCTTTATTTGAAACGCTGTTTTCCATAGATTTTAAAGGCTGCAGATCACTGATTCATGTTGAGGCTATTCTTTAGGAATGAATAAGTCTATTAAACACCATTTTTGGCAAAATATCTCCGGGGCCATTTTTGGCAGATTCCAAAGGGGTACCCATCACCAATTTCAGGCGATTTTTTGGAAATGTCATTTTCCTTGGATTTTGAAGGTGACGGAGCATAGATTCGTCCTTAGGGTACTCTCCACCAATGATAAAGTCTACTAATCACCGAATTGGGCACAAATTTGGTTGAAATTTTCTGATGTCATTTTGGTAATTTTTGGGCGAATTTTTCGAAAGGTCGTTTTTCATGGATTTTGAAGACTGTAGATCACGAATTCAGGCTGAGACTATTCTTTATGGATGAATAAGAATATTAAACACCATTTCGGGAGGAATATTTTTGGGTCCATTTTTGGCAGATTACAAAGGGTACCATCACTGATTTCGGGCGATTATTAGGAAAGGTCATTTTTCGTGGATTTTGAAGGCGACGGATCACAGATTCGTCCTTAGGGTACTCTCCACCAATTAGGGAGGGCATTTTGGTAATTTTCGGTGATTTTTTTTGAAACGCTGTTTCCATGGATTTTGAAGGATGCAGATCAAGGATTCAGGCTGAGGCTATTCTTTAGGGATGAATAAGTTTATTAAAACTATTTTAGGCGAAATATTTCCGTGACCATTTTTGGCAGATTCCAAAGGTGTACATCACCGATTTCAGGCGATTTTTTGGAAATGCCATTTTCCTTTGATTTTGAGGGCGACGGATAATAGATTCGTCCTTATGGTACTCTCCTCTAATGATGAAGTCTACTAATCGCCGATTTGGGCAAAAAATTGGTTGAACTTTTGCTAAGGGCATTTTGGTAATTTTTCTTCAATTTTTTTGAAAGGTTGTTTTCCATGGATTTTGAAAGATGCAGATCACGGATTCAAGCTGAGGCTATTCTTTAGGGATGAATGAGTCTATTAAACACCGATTTGGGCAGAATATACCCGTTGACATTTTTGGCATATTACAAAGGTGTACCATCAACGATTTCAGACGAATTTTTGGAAATGCCATTTTCCTTGGATTTTGAATGCGACGGATCACATAATCGTCCTTAGTCAGAAATTTGGTCGTACTTCTTCAGAGGGCATTTGGATAATTTTTCGGTGATTTTTTTGAATCACGATTTTCCATGGATTTGAAGCCTGCGATCAAGCATTCATGCTGAGGCTATTCTTTTGGGATGAATAAGTCTCTTAAACACCGTTTTGGGTAGGGGTGGCTATACGTTCCGGTCCGGTTAAATTGGCCCGAACTGATCCGGTCCAGTCCGGTCTTTTTGAAAATATAGGGACCAAAGCTTGGATTGAGTACAGTCCGGTTTTGACCCAGTCCGGTCCCAATCCAGTTTTGACCTGTTTTGACCCATTTTGACCATGTTGCAGAAAATTCAGCAGCATATACCCATTTTCCTGGAATATAGACAACTTGTTTGTAGCAAAAATCAAGCCAAACATGGTACAATACAAAATCACAACCATCATTGATGTCTATTACAAACTCAAAGTCCAATTCAAACTTCAAAATAAAAATAAAGTGCATCACAAGTTCACAACCAAAGTTTAGATATCAAACACCAAATTCACTCCAATTTAAGAAATCCACCAAACCATTTCTACTCATCAGGTTCAAGAGAAACAAATGAAGCATTAGATCCACCTCCTTGATTCGTTCCACTCCTCGAACCAAACACATCACTCCCTCCGACATTGCTCGTACTTGTACCTTCATGTCCACTCACATGCTCACGCCTTTCCGCCTCATCCACCATAATAGCATTGTAAACTAAATGACATGGATCAAAAAAACATAATTGTTAGCAATAGCATTTACATGGCCAAAACTAAAAACTACAAAGTAATTTACTTACCACTCACGAAGTCTTCTTAATCCTCATAGTCATCATCATCACCATCAAGATGCTCCACAAACTCACTAGAACTTGATCTAAGCCAATCTTGAGTGCATATGAGAGCTTCCACAATCTTAGGATGCAAAGAGCTCCTAAATTCATCTAAAACACGCCCACTTGTGCTAAAAACAGACTCAGAAGGAACGGTTGACATAGGAATAGCAAACAGATCCTTTGCCATCTCACTCAAGATGGGATACCTCATAGCATTCGTCTTCCACCACTTCAACACATCAAACTCTTCTTCAGCATCATCATATTCCCGAGGATGAGCAAGATACTTCTCCAACTCACTCTTAGTATGACCAACTTGAGGTTTTCCATAATCATCATCAGGATCATAATCATCATAAGATTCATCAGAATCACTAGCTGACCTCGGTGAACTTGAAGTGGCAACTTGTACTCGACGTTTTGGAGGAGGAGAAGAAGCTGGAGGAGGCATCTTACTCTGATAATATTCAAAGAAACTTCTCGAGTTCATCATTCAACTCTTTCACCAAGACTTTTGCCCTTTCCTCTCCACACATCTTCTTGAAAATATGATCCGGATAATTCATCTTATGCCTCGGATCAAACACCACAGCCATGTAAACCAACCAGTTCAATCTGAAGTTGACACAATCCTTCTCCGACCAATATTTGTCAACTTTAGCCTTCATCTTCATACCCATCCTAACTATGTCATCATCCCTGCTATTCATCATTTTCTCAACATGATAGAATACCTTACCAAACTCTCTCAAGAATCGATGAGCAGTCACAACAGAAGTAGTGGATGCAATCAAAGTCAGATCATGAAAGAATTTCAAATACTTCATCAAAACTTTTGCATTCTTCCAATCTTCATATTGAGGGACACCAATTTCTTGATTCTTGTACCTCTTTGCCTTGAGCTTGGGCTTGTAATCCTTATCCTTCCTCTCAAGACTAGAGAATGCATCTTCAAACTCCACAGCAGCTTCAAGCATGTAGTAGGTGGAATTCCACCTTGTAGGCACATCTAGGCTCAACATCTTCTTGGATTCAATGTTTTGAAATTCCACACACTCCTTGAACTTTGCCAATCTAGATGGTGATGATCTAACCCATCTCACAGCCTCTCTCACCCTCCTTATTGACATGCCCATCTCTTCTAAACCATCGCTCACAACCAAATTCACTATATGAGCGATACACCGCATGTGAAGGTACTTTCCACCAACTATATTAGTACCCCATTCTTCAAGTCGATCTCTCAAATGAAGAAGTGTCGTGTCATTTGCACTTGCATTGTCAACTGTGACTGTGAAAATATTTTGCAAACCCCAATGCTCCAAACAATCAGCTATTGCATCACCTAGATCAATCCCCTTATGACTTGTAATCTTGCAAAAACTGATCACCTTCTTGTATAGCTTCCAATCCTTCCCAACAAAGTGTGCAGTAATGCACATATAGTTGAAATTTTGACAAGAAGTCCAACTATCTGTAGTTATGGACACCCTTCCTCCACACTTGATCTTGAAGTAATCTCTCAACTTGCCCTTCTGTTCAAGAAACAATCTAAAACAATCTTCTCTAATTGCTTTTCTGCCTGGAATCTTAAACATCGGACAAGCACGAGCCATGAAGCGCTTAAAACCTTCTTTCTCCACACTCTTAAAAGGCATTTCATCCAGAATTATCATTTCAACTAACCTGGCTCTGATAGAAGTTTGATCAAATTTCCAAGTCCTCAAAACTCCTTGCCCTTCAACAGAACTTGGATTGAGTTCTAAATTCAACTGCTTCCCCTTTTCTTGTAGTTTCTTTAAGCACCTTATAGTATGCCTACCCAAAGAACTTGTACCATTTCCCGAGGGATCCCCAGCCAATGCCTTTCCACAGTAATGACACTTTGCCTTCTTCTTGCCTTTATCATCTTTGTAACAATCATAATGATTCCATACAGGTGATCTTAACGTGTACTCCCTACTGCTCTTATCTGTTACAGGTGTTGTTGTGGTGTTGATAGCTGCTGGTTGTTCTTGTTCTTGAGTTGTAGCAGCTTGAACATTAACATTACCACTGTTATTCCCACTTTCAACGGCTGCCTTTGAAGCTTGCGGTTGTGATCGCTTCTTACTAGGAAGAGGAGGCAAATTATCACCTTCTCTTGCTGTCGGTACTCGCTTCTTAGTACCCTGCACAAAACAGTTCAATCTATATAAGAAAATGCACTTTTTTGCCTTCTCCATTGAAGAACAAACAACCTAGCTGCTACTCACTAATCCCCTCTATCTTTCACCATTCAATTCATCACATTCCACCAATCAATCAATCACTAAAATTAAGCAACAATAAACTACAACTAATTGCAAATAATATTAGTAGTAACTTACCCAACTGCTGCTCCCCTCCATATTTCTGACTTTGGAGGCTGCTGCCGGCTGCTAGTCGGATGTTGCCGGATGTTGGAGTGGACTCAGTGGAGGGCGGAGGCTGCTGGATGTGTATGTTCGTCGAGGGTGGGGTTGCGACTTGCGACGGCCGACGGGATGGAGGCTGGTGGAGGAGTGGAACGGCGAGCCGGTGACTGGTGGAGGCGTGGAGCGGGGAGCGGCGAGCCGGCGACTGTGGAGCCGGTGAGTCGGCGACTACTTTGAGTGTGCCTCGCACTCGGTCGCCTGTTGGCGTGTTGGGGGAGGATGGACAACAGGACGAGGAGTCAACGAGGTGACAAGGACGAGGAGCCGACGAGGAGAGGACGACCGACGATGGATTGGACTTTGGAGGGTGGAGCAGTGGAGCGGCCGAGCGGGTGAGGCGGTGAACGGCTGCTGCTGCGGGCTGCCTCCTTTGCAAATTGGAAAAGCGCAAAAGCCAACCCTAGTAGCCGCTGCCTGCCAAAATGCAAACCAAACAAAATGCAAACCCTACCTTACCTTTGGGCTTTGACACTTGACTCGGCTGGGCCTGGGAGGGAGGGAAAAATGGGCCTGAGTTGCAGACTTGTAGTGGGTGGGCTTAGCCTGCCTCTGGGCTTATTTTAATTATCCGGTCTTCCGGTTTTAACACGGTTTTTACCCGGATTGGATTGGTCCGGTTTTTTTGCTATTTCTAAGACCAAAGACGGGATTGGATTGTTTTAAATCCGGTCCCGGTCTTAAATGGTCCGGGTTATACGGTGGTTTTTAATCCGGTCCCGGTCCAAATAGCCACCCCTAGTTTTGGGCGAAATATTTCCAAGACCATTTTTTGCAGATTCCAAAGGGGTACCATCAACGATTTCAGGGGATTTTTTGGAAATGCCATTTTCCTTGATTTAAAGGCGACGGATCACAAATTCGTCCTTAGGGTACTCTCCTCCAATGATGAAGTCTATTAATCGCCGATTTGGGCAGAAATTTGGCCGAACTTTTTCAAAGGGCATTTTGATAATTTTTCCTCTATTTTTTTGAAACGCCATTTTCCATGGATTTTGAAGACTGCAGATCACGGATTCAGGCTGAGGCTATTGTTTATGAATGAATAAGTCTCTTAAACACCGTTTCGGGAGGAATATTTTCGGGGCCATTTTTGGTAGATTCCAAAAGGGTACCATCACAGATTTTGGGCGATATTTTGGAAAGGCCATTTTCCATGGATTTTGACGGCGGCAGATCACGGATTCATGCTGAGCCTATTCATTAAGGATGAATGATTCTATTAAACACCGATTCGAGCGGAATATTTCTGTGGCCATTTTTGGCAGATTCCAAAGGGGTACCATCACCGATTTCGGGCAATTTTTTTGGAAAGGCCATTACCCTTTGATTTTGAAAGCGACGGATCACAAATTCGTCCTTAGGGTACTCTCCACCAATGATTAAGTTTACTAATCGCCGATTTGGGCAGAATTTTGGTCGAACCTTTTTGGAGGGCATTTTGGTAAACTTTCGGCTATTTTTTCAAAAGGTCGTTTTCCATGGATATAGAAGGCTGCAGATCACGGATTCAGTCTAGGCTATTCTTTAGGGATGAATAAGTCTATCAAACACCGTTTCGGGCGGAATATTTCCGAGACAATTTTTGATAGATTTCAAAGTGGTACAATCAACGATTTCGGGCGAGTTTTTGGAAATGTCATTTTTCGTGAATTTTGAAGGCGACGGATCACAGATTCGTCCTTAGGGTACTCTCCACCAATGATGAAGTCTACTAATGTCTGATTTTTGGCAGAATTTTAATCGAACTTTTTGGGATGGCATTTTGATAATTTTTTGGCGATTTTTTCGAAAGCCCGCTTGCAATGGATTTTGAAGGCTGCATATCACGAATTCAGGCTGGGCTATTCTTTAGGGATGAATAAGTCTATTAAACACCGTTTCGGGCGGTATATTTCCGGGGCTATTTTTGGCAGATTCCATAGGGGTACCATCACCGATTTCAGGCGATTTTTTAGAAAGACCATTTTTCTTGGATTCTGAAGGCGATGGATCACAGATTCGTTCATAGGGTACTCTCCACCAATGATGAAGTCTACTAATCCACGATTTGGGCCAAAATTTGTTCGAAATTTTTCGGTTGCTTTTTTGGTAAGTTTTTGGTGATTTTTTCAAAAGGTCGTTTTCCATGGATTTTGAAGGCTGCATATCAGGGATTTAGGCTGACACTATTCTTTAGGGATGAATATGAATATTAAACCCCGTTTCGGGCGGAATATTTCCGGGGCTATTTTTAACAGATTCCAAAAGGGTATCATCACCGATTTCAGGCGATTTTTTGGAAATGCCATTTTCCTTGGATTTTGAAGGCGACGGATCACATATTCGTCCTTAGGGTAATCTCTACCAATGATGAAGTCTACTAATCGCCGATTTGGGCCGAAATTTGGTCGAACTTTTTCAGAGGGCATTTTGGTAAATTTCGGCAATTTTTTCAAAAGTGTTTTTTCCATGAATTTTGAAGGCTGCAGATCACATATTCAAGCTGGCTATTCTTGAGGGATGAATAAGTCTATTAAACACCGTTTCCGGAGGAATATTTCCGGGGCCATTTTTAGCAGATTCCGAAGGGGTACCATCATTGATTTCGGGCGATTTTTTGGAAAGACCATTACCCTTGGATTTTGAAGGCGACGGATCACAGATTCATCCTTAGGGTACTCTCCACCGATGATTAAGTTTACTAATCGCCAATTTTGAGCAGAATTTTGGTCGAACTTTTTTAAAGGGCATTTTGGTGATTTTTCAAAAGGTCGTTTTCCATGGATTTTGAAGGCTGCAGATCACGGATTCAGGCTGAGGCTATTCTTTAGGGATGAATAAGACTATTAAACACCGTTTCGGCAGAATATTTTCGAGGACATTTTTAGTCGATTCCAAAGGGGTACCATCACCGATTTCGGGCGATTTTTTGGAAAGGCATTTTCCTCTGATTTTGAAGGCGACTGATCACTGATTCGTCCTTAGGGTACTCTCCATCAATGATGAGTCTCCTAATCGCCGATTTGGCAGAAATTTGGTCGAACTTTTTCGGAGGGCATTTTGGTAGTTTTTTTACGATTTTTTTTGAAAACCCGTTCTCCATGTATTTTGAAGGTTGCAGATCACTTATTCAGACTGGGCTATTCTTTAAGGATGAATAAGTCTATTAAATACCCTTTCGGGCTGAATATTTCCTATTTTTGGCAGATTCCAAAGGGGTACCATGTCCGATTTCGCGTGATTTTTTGGAAAGGCCATTGTCCTTGGATTTTGAAAGCGACGGATCACATATTCGTCCTTATGGTACTTGACTCGCTATGACACAACACCTAACAATGGCCAAGTGTAACCAATGGAAGGGACTGCAGTATAGTGGCTCAAGTGATAAATATCGAATCCACGGGTCTCTAGAGTTACTATTACTCAGCTTCAGTTTATTATTTAGCAAACCATATCAAAATGAAAGAACTAAAACTACTCTAGCAAACTACAGTTAAAGTTAATCTAATTACAGGTTGGGAACTCACTTAGGTATGATTCCCCCTAGCCACTAGCCAGACTAACGATTGATGATTTCTAACTTGTTTCACTTTCATTCACAATGCGGAGAATCCTTGACTAGACCTTGAGTCTCGACTAAAGGAACAAGGCCCTCTTGAGTCAATTGCCTAGAGGGACGTATCCTTCTCTAGAACAACTGATCAAGACATTCTGAACTAGACTCACTCTATCGAAAGAGGTCCTCAATCGATACAAAGCAGTGAATCAACCCTCGACTAAAGCAATCGATCCACTACTATCAATCTATGGTGCTCTATTGACCTAATTAGGTATTCCCTCTCATAGGATCAAAGCAGAATCAATAATCTTGACTAAAGCAGAATTGAATCATGAAAACATGCATAGATTGAATATGAACTCAAGATTATCAAGTCAGAGTAATCATACAATCATCCAATCAAACAAACATAGCTAGGGTTCCTCAAAACCTAAGTGAAGGGAAGTTACTCCATAGAGAAGAGAGAGACTGCAGTAAGAATCTTCAGATGATCAGTCTTCAAGTCCGGGCTTGTTCCTCGAGCTTCCAAGGCGAAGAAATCCTCCAACTCCACTCCAAGAATGCCCTCAAATCGCCCTCTCTCTCTTTGGTTCGTCCCTTGGGTGTTTGGGATCCAAAACCCAGCTCTCCTCTTCTCCTTTGGCTGAAAATTGGGTTTTAAGCAGAAAATCCCGACTCACACGGGCAGTGTGGCACGGCCGTGTGGCTTACCCAGTTGCCCGTGTGAGTCAAAACGCTGCGTTCCAATTAGTTTGAATTCCAGGCTCTTTGCACGGCCAGAGTGGCACGGCCGTGTGAACTTCCTTTTTGACCGTGTTTGCTCACGCAGAATTCCACACGGCCAGACTGGCCTCTTGCACGGCCGTGTGGATGTCCTGCTCTGCCCGTGTTTGCTCTCGGCGAAACTCGCACGGCCAGACTACTCCTTCACACGGCCGTGTGATCATTAGGGCAGCCCGTGTGACCTCCTTTGTGACTTGTCTCGCACCCGATCTTCACCCAATCGACCCCGAACTCGCTCCTAAACCTTCATTCACTTGCCAGGACCTGAAATATCACAAACAAGCACAACCTAGCGTGAAATCGGTCTAAAACACGAGAAACCACCTCTCAAACGGTGTAAGAACAGGGGTGAAAACATGTGTAACTAACGGTCTATCAAACTCCCCCACACTTAACCGTTTGCTTGTCCCCAAGCAAACCTAACTCAAACCAATGCAACTCTCCAGACCTCTATAGCAACAAACAACCCAGATCGTAGGTAGAGGACTTCCTAGATCATTTAGCAACTTACGAGGTCAACCAACGCACAAGTCATCTCATAACTTCTTCGGCGAGTCGGCATCATGGCAAATAGTGAACAGAGGACAAATGAATTGTGGATGAAGAGATTCTCAAAAACAACAGATCATGGACTCACATTTTTCAAGGTGCTCTATTTTCTGCTTAAGGATGGTTGGAACCCCTTTTCTTTCTATTATGCTTGTTTTCTGTTATTTTTCTTTTCTTTTTTCTTTTTCAAGGGTCCCAACCTGCTCTTACCGGCCATGCCAGGAGCGGATGTCTCGAGCCTCGTGCGGGGGAAAGACATGTAAGGGGGCTGGAGGTAGTAGGTGGAACTTGGGAACGAATTCCCGTCTCCCCTTACACACTTTCGCCCTATTCGCACGGGAGACGTTTATTTTGAAGCACATTTTCGAGCACCTGTTATTTTCAAAACATGATACAAGAGTCCATGACAGGCAGAGAATCCACAACACCACACAATTCAAGGGTCCTAAGATCACTAATTCACTCAATCAACCAACTCAATATGAAGAAGAAATGAGACTTCTTAAATGCATCAACATCCTCCATAGTGCTACACTACCTCCCTAGGTTGCATATCACTATAAAGACTGTCAATTCAAAGCATACTGAGCAGGCAATTGCAAGGAAACACGTACTTGGAGCCCTCAAATTTAAAAATTTGGACAGTGGACTAGGCTCCAAGCACACAAACAACCAAACATTCACCCGCATACATAATCGAACATCCCCCCACACTTAAGCACGACATTGTCCTCAACGGAGGAAAGATAAGGAGGGTAGAACGAAGTTACCAGATCAAGGGTGAATGATGATGAACGGGTCAGGCGGTGCCATCCAGAAAGAGAGTAATCAGAACACAAACACCACACAAAATCTCACAAAGGTTGAGTTATTGACTCTAAAATCAAATAGCAAACTGACTCAACCGAGGAGAAATAGAGAAAGAAATGCAAACCGACTGGTTGGGTTGCCTCCCAACAAGTGCTTCTTTCACGTCGTGAGCCGGACGATGGCTCCTAAGTTTCGGTCCATGCTAGAACCTCCTTGAAGTTGAGGTTCTCGTCGATGAGGTGGAGTCTCAAGTCATGAGCATGTGGTGTGGCAGGTGATGAAGGCTCATGTACTTGATGCAGATGAAGTCTCCACCCTCGAGACCTCTCCTTCTCTTCTCTCGTCTCATTGCCCCAAACCAGATATGACAGCATCGATTGGCCACCATCGCGTCCACCAAGAGGGACCGATGTCGAGGTGGCCTTGGTCTGGCAAAGAGACACTGCAAATGGGTCCTTGCTAAGCAGTTCCTCGAAGTTTGGTGGAGATATCACATGTAACTCATGGCCGGTGCATGCCTCTTCCACCTCAACTTCATCCTCAGCCTGGACGCCAATTGCTTCTTCAACCCCCCTTTCTTCTTCATGTGGTATCACCCCTGGGAAATGATCAAGAACTCCTCCTGCTTCACTTTCGTCATCCTCCACAACTTCTTTCTGCACCCTTTGTTGCTCTTCTTCTTCTAGCACGGATTGGAGAGCAAGTTGCCAAGCAATTTCTTTCATGAGATCTTCTTGCAACTCCTCACTCATGCCCGCCTCTTCAAAGCGCAGTTTGGGGTGTGGGAAGGTGTGGTCGGCTACGACAGGACACTCCTGATCATGATCATCACGGGAGCTCTCCGTGACAACTTCAGTGTGCTCCACAATGTCCTTGTAGCCTTCTTCTTCCTCCTCCTCTTCTTGTATGGTAGCAGAAGGGTGATCTGGAGCAGGCTGTGCCCAAGATCGCTCAAGATCATCGACGCTCTTCTTAAGGCTCAGGAGGATCTCCTCTGTTTCACGATAGGCCTGGACACAATGATCCATCCTGGAGCATGTTCTATCACAGTCTCGAGCAAACTGCTCCATGAGAAGTCTCAATTCATAGTGTGGATCTGGCTGTGGAGTGTAGCATGGCTCTGCAGAATGGCCCGTGAAGGCCGCCATGGGTAACTCCAGCTCCAATGGCCCCTCTGGTTGTGGGAAAAATTCTTCTTGGTAATGAGGTTGTTCTTGATATGCCCAGGGATCCGGTTGTTCTCCGTAGTAAGGGGGTTGGTACTGGAACCCAAATCCATAGTCTTCTCCGCCTTGATTGCTCCACGGAGTCTCGGGGTAATACCAACCAGATGGTGGTGGATACCCCCAATGATTGGAGAAGCCATTAGGATCCATGATTCAGATCTGCACCAACAAAAACACCCAAGTGAAAAGCAAGGGTGGAAAAGAAAAGAAACGAAAACGCTAAAGTAACAAACTTCTGCCTTTCCTAATACTCTAGAAAGTCCCCGGCAACGGCGCCAAAAACTTGACTCGCTATGACACAACACCTAACAATGGCCAAGTGTAACCAATGGAAGGGACTGCAGTATAGTGGCTCAAGTGATAAATATCGAATCCACGGGTCTCTAGAGTTACTATTACTCAGCTTCAGTTTATTATTTAGCAAACCATATCAAGATGAAAGAACTAAAACTACTCTAGCAAACTACAGTTAAAGTTAATCTAATTACAGGTTGGGAACCCACTTAGGTATGATTCCCCCTAGCCACTAGCCAGACTAACGATTGATGATTTCTAACTTGTTTCACTTTCATTCACAATGCGGAGAATCCTTGACTAGACCTTGAGTCTCGACTAAAGGAACAAGGCCCTCTTGAGTCAATTGCCTAGAGGGACGTATCCTTCTCTAGAACAACTTATCAAGGCGTTCTGAACTAGACTCCCTCTATCGAAAGAGGTTCTCAATCGATACAAAGCAGTGAATCAACCCTCGACTAAAGCAATCGATCCACTACTATCAATCTATGGTGCTCTATTGACCTAATCAGGTATTCCCTCTCATAGGATCAAAGCAGAATCAATAATCTTGACTAAAGCAGAATTGAATCATGAAAACATGCATAGATTGAATATGAACTCAAGATTATCAAGTCAGAGTAATCATACAATCATCCAATCAAACAAACATAGCTAGGGTTCCTCAAAACCTAAGTGAAGGGAAGTTACTCCATAGAGAAGAGAGAGACTGCAGTAAGAATCTTCAGATGATCAGTCTTCAAGTCCGGGCTTGTTCCTCGAGCTTCCAAGGCGAAGAAATCCTCCAACTCCACTCCAAGAATGCCCTCAAATCGCCCTCTCTCTCTTTGGTTCGTCCCTTGGGTGTTTGGGATCCAAAACCCAGCTCTCCTCTTCTCCTTTGGCTGAAAATCGGGTTTTAAGCAGAAAATCCCGACTCACACGGGCAGGGTGGCACGGCCGTGTGGCTTACCCAGTTGCCCGTGTGCGTCAAAACGTTGCGTTCCAATTAGTTCGAATTCCAGGCTCTTTGCACTGCCAGAGTGGCACGGCCGTGTGAACTTCCTTTTTGCCCATGTTTGCTCACGCAGAATTCCACACGGCCAGACTGGCCTCTTGCACGGCCGTGTGGATGTCCAGCTCTGCCCGTGTTTGCTCTCGGCGAAACTCGCACGGCCAGACTACTCCTTCACACGGCCGTGTGATCATCAGGGCAGCCCGTGTGACCTCCTTTGTGACTTGTCTCGCACCCGATCTTCACCCAATCGACCCCGAACTCGCTCCTAAACCTTCATTCACTTGCCAGGACCTGAAATATCACAAACAAGCACAACCTAGCGTGAAATCGGTCTAAAACACGAGAAACCACCTCTCAAACGGTGTAAGAACAGGGGTGAAAACATGTGTAACTAACGGTCTATCAGTACTCTCTACCCATGATGAAGTCTACTAATCGCCGATTTGGGCTAAAATTTGGTCGGACTTTTTTGGAGGACATTTTGGTAATTTTACGATGATTTTTTCAAAAGACTGTTTCCAATGGATTTTGAAGGCTGCAGATCACGGATTCAGGTTGAGGCTATTCTTTAGGGATGAATAAGTCTATTAAACACCGTTTCAGGCGGAATATTTCCGTGGGCTTTTTTGGCAGATTCCAAAGGGTACCATCACCGATTTCAAACGATTTTTTGGAAAGGCATTTTCCTTTGATTTTGAATACGACGGTGCACTGATTCGTCCTTACGGTACTCTCCACCAATGATGAAATATACTAATCGCCGATTTATGCTGAAATTTGGTTGAACTTTTTCGGAGGGCACTTTGGAAATTTTTCGATGATTTTTTCAAAAGGATGTTTTCCTTTGATTTTGAAGGCTGCTAATCACGGATTCAGGCTGAGCTTATTCTTTTTGGATGAATAAGTCTATTAAACACCGTTTCGGGCGGATTATTTCCAGGGCCTTTATTTGCATATTCCAAATGGGTACCATCACCGATTCCGGCGATTTTTTCGTTTTTGGATGAATAAGTCTATTAAACACCGTTTCGGGCGGAATATTTTCAGGGCCTTTATTAGCATATTCCAAATGGGTACCATCACCGATTCGACGATTTTTTCGTAAGGCCGTTTTCCATTGATTCTGAGGGCTGCAGATCACGGATTCAGGCTATGCTATTCTTTAGAGATGAATAAGTCTATTAAACACTGTTTCGGGGGGAATATTTCCGGGCCAATCTTTGGCATGTTCTAAAAGGGTGCCATCACCGATTTCGTGCGATTTTTTCAAAAGTCTGTTTTCCATAGATTTTGAAGGCTGCAGATCACAGATTTAGGCTAAGGCTATTCTTTAGGGATGAATAAGTCTATTAAACCCCGTTTCGGGCGGAATATGTCCAGGGCAATTTTTGGCAGATTCCAAAGGGGCACCATCATCGATTTCGTGCGATTTTTTCAAAAGTCCCTTTTCCAAGGATTTTGAAGGCTGCAGATCACAGATTTAGGCTGAGGCTATTCTTTAGGGATGAATAAGTCTATTAAACACCGTTTTAGGCCATTCCAAAGTGGGTACCATCACCGATTTCAGGCGATTGTTTGTAAAGGCCATTTCCCTTGGATTTTAAAGGCGACGAATCACATATTCATCCTTAGGGTACTCTCCACCAATGATGAAGTCTACTAATCGCCGATTTAGGCATAAATTTGCTCTAACTTTTTCGGAGTGCATTTTGGTAATTTTTTGGAGATTTTTCGACAAGATGTTTTCCATGGATTTTGAATGCTGCAGATCACGGGTTCAGGCCGAGGCTATTCTTTAGGGATGAATAAGTCTATTAAACACAGTTTCGGGCAGAAATTTTCCGGGACCATTTTTGGGAGATTCCAAAGGGGTACCATCCCCGATTTCGGGAGATTTTATAGAAAGTCATTTTCCTTTGATTTTGAAGGCAACGGCTCACTGATTCGTCATTAGGGTACTCTCCACCAACGATGAAGTCTACTAATCGCTGATTTGGGCTAAAAAATTGTCTTACTTTTTCGGAGGGCATTTAGGTAATTTTTTTGGTGATTTTTTCGAAAGGCTGTTTTTCATGGATTTTCAATGTCGCAAATCACGGATTCAGGCTGAGGCTATTCTTTAGGGATGAATAAATCTATTTAACACCGATTCAGACGGAATATTAAAGAGGCCGTTTTTGGCAAATTCCAAAGGGATACATCACCGATTTCGGGCGATATTTTAGAAAGAACATTTTACTTGTGTTTACTCCAAAAATTAACCTTGTACCACATCGGTTAAAAAACAAGTAATTAAATGGCTTTATAAGGCCAACTTAATCATATTAGTTTAAATCAGTTGAGTGGGCCATGAGGATTGGGTTTTTTGGGCCCATTACTCCGTGCTACTACGCGCGACATGCATCTCCAAATTTGCCTAAGTATGGGAGCCACCCCCATGACACGCAGAGGGGGTGGGCGCTAGACAGCTAGCCCCAGGACATGCCAAGGGGGGTGACCACCATCATACCACCCCCAAGACGTGGTGAGGGGGGTGATGGCCGAATTTGGCTAAGGAAAGGAGTATGGTAGCCATCCCCAGGAGATACCAAGGGGGGTGGCCACCATCATACCACCCCCAGGACGTGGCAAGGGGGGGTGGGCATCATACCACCACCCCCAGGAGGTACCAAGGGAGGTGGCCATCATACCACCACCCCAGGACGTGGCAGGGGGGGGGGGACATCATACTGCCACCCCCAATTTGGCTAAGGCAAGGAGTATGGTAGCCACCCCCAATGGTTGGCCACCATCATACCACCCCCAGGACGTGGCAAGGGGGGTGGGCATCATACCACCACCCCCAGGACGTGGCAAGGGGGTGTACATCATACTGCCACCCCCATAACATGATGACGGGGGTGATGCCGAATTTAGCTAAGGCGAGGGGAGAAGATGTAAAATGTGGCTAAGTATGGAAGATGATGAGGGTGGAAGGAGCCCCCCCCCCCCATGAGGTGGTCTGGGGGCCACCAACATAGCACCCCCATGGTATGATCAGGGGGGTGAGGGTTCACCAACGCCAGCTCCCATGAGGATGATATAGTGGTGGGATGATCCATATGACCCCATGGGGGATGCCCCCAATGGTATGGTGAGGGGGTCACCAACGTACATCCCCATGGTATTTACAAGGCAAGGGGGTCATGTGAGCACGTGGTCTCTTAACTCTCCTATTGGTGAAGTATTTTTGGCATTTTTAATTCATGTGATTCAAATACCCACCCATATGTGGCACGTGGTATTCCATCATGCCTTAGCCATTTTTTCTCTATAGACAAGCGAAGCTATGGAGGAGATACCAAGAGCAGGGAGTGAGATCTCAAGAGGAGGGGGACAGGGCTGAAGAAGGTGGCACATCCAACGTCAGGGTAACCGTCAAAGCAGTTGAGAGGGTAACCGCCACTCCACATCGGCAGAGCAGTTTCTCGAAGCAGTTACTTCTGGTGGCTATAAATAGGAGGTGAAGATGACGGAGAAAGGGTTCGCAAAAATCACAACTCGACACCACTTGTCAAGTTTTATCTTTTTATCTTTTCCTCTGCAGATTTTAGCCATAGTCGTAGTTTTTGGAGCTCTCACTGAACCTCCATAGGAGTAGGGCTAATTTAATGTAGATTTTCCTCGTAGTTCATCAAAACATTGAACACCCTTGTTTGAAATTTGTTCGAAGTGGTGTGAACTGTGTTTTTTGATCGTTTGTTTGGAAGTCAAAGGTGCAAAATCGAATTATGTTCATCTAGTTTTTTTCGCCGGGAAAACACCTTGGATTTTGAAGGAGACGGATCACAGATTCATCCTTAGAATACTCTCCACCAATGATGAAGTTTACTAATCGCCGGTTTAGGCAGAAATTTTGTCGAACTTTTTCGGGGGTATTTTGGTAATTTTCCGATAATTTTTTTAAAGGTCGTTTTCCGTGGCTTTTGAAGGCTGCAGATCACGGATTCAGGCTGAGGCTATTATTTAGGGATGAATAAGTCTATTAAACACCTTTTCGGGCGGAATATTTTCGGGGCCATTTTTGGCAAATTCCAAAAACGTACCATCACCGATTTCGGGCGATTTTTTGAAAATGTCATTTTTCCTTGGATTTTGAAGGCGACGGATCACATATTTGTTCTAAGGGTAATCTCCACCAATGATGAAGTCTACTAATCGCCGATTTGGGCAGAAATTTGGTCGAACTTTTTCGGAGGGCATTTTGGTATTTTTTTGACGATTTTTTTGAAATGCAATTTTCCATGGAATTTGAAGGTTGCAGATCACTGATACAGGCTGAGACTATTCTTTAGGGTTGAATAAGTCTATTAAACACTGTTTCGGGCAAAATATTGATGGGGCCATTTTTGGCAGATTCCAAAGGGGTACCATCACCGAATTCGGGCGATTTTTTGGAAAGACATTTTCCTTTGTTTTTGAAGGCGACGGATCACTAATTCGTCCTTATGGTACTCTCCACCCATAATGAAGTCTACTAATCGCCGATTTGGGCTAAAATTTGGTCAGCCTTTTTTGGAGGGCATTTTGGTAATTTTATGATTATTTTTTCAAAAGACTGTTTCCAATGAATTTTGAAGGCTTCTGATCACGGATTCAGGCTGAGGCTATACTTTAGGGATGAATAAGTCTATTAAACACTGTTTCGGGCGGAATATTTCCGGGGACATTTTTGGCATATTCCAAAGAGGTACCATCACTGATTTCGGGCGATATTTTGGAAAGTCATTTTCCTTTGATTTTGAATACGACGGTGCACTGATTCATCCTTACGGTACTCTCCACCAATGATGAAGTACACTAATCGCCGATTTAGGGTGAAATTTGGTTGAACTTTTTCGGAGGGCACTTTGGAAAATTTTCGATGATTTTTTCAAAAGGATGTTATGTATTGATTTTGAAGGCTGCTAATCACGAATTCAGGTTGAGGCTATTCTTTTCGGATGAATAAGTCTATTAAATACCGTTTCGGGCGGAATATTTCCAGGGCCTTTATTGGCAGATTCCAAATGCGTACCATCACCGATTCCGATGATTTTTTCGTAAGGTCGTTTTCCTTTGATTTCTGAGGGCTGCAGATCACTGATTCAGGCTAGGCTATTATTTAGGGATGAATAAGTCTATTAAACACCGTTTCGGGCGGAATATTTCCGGGGTAATTTTTGGCAGATTCTAACCGATTTAGTGCGATTTTTTCAAAAGACCGTTTTCCATAGATTTTGAAGGCTGCAGATCACAGATTTAGGCTGAGGCCATTCTTTAGGGACGAATAAGTCTATTAAACCCCGTTTTGGGCGGAATATGTCCAGGTCAATTTTTGGCAGATTCCAAAGGGGCACCATCATCGATTTCGTGCGATTTTTTCAAAAGTCCCTTTTCCATGGATTTTGAAGGTTGCAGATCACGGATTTAGGCTGAGGCTATTCTTTAGGGATGAATAAGTCTATTAAACACCGTTTTAGGCGGAATATTTCCAGGGCCATTTTTGGCATATTCCAAAGGGGGTACGATCACCGATTTCGGGCTATTTTTAAGAAAGACCATTTCCCTTGGATTTTGAAGGCGACGAATCATATATCCATCCTTAGGGTACTCTCCATCAATGATGATTTCTACTAATCGCCGATTTAGGCATAAATTTGCTCTAACTTTTTCGGAGTGCATTTTGGTAAATTTTTGGAGATTTTTTCGACAAGCCGTTTTCCATGGATTTTGAATGCTGCAGATCACGGGTTCAGGCCGAGGCTATTCTTTAGGGATGAATAAGTCTATTAAACACAGTTTCGGTCAGAAAATTTCCGGGGCCATTTTTGAGAGATTCCAAAGGGGGTACCATCCCCGATTTCAGGAGATTTTATAGAAAGACATTTTCCTTTGATTTTGAAGGCGACGGCTCACTGATTCGTCCTTTTTGTACTCTCCACCAACGTAAAGTCTACTAATCGCCGATTTGGCTAAAAAATTGTCTTACTTTTTTGGAGGGCATTTTGGTAATTTTTCAGTAATTTTTTTGAAAAGCCTTTTTTCATGGATTTTCAATGTCGCAGATCACGGATTCTGGCTGAGGCTATTCTTTAGGGATGAATAAATCTATTTAACACCGATTCGGACGGAATATTAACGGGGCCATTTTTGGCAAATTCCAAAGGGATACATCACCGATTTCGGGCGATTTTTTGGAAAGAACATTTTCCTTGGATTTTGAAGGAGACGGATCAAAGATTCGTCCTTAGAATAATCTCCGCCAATGATGAAGTTTACTAATCGCCGATTTAGGCAGAAATTTTGTCGAACTTTTTCAGGGGTATTTTGGTAATTTTCTGATAATTTTTTTAAAGGTCGTTTTCCATGGCTTTTGAAGGCTGCAGATCACGGATTCAGGCTATTATTTAGGGATGATTAAGTCTATTAAACACCTTTTCGGGCGGAATATTTCCGGAGCCATTTTTGGCAAATTCCAAAAGCGTACCATCACCGATTTCGGGTGATTTTTTGTAAATGCCATTTTCCTTGGATTTTGAAGGCGACAGATCACATATTCGTCCTTAGGGTGATCTCCACCAATGATGAAGTCTACTAATCGCCGATTTGGGCAGAAATTTGTGCCAACTTTTTCCCAGTGCATTTTGGTAAATTTTCAACAATTTTTTCAAAAGGTGGTTATCCATGTATTTTGAATGCTTGACATCACTGATTCAAGATGAGGCTATTCTTTAGGGATAAATAAGTCTTTTAAACACCGTTTCCGAAGGAAATATTTTCGGGCTCATTTTTTGGCAGATTCCAAAGGGCAAAGGGGTACCATCACCACTTTGAGGCGATTGTTTAGAAAAGCCATTTTCCTTGGATTTTGAAGGCGACGGATAACAGATTCGTCCTTAGGGTACTTTCCACTAATGATGAAGTCTACTAATTGCCGATTTGGGCAAAAATTTTGTCAAACTTTTTTGGAGGGCATTTTGGTAAATTTTCAGATATTTTTTCGAAATGCCTTTTTCCATCAATTTTGAAGTCTTTAGATCAAGGATTCAGGCTGAGGATATTCTTTAGGGATGTATAATTCTATTAAACACCGTTTTGGGCAGAATATTTCCGGGGCTATTTTTGGGAGATTTCAAAGGGGTACCATCACCGATTTCGGGCGATTTTTTGGAAAGGTCATTTTCCTTGGATTTTGAAGGAGACGGATCACAGATTCGCCCTTAGGGTACTCTCCACCAATGATTAAGTATACTAATCCCCAATTGGGGCAAAAATTTGGGCGAACTTTTTCGGAGGGCATTTTGGTAATTTTGGTGATTTTTTCGTAAGCCTGTTTTTCCATGGATTTTGATGGCTACAGATCGCGGATTCAGGCTGAGGCTATTCTTTAGGGATGAATAAGTCTATTAAACACCGTTTCAGGCGAAATATTTCTGGAGCCATTTTTGGCAAATTCCTAAGGGGTACCATCAATGATTAATGATGATTTTTTGGAAAGGCCATTTTTCTTGGATTTTGAAGGCGACTGATCACAGATTCATCCTTACGGTACTCTACACCAATGATGAAGTCTAATAATCGCCGTTTTGGATAAAAAAAATTGTCGAACTTTTTCGAAGGTCATTTTGGTAATTTTTTGGTGATTTTTTCGTAAGGTCGTTTTCCATTGAATTTGAAAATTGCATATCACGGATTCAGGTTGAGGCTATTCTTTAGGAATGAATATGTCTATTAAACATCGTTTCGGGCGGAATATTTACAGGTACTTTTTTGGGAGATTCCAAAGGGGTACATCACCTGATTTCAGGCGATTTTTTGAAATGCCGTTTTCCTTGGATTTTGAAGTTGACGGATCACAGATTCGTTCTTAGGGTACTCTCCACCAATGATGAAGTCTACGAATCGCTAATTTGTGCAGAAATTTGGGGGAACTTTTCCGGAGGGAATTTTGTTAATTTTTCGGCGATTTTTTCGAAAGATCCTTTTTCATGAATTTTGAATGATGTAGATCACGGATTCAGGATGAGGCTATTCTTTAGGGATGAATAATTCTATTAAACACCGTTTCATATTGAATATTTCCGAGGCTTTTTTTTTTGCAGATTCTAAAGGGGCTACCATCACAGATTTCAGGCAATTTTTTTTAAGACCATTTTCCTTGGATTTTGAAGGTGACGGATCACAGACTCGTCCTTAGGGTACTCTCCACCAATGATAAAGTCTACTAATCGCCGATTTGGGCAGAAATTTGGTCGAACTTTTTCGGAGGGCATTTTGGTAATTTTTTGAAGAGTTTTTTTGAAATGCTATTTTCCATGGATTTTGAAGGCTGCAGATCACTGTTTCAGGCTGAGGCTATTCTTTAAGGATGAATAAGTCTATTAAACACCGTTTCGGACAAAATATTTTCGGGCCCTTTATTGGCATATTCCAAATGGGTCTATACCCGATTTCAGGGGATTTTTTGGAAATGCCATTTTCCTTGGATTTTGAAGGCGACGCATAAATGATTCGTACTTAGGGTACTCTCCACCAGTGACGAAGTCTACTAATCGCCAATTTGGGCAGAAATTTGGTCGTTCTTTTCGGAGGGCATTTTGGTAAATTTTCTGTGATTTTTTTCAATAGGCCATTTTCCAATGATATTGAAGGCTGCAGATCACGGATTCAGGCTGAGGCTATTCTTTAGGGATGAATAAGTCAATTAAACGTCGTTTCGGATGGAATATTTCCGGAGCCATTTTTGGCAAATTCCAAAGGGGTACCTTCACCGATTGCAGGCTTTTTTTTCAAAGGCCATTTTCCTTGGATTTTGAAAGCTACGGATCACAGATTCGTCCCTAGGGTACTCTCCACCAATGATGAAGTCTACTAATCGCCGATTCAGACAGAAATTTGGTCCTTCTTTTTCGAAGGGTATTTTGGAAAATTTTATGTTTTTTTTCTCGAAATGTCGTTTTCCATGGATTTTGAAGGCTGTAGATCACGAATTCAGGCTGAGGCTATTCTTTAGGGATGAATAAGTCAATTAAACACCGTTTCTTGCGGAATATTTCCGGGGAATGAGATATGGTCACTTCCACTTAGGGGGTTGTGAGATTCACAACCAAGGGTAATTTGGATATAACTAAAAAAAATTTATTAATTAATTTTTTCGTATTAATTACATATTGGGAAATAAAACCCATATTAAATTACATATTGATAAATAAATTTATCTCTCTCTACTTTTTCCAGGTGCGTCTTCGCTCCTACCGCCAAACTTACTCTAACTGGCAGACTTTTTTTCGGTGAGAACCTTCAGTCAGACTCACTCAGGCGACCTACAGAAAAGTACAACTTCGTGTGCGCTAGTGGTAGTGATTTTCATCTAGCGTACTAGTAAATTACCAATGGCACTGGTACGATACCAGTGAGTAGTGGTAGCGTACCAGTACCACTGGTAGCGTATCACTGGTAGCGTACCACTACCCCTACTGATTGGTGGTGCTACCACTAGCACTAGTAGCCTACCACTAGCACTGTAGTGTACCACTAGCACTGGTTGCATACCAATAGCACTGTAAGTGTACCACTAGAGACTAAGAAAGAAAAACCATATCTGAAATATGAAAAATCCCAGATCCGAAAAAAATTAGGGGATGAGGGAAGGGGAAGGCAGAGGAGAGGTGGTTACCTCGTGGTGGCGGCGACGGCAGTGTGAAGACAGGTGGTGGATGGAGGCGGAGGACGAATGGAAGGGGGAGGCAGAGGCGACTTTGGTGATGGTGGCGGGAGGCGGTTGCAGCGACAGAGGGCAGCGAGAGGGCTGCGACCTGGAGAGGCTGTGATGGTGGTGGCGCCGACGACAGGGGGTGGCGTCGGAGGGCGGCTAGAGGGCTGGATGGTGGTGGCTCTGACGCTAGGGGCAGATGTGATGAAGAAGAAGAGGAAGAAGAAGGGATAACTACGGTGGTGGCTGCAGAAAAGAGGGATCTGATTAGGGTTTTTAGAGAAAGGAAAGGATGTGGAAATTAATAGTGATAGTAATCCTATATGGTTAGTTTTTTCCATTCCAAAAATACCCTTCGAGTAATCCTAACCATCGATTTACAAAAAGAAGAAAGAGACAGGAGAGAGAATGTATCCAATGGCTAAAAAGTGAGTTGTGAATCTCACAACCCCCTTAGGGTTGTGACTTGTGACGGTATCTCATCCCTATTTCCGGGGCCATTTTTGGCAAATTCCAAAGGGTACCATCACCGATTTCAGGCGATTTTTTGGGAAGGCCATTTTCCTTAGATTTTGAAGGCGACAGATCACAGATTCATCCTTAGGGTACTCTCCACCAATGATGAAGTCTACTAACTGCCGATTTGGGTAGAAATTTGGTCGAACTTTTTCAGAGGGCATTTTATTAAATTTTCGACGATTTTTTTGAAATATCGTTTTTCATGGATTTTGAAGGCTGCAGATCATGGATTCAGGCTGAGACCATTCTTTAGGGATGAATAAGTCTATTAAACACCGTTTCGGGCGGAATATTATCGGGGCCATTTTTGGCATATTCCAAAGGGGTACCATTACCGATTTCGAGCGATTTTTTGGAAATGCCATTTTCCTTGGATTTAGAAGCGACCCATAAAAGATTCGTACTTAGGGTACTCTCCACCAATGACGAAGTCTACTAATCGCCGATTTGGGCATAGATTTTGTCGTTCTTTTTCGGAGGGCATTTTGGTAATTTTTTGGTGATTTTTTCGAAAGTCCGTTTTCAATGGATTTTGAAGGCTGCAGATCACAGATTCAGGGTGAGGCTATTCGTTTGGGATGAATAAATTTATCAAACACCGTTCCGGGCGGAATATTTCTTGGGCCTTTATTGGCAGATTCCAAAGGGGTATCAGCGATTTCAGGCGATTTTTTGGAAATGTCATTTTCTTGGATTTTGAAGGCGATGCATAAAAGATTCGTACTTATGGTACTCCCCAACAATGACGAAATCTACTAATCGCCGATTTGGGCAGAAATTTGGTCGTTCTTTTTCGGAAAGCATTTTGGTAATTTTTCTGTGGTTTTTTCGAAAGGCCATTTTCTATGGATTTTGAAGGCTGCAGATCACGGATTCAGGCTGAGGCTATTCTTTAGGGATGAATAATTCAATTAAACACCGTTTCGGGCGGCATATTTTCGGGGCCATTTTTCGCAAATTCCAAAGGGGTACCATCACCGATTTCAGACGATTTTTTGGAAAGGCCATTTTCCTTGCATTTTGAAGGTGACGGATCATAGATTCGTCCTCAGGGTACTCTCCATCAATGACGAAGTCTACTAATCGCCGATTTGGGCAGAAATTTGTTCGTTCTTTATCGGAGGGCATTTTGGTAAATTTTCGCCGATTTTTTCGAAAGTCCGTTTTCCATGGATTTTGAAGGCTGCAGATCACAAATTCGGGGTGAGGGTATCCATTTGGGATGAATAAGTTTATCAAACACCGTTTCCGGCGGAATATTTCCGGGGCCTTTATTGGCAGATTCCAAAGGGGTATCACCGATTTCAGGCGATTTTTTGGAAATGCCATTTTCCTTGGATTTTGAAGGCGACGCATAAAAGATTCGTATTTAGGGTACTCTCCACCAATGATGAAATCTACTAATCGCCGATTTGGGCAGAAATTTGGTCGTTCTTTTTCGGAGGGCATTTTGGTAATTTTCTGTGATTTTTTCGAAAGGCCGTTTTCTATGGATTTTGAAGGCTGCAGATCACCGTTTGGGGCGGCCTATTTTCGGGTCCATTTTTGGCAAATTCCAAATGGGTACCATCACCGATTTCAGGCGAATTTTGGGAAAGGCCATTTTCCTTGCATTTTGAAGGTGACGGATAACAAATTTTTCATTAGGGTACTCTCCACCATTGACGAAGTCTACTAGTCTCCAATTTGGGCAGAAATTTGGTCGTTCTTTATCGGATGGCATTTTGGTAATTTTTTGCGATCACAGATTTTGAAGGCTGCAGATCACAGATTCGGGGTGAGGGTATTCGTTAGGGATGGAAAACTCGATTAAACACCGTTTCGAGCGGAATATTTCCGGACACCGTTTTGGCATATTCCAAATGAGTACCATCACCGATTTCAAACGACGGATCACCTATGAGGAAGTCTACTAATCGTCAATTTTGGCAAAGTTTTGGTCGATCTTTTTCAGAGGGCATTTTGGTAATTTTTCGGCTATTTTTTTCGAAAGGCTGTTTTCCATCGTTTTTGAAGTCTATAGATCAAGGATTCAAGCTGAGGCTATTCTTTAGGGATGAATAAGTCTATTAAACACCGTTTCGGGCGGAATATTGTCGGGGCCATTTTTGGCATATTCCAAAGGGATACCATTACCGATTTCGAGCGATTTTTTTGAAAGGCCATTTTCCTTCGATTTTGAAGGCGACAGATCAGGGATTCGTCATTAGGGTACTCTCCACCAACAATGAAGTCTATTAATCACAAATTCGGACAAAAATTTGGGCGAACTTTTTCGGAGGGCATTTCATAATTTCGGCGATTTTTTCGAAAGACCGTTTTCCATGGATTTTGAAGGCTACAGATCGCGGATTCAGGCTAAGACTATTCTTTAGGGATGAATAAGTCAATTAAACACCGTTTCAGGCGAAATATTTTCGGAGCCATTTTTGGCAAATTCCAAAGGAAGTACCATTACCGATTAAAGGCGGTTTTTTGGAAATGCCATTTTCCTTGGATTTTGAAGGTGACCGATCTCATATTCGTCCTTACGTTACTCTCCACCAATGATGAAGTCTAATAATCGCCGATTTGGGCAAAATTTGGTTGAACTTTTTCTGAAGGTATTTTGGTAAATTTTTGGTGATTTTTTCGAAAGGCAGTTTTCCATGGAATTTGAAAGTTGCATATCACGGATTCAGGCTAAGGCTATTCTTTAGGAATGAATAAATATTTTAAACACCGATTCGGGCCGAATATTTCCCCTGCCATTTTTGGCAGATTCCAAAGTGGTACACCATCATTGATTTCGGGTGATTTTTTAGAAATGCCATTTTCCTTGGATTTTTAAGGCGACGGATCACAAATTCGTCCTTAGGGTACCCTCCACCAACGATGAAGTCTACTAATCGCCGATTTGGGCAAAAATTTGGTCGAAATTTTCAGAGGGCATTTTGGTAATTTTTCGGCTTTTTTTTAAGTGTCGTTTTTCATGGATTTTGAAGGCTGCAGATTACAGATTAAGGCTGAGGCTATTCTTTAGGGATGAATAATTCTAGTAAACACCGTATTGGGCGGAATTTTTCCAGGCCATTTTTGGCAAATTCCAAAGGAGTAACATCACCGATTTTAGGCGATTTTTGGGAAAGACCATTTTCTTTGGATTTTGAAGGCGACAGATCACATATTCGTCCTTAGGGTACTCTCCACCAATGATGATGTCTATTAATCAACGAATTGGGCATAAATTTGGGCGAACTTTTTCAGAGGGCATTTTGGTAATTTTTTGCGATTTTTTCGAAACTCTGTTTTCTATTGATTTTGAAGGCTATAGATCAAGGATTTAGACTGAGGCTATTCTTTAGGGATGAATAAGTCTATTAAACACCATTTCAGGCGGAATATTTTCGGGGCCATTTTTGGTATATTCCAAAGGGGCCTCTCTCTGGCTGGCATCTTATGGTCTTCTCTCTGGCTGGCATCTTGTGGCCTGAGATAATTCGGTATGGCTGGGACCCTAATAAGAAGAAATTGTTTAGTGCTTTTGATTTCAGGCGATTTTTTAGAAAGACCATTTTCCTTGGATTTTGAACGCGACAGATCATAGATTCGTCCTTAGGATACTCTCCACCAATGATGAAGTCTACTAATCGCCGATTTGGGCAAAATTGTGGTCGATGTTTTTCTGGGTGCATTTTGGTAATTTTTTGGCGATTTTTTCGAAAGGCCATTTTCCATCGATTTTGAAGGCTACAGATCAAGGATTCAGACAGAGGTTATTCTTTAGGGATGAATAAGTCTATTAAACACCATTTCAGGCGGAATATTAACGGGGATTTTTGGCAGATTCTAAAGGGGTACCATCACCGATTTTGGGCGATTTTTTTGGAATGACCATTTTCCTTGGATTTTGAAGGCGACGGATCACAGATTCTTCCTTAGGGTACTCTCCACCAATGATGAAGTCTATAAATCGCCGATTTGGGCAAAAATTTGGTCAAACTTTTTCGGAGGGCATTTTGGTAATTTTTTGGCAATTTTTTCGAAAGGCTGTTTTTCCATGATTTTGAAGGTTGTAGATTGCGGATTCAGGCTGAGGCTATTCCTTAGGGATGAATAAGTCTATTAAACACCGTTTCGGGCGAAATATTTTCGGAAGCCATTTTTGGCAAATTCCAAAGTGGTACCATCACCGATTAAAGGAGATTTTTTGGAAAGGCCATTTTCCTTGGATTTTGAAGGTGACTGATCACAAATTCGTCCTTATGGTACTCTCCACCAATGATGAAGTCTACTAATCGCCGATTTGGGCAGAAATTTGGTCGAACATTTTTGGAGGGCATCTTGGTAATTTTTTGACGATTTTTTTGAAATGTCGTTTTCCATGGATTTTGAGGGCTGCAGATCACGGATTCAGGCTGAGGCTATTCTTTAGGGATGAATAAGTCTATTAAACACCGTTTCGGGCGTAATATTTCCGGGGCCTTTATTGGCAGATTCCAAAGGGGTACCATCACCGATTTCAGGCGATTTTTTTGAAATGCCATTTTCCTTGGATTTTGATGGCGACAGATCACAAATTTTTCCACAGGGCACTCTTTAGCAATAATGAAGTCTACTTATCGCCAATTTGGGCATGATTTTGGTCGAACTTTTTCGGAGGGAACTTTGGTGATTTTCGGCAATTTTTTCGAAAGACTGTTTTCCATGGATTTTGAAGACTGCAGATCACGTATTCAGGCTGAGGCTATACTTTTGAGACCCTTACGTGCATTAAGTTAGGGAAATTACATAGAAACTAATTTTGTGGATGTATGAGACATAGTTCTAATGAGGTTACCATTTGTAGACCATTTTTGACATTTTTATTCTCATCCAACTCTATAGATTGGAGACTTTTCATAAATTTCCCTCAATACGCTCTTAACATTGCATAATTAGCTAAACGCACCAAAATACAAAGGCTAGCACATTTCATATCAATTTAAAATATTTGTATAAATACACTTAAATACTGCCTTTTTTTTTGTAATAATTGAAATTCCATATTGAGTTAATAGGCATCTATCTTCCATACATGACCATAATAACGAACTGTTTTCGGGCGAGAAAACCTATGTTGAATTGAGATAGATTGCACATTTGACTTCTTTGGACAACGATTTCTAAACACGGTTCAAACCTCTTCAAACATAGTTCAAACGAGGTTGCTTGATTGATGATTTTTGGGAATAGAACAAAATTAAATTTCTTCTACTCCTATAGTGGTTCGGTGAGAGCTCCAAACTAAAAACTACATCCATGGCTACATGATAGAGAAAGAAAAAGGATAAACTTGAAATGTGTGTCAGAGTGTTGGTTTTTGGGAACCTCTCTCTCTGTCGACCCTTCCTCCTATTTATAGCAATGGAGAGATAACTATCGCAAAAAATTTCCTCTGAGATAAGTCCCAAAAGAACCGCTCAGTGCTTCCTCGGAGTGGTTATTACTCCTTCAATCGCTTAGGTGCTTCTCTTGGAAACTCCGTGGGTCTTGGAGTGTAGCTTGCCTAGCCTGGTCTTGTTCCAAGTCTCGTGCCATGCTAGTTTTTTTATAAGCATGTGATGTCTCACAAATGGGGTCGTGGTCCTCTTGCCAGGAGGCCATGGACATCTTACTCATGTCCATGGTTCTCTTGGGACTTAGTCATTAGTGATATAATGCTCAACCGTCCACCACGTCCTTCACATTCGTGTCCATGGTCCCTCTCGTGAGGCGGCATGTCCTTCCTAGACTTAGTATATTTTGGGTCATTCAGTCTTGGTCATGAGGCAGCATGACCTCTTCATTCGCGGCCACGCACTTCTCAGTCATGTTCGTGGCCCTTCTCGTGCACGACATGACCTTCTCATACTTATTATTTTTCAATCATGCCTAGGACCACACGCCTCTTTTCCTCCATGGGACCTGACTCCCCATACATCAATTTTTAATTTTCTAGTTTACCAGTGGGTGGCACATGGTCGGCATGTCTAGCCTTGGTGGCCTTGCATGGGGTCCCATGCTCATATGCCTTAGCCACATCACCTGACACGTCAATACGACCATGAGTTTTCCTCTGCCTTTGGTTCCTCGTGGTTAAGACATGCTTACTCCCCTCATTGTTTGGAGACAATGTCTAGGCTTGACAAGTCGACTACCACTCATGTGGTCCATTTGACTTTGTCTTTCAACATCTGAACCTTGTTGGCCTCTACACTTTGCACACAACCACCCGCGGTTCTTTGTGAGGTCATGTTTGATTTGTTTGTATTGTGACTTCTTATACATGCCCCCGTGTCCACCCTTCGAGGTTAGTGACAAGTAACTATTACTCATGGACATGGACTCCCCCCCTCCCCCCCCCCACCGGTCCGTACTTTGCCAAATTTCCATACTCGTCACAAGCATGTGTGACTTGGACTTCTTTTAGCTTCTTGTGTCTCCTACTCCATTATTCATGGTGGGTGATGACATGCCTCCTTGCCCATACTTAGCTAAATTTTCAAGACTACAAGAACTCTTTTTGGCTTTCCCGCGACTTTTCTTGCTGGACTCAGTGGCGGAGCCAGAAAATTTCCCCACTATCCAGACTGAGCCATATTCGTATGCTTATCACAAGCATGTGTGACTTACCTCTTCTACACCACATGCCCCCAGATGGACTTCTCGGTTTCATGTGTGGAGTGGTAAACTTTCGTGCCCCCCCTTGTTGGGATCTAGGTGGTTTGAGTCCATTAGAATCCGCTCCTTGCCTACTCACTATGGGTGGGCGAGCAGAAGGTGGTACTTGGTCTAATTTCAATGAAATGCCACCACCTACGTCATCGACAAGGTGTCCTAGATGGTCTTATATCTAGAATTGGCGGTTGAACTCAACTAAGTACCGACAAATCCCCATCGTGGTTCTTGAACGTGAAGGCCAAATTTTGGCCACAACTCCCATGTTGAGAAGGTAGCTGGCTTGTCAACGGTGTGGGCGAGGTTCCTTGCCATGGCCGAACATTTTGACAAACAGTGGAATGAAGATTCTTACGCCATGTAACACTGTTTAGTGGAGGATCTTTGTTATTTATTGGCAAAATCCTTGATTGAACCACATATGTGTTCGAGACACGTCTAGACTCATAAAAATGGCTTTGAGTCTTGCTCAAGTTGCCAAACCAATTATATAGACATGTATTAATCCATGAAATGAGAGAAACATGGCGTTCAATGAGCGAATCATAACATTCAATAAAAGACTTGTGGCGTTTAATGTAAGATGTTAAACGTAGGTTTACATGTTGGGGTTCAACCACACCCTTCTCCATGGATTGATGGAGTGATGTGATGGCAATTGCTTCATCCAGACTTGTCGTCGGTGGTGGAAGAGCCCCCATTCCGCCATTTTTTCCGACAATAACATCCATTCGTCCACCACCGACGACACTTGTAGAAGATGGCGGGATGGGGGCTCTTCCACCACCGACGACAAGTCTGGACGACAAGCCATCACATCGTCGGTGGTGGAAGAGCCCCCATCCCGCCATTTTTTCCGACATAACATCCATTTCCACAAACACTTGTAGAAGATCGTCTTCTTGTTGTCTAAGTCGTGGAGCCATCAAATCAAACACAATATCCCACCTGGTGTGCCAATTTCATTTTCCAACGAGAAAACCTGCTTTGAATTGAGATTAATTGCACCTTTGACTTTTTTGGACAACAATTTCTAAACACGGTTCAAACCTCTTCAAACATAGTTCGAACGAGGGTTTTTGATAGATGGTTTTTGGGAACAAAACTAAAATAAATGACTTATACTCCTATGGAGGTTCGGTGAGAGCTCCAAACTAAAAACTACGTCTATGGCTACATGACAGAGAAACGAAAAAAGATAAACTTGACATGTATGTCAGAGTGCTGGTTTTTGTGAACCACTCTCTCTGTCGACCCTTCCTCCTATTTATAGCATTGGAGAGATAATTGTCGTAGAAAATAGCCTCTTGGGTAACTCCCAAAAGAACCGCTCCCTGCTTCCTCGGAGTGGTGATTACTCTTTCAATCGCTTAGGTGCTTCTCTTGGAACCGCCGTGGGTCTTGGAGTGTAGCTTGCCTCGCCTGGTTTTGTTCCAAATCTCGTGCCATGCTAGTCTATTGATAAGCATTTGATGTCTCACAAAGGGGGTTGTGATCCTCTTGATAGGCGGCCATGGACTTCTTACTCATGTCCATGGTCCTCTTGTGACTTAGTCATTAGTGATGTAATGCTCAACCACCAAGCCCTTCACATTCGTGCATGGTCCCTCTCGTGAGGCGGCACGCCGTTCGACTCAAAACAAAGCAGATGGCATCGATCGATAGCTCTCACAAGGAAGACAACAACAACATTTCGCTCGTCGAGTCGTATAGCCAAAACAACTCCCCGTCTTCGTCTTCCGCATCTCACCTCGACCTCTCGCCTCTTATCTTCATCTTCATTGCTAACCTAGAAAATCGTAAGCAAAGAAATGAAACCGATGGTGTAGTCCCCCTTGTTTGTTTGCTTTTTGTCTAATTGACACAACTAATGTGAGAGAGGGGCGGAAATAGATTATCGTAGACCTTATGTGTAATAAAGGAGGGATCACCAAAATATGTGTTTGAGTTCGGCGATTTTAGAGAAGGAGTAATGCCTCTCTTCAGTCGGATCTCGAGTCTTCTTCCGTTCATCTTCAGAGAAGGGAACGTCGACTTTTATCGATGATTCATTCCCTGAAATAAAGGACAGAGAGACATGAAAGAGGAGAGGTCATCCCATTATTTAAAATCTCTAAATGATAGTTTTTTAAAATTCATAATGACCAAAATACATAAATTGTTTATCCTTTCCATTTTCCAAACACATAAATATACTAAATTCTGGGTAGTACAAGAATTGTCCAAAATTACTCCCCAAATTTCCTAATCCAAAGTCCAAAGCACCAATCTAGTGTTGGCTCCGAGTAAATACGGAGAACCATGAGCGTGTGGTTGTTTTTTTTTTTTTTCCCCCGTCCAAGACATGTCAAAAAGGTGAGCATGTGGACTGTGGTTGTTGAATTCACCAAAACATGAAGAAGCGCTAAACAATTTTAAAGGACAATATTTTCTTTTGCTCAATTTATCAAAATAAACATTTAAAGCAAAATAATCAATATTATCTGCATCGCTTTCTTAGTTATTAATTTTTCCTCCCACCACGTAATCAGTAATCCGACGAAACACAAAATCAGCCAACCAAAATCTCAATAAAGAAACTGATTAGTTGATAACGAAATAAATAAAAAAAAACATCTTAATTATTTATTAATTAACACTAAAATTTTCGATGCTCCCTTTTCATGTCCGACACTCTGTCGGTGAACGTCAACTGACTACCAAATACACCCCCATCTCCTTCCTCACTCCTTCTCTCCCTCTTCTCTCTCTCTCTCTTTCTCTCTCTCCACCGCCATTTAATCCCCGGCGAAGAATTTACAGGAATGTTAGGTTCTACCGGCCAGGTAACTGCTATTTCTTCATCCCTTCTCTTCCTCCGGCGCCTCCGCCTTCGTCTCGTTATTTCCCCGCACAAGCTCTGTCTGTTTTTCGGCTTCTTTCACTTTCAAGTCAGTAGCAGTTCTTTTCACCTTTTTCTCTGAATCGTTTTGTTCAATCTTTTGAACTATACAGCCGGCTTCTCCTTCTTCCCTCTTTTGCCCTTCTCGTCCGAGCTCTCTACTTTCGGCTTCTGCTTTCTCTTCGGATCTCTTCCCCCCATTTTTTGCCCCACTTTTGGCTTACTTTTTCGCCTCTTTTGGAACCACTGGGTCTTTGTGTCCTCTTTCACTCGGAATCTAATTTTCGCTCAGTGGATTCGGGCTTTCTGTTGCGATGCAATTGCCGCAGACATTTTCCCCTGCTGCCGTTTCTACTTTTCTCCAACCTCTTACCCTTTTGGCTTTTTGTTGCGTAATAGCGTTAGTTGCCAGTCTCTCGGTTCTCTCTCTCTCTCTCTCTCCGTTACAGCTCAAGATGCTCCTTCACTGTTTTTTGTAAAAAAAAAATTTTGATCTAATTGAGTTGGGGCGTGGGTTTCAATCAGGGCCAGCACTGAACAGCGACGGATGATGTGAAATGTTATCGAGAGAATATTGTCGATTACTGGGTTGTGCAGTAAGTATCGTCTCCATTAATTCTCCCTTTCTGCATTCCTTTCTTTATCCAAGGACGAAAGGTCTTTGTTCTGATTTTGACTATGCTGTTTTCCTTACAAAAAGCTACCCATCCTTTCTCTCTAGCTACTCGCTCCCGACCTGTCTCTCCGCTAGTTCGGCCAGATTTCACTCGGAATCCGCAACGTTCACCTATCTAATTGGTGGGTTTTACTTAGAAAATCAGTTCAGAATGGCTAACACTCGGACTTCGGTTGCTCAATTGATTTGAAGCCTATGTGCAGTTTGACAGCGTTGCCTTCTTCTTGCATTTCTTCTCTGTTTACCTTGCCATCGTTGCTGGTGCTGGTTTTCTGCTGTGGGTTAGATGAGAAAGCATGGAGTAATTAATTGTCTTGACTTGTTCCAAAACAGGTGCTGAGATGAATCGGGTACAGAATACCAAGACACACTCCTTAGAGAAGCATTTCCCTGGATGCTTGGGCAGAATGGTGAATCTTTTTGATCTAGCCAATAATGTGAGTGGGAACAGGCTGCTGACCAGTAAACCGCACAATGGTGGGTGATTACATATTTCTCACCTCATCTGTGAGATTCTTAGAGATACAACGATTTTCTTGTTACTACACCCTGTGGTTTACTGAGTTCTTGGAAAGATTGAAATTTCCTTCAATGTTTTGGCATCTTGGCTACCACTTTCCTACCGCATAATTGGTTGATTTTGCTGTTGGATATCGTGCTTCTGATGCTGGTACAAGTATCTGTAGTGGAGTTGTGTTATATTAGATTTATGGTATGAAGCCAGCTGTTGCTGACACGGGGGTAATGGTTTGGCAGGTTCTTCACTGTCAAGGAGTCAGTCAGACGTAGTGAGGATGATGGGTGCACCCTTTGGAGATCAGATCGAGGACAAAATGGTAAGTAAGGAGGATTCTTTGTTTATTGGTGATTCTGGCTACAGATCAGTGTGCACCTTGTTTTGCAGACATTGTCTCTAATCTGCACACTCAAACACCTCTCCATTATTATATAACTTTTTCTTGTCTTGATCTGCATTGCTCTTTGTACCGGACATGCAGATAGTGTCGGAGTTTCAGAGAAGCTCCTCAAATAAAAAGGCAAGTGGAACACCGATGAAAACCCTTATAGCTCAAGAGTTGTCCAGAGAAGTAGATAGCAATCAAAAGCCACCAAATCTGGTTGCTAAGTTGATGGGCCTTGATGCCCTTCCACATCAGCAGCCTGACTCGGGAGCACTAACAAGTCACACAAAGGGTTACTCGAGACGGTCATTGAGTCACTCGGGAATTCTACTGGAATGTTGGGAGTCAGATCAGAATTTTTCGGACAAGGAAATGCAATGTTCGGCCCACCATTGTCCTGAACAGAATGAGTGCAAAGATACTACATATGAAGTGTGGCAGCAGTGTCTGACCAAAAAACTCAGAGATGGCTCACCACAGAAGAGAAGGCCAGATGGAAATATGAATGACAGAAAGATGGCTCTCATTCGGCAGAAATTCATGGAACTCAAATTTCTGGCTACTGATGAAAAGGGCCGTAAGTCCAAAGAATTTCAAGAAGCATTGGACATCTTAAGCTCCAACAGAGATTTATTACTGAAGTTTTTCCAGGAACCAAATTCAATTTTCTCTCAACATCTCTATGATATGCTGTCTGTTCCTCCACCTCCTGAGACAAAGCGCATAACTGTTCTTAGACCGTCTTCCAAGGTGGCTGCAAGTGATAAAATGGCAGGGTTAGAAAAGAAGGGTGATAAGAAGACCACAGAACCTGCACAGATGAATCAGGCCACTGCTGCTTGGGACAATAAAAACTTTGGATGCTCTCCCACACTTTCAAATGATGAATATTCTTCTGTGCAACCAACCCGGATAGTAGTACTGAAGCCTAGTCCAGCAAGGACTTACGATATTAAAGCCGTAATTTCACCGCCATCGCCAACACCAAGGGGAGAAGAGCTTAATGGTGAAGCTGAAGATCACGGGGCACAAGAATCTAGGGATGTTGCAAGTGAAATCGCAATGCAGATGTGCAAAGATCTGGTGGGTCGTCAGAGGGATGAAACACTCTTGTCGTCTGATGTATTCTCAAATGGTTACATTGGCGATGACAGTTCATTCAACAAATCAGAAATTGAGGACCCAACTGGAAATCTTAGCGATTCAGAAATAGCTTCCCCTATTTCAAGACATTCATGGGACTATGTAAATAGGTTTGGTAGCCCATACTCTTCCTCATCATTCAGTCGTGCATCTTGCACTCCAGAGTCATCTGTTTGCAGGGAAGCAAAGAAGCGGCTGTCTGAAAGATGGGCCCTGATGTCCTCAAATATGAGTTTACAGCAGGAGAACAACGCACGAAGAAGCTCAAGTACTTTGGGTGAGATGCTTGCTCTCTCTGATACAAAAAAACCAGTGGTGTCTAAGGAAGAGCCTGATAAAAATGAACAAGAGCTCGAGGCATCAACTTCCTCTTTAGCTTGTAACCAGACTAGGGAAGACGGCATCGACCAGTCTCCTAGAAGTCTTCTGAGATCTAAATCTCTTCCTGTCTCGTCTTCAATATATGGTGTCCGGCTCAATGTTGAAATTTCTGATTCTGAGGCCGTCAAAGTTGAAGTCCCCAAGGAGTTGACCAGGACAAAGAGTATGAAATCATCCTTAAAAGGAAAAGTTTCCAGCTTATTTTTCTCGAAGAACAAGAAACCAAAAGATCAAAACAGTGCATCTCAATCTGTCACCGCAGAAGTGCCATTGCCTCGTCCTGGACAAACTGGCAGCCATCGATCTTCATGCATTGACAAAACTGGCATGGAAGAGTGTTGCTCTCCCAGTTTAGATGGATCATGTGAGAGTTTGAAACAAGGCATTGCTTCTCATGAGGTAATAACAATCTGCTTTCTATTTACTTGTTGTGCAGTTTGGTTTGGTGCTCATTGTACCCCCAAATCAATTTGCTGGGGGTGCTACTTTGAAGTTTTTTTGTCACATTTGAAACTCCTAGCAAGTCTACTCAATTGAATTCATCATTGGTTAAATCGCTTCCCTAATAAGCTTTGCTTTTATGTTCTTCACATAGTTACAAAGGCTATTGCCTTGGAGGAATCTTATTGCCGCAAATGCTAAATTCTTCAAAATTCACCATTCTCCTTAACATGTGAAATCAATGAATCTTGATGTAACATGTAACCGTGGAATTGCAGGGAGTCTTGACAGTTGCTAAGCCAGAAATCGCAGGGAGTACGAGCGAGAACCAAGATCAGCCCAGCCCAATCTCAGTATTGGAAGCACAATTTGACGAGGATGACCTCAACATTCCAGAGCTTTGTGCTAGCATAAAGCTAGACCGGCGGGGTAAATTCTCTCAAATCTTATACTGTACCAGGCTCCCCCCGCTTTTGTCCTTCCAGCTGAAACCCGTTGCACCATTTTGGGAATGTGGCAGGACCAGAACTTCTCTCCAAGTCTTACTTGATCGACAAGTCACCACCCATTGAATCGATCGCTCGGACGCTCTCCTGGGATGACTCCTCCTGTGCAGAGACTACTGCATCATCATCATCCTCCTACTCACTAAAACCCTCGAGCGCTGAGGAAGAAGAAAGGGATTTGCTTTCCTTCATGGACACGCTACTGTCGGTAGCTGGCTTGGGCAGGCAGTCTCAGATGGAAATGGAGGACTCGAATTTCCCAAGATGGCATTCGCCGCAGAGCCCACTGGACCCATCGCTGAGAGACAAGCTTGCCAGCGAGACGGATAAGGAAGTTGCAGTCATGCATGAAGCAAAGAGGAGACAGATAAGATCAAGCAGGAAACTTGTGTTTGACTGTCTCAACTTGGCACTCAGTGACATTATTATCACGAGTCATGGGCCCACTGCTGCTGGGCGTGAGTCACTACCGGCCATGGAGGCGGTGGAGAATGTGTTGTGCCGGCTGAGGGAGTGGGTCGGGAGGAGGGATGATGAGGAGGAAGGCGACAGCGGGAGCAGTGTGGTGGAGAGGGTGGTAAGGAAGGAGGTGGCGGGGAAAGGGTGGATGGATGGGCTGGCGGCGGAGGTGGAGAGTGTAGGGAAGGAAATAGAAGGGAAGTTGCTGGAAGAGCTGGTGGAGGAGGCGGTGGTTGATCTGGCAAGCAGTTAGCGATGGTGGGACTGATAATGAGGTTTCTTCTGCTTCTTATTATTCCTCCTCTCTGTAGTGGGGCTATTGATTTCTTTTAACATATATATAAATGTGCGCCTGTTCTCTCTGTGACTGGCTGTCGCATACTTCTACTACTACCCCTATTTGTTTAAATTGTTGGGGGAAATTGGTGTGGTAGTGTTTCCGATTGATAATTGTGTAGCCATTGTATGGTTTTATATGTATTACTGGAATTATTATTGGTAGGTGAGATGTTAAATTCTGATGGTAGCTTGTACTAAGCACTAACCCTCTATGGACATTTTGCTTGTTTTCATCACAACCTGGTTAACAAAGGATGAAGAAAACCTCTTTGTATATAGGGTGGCATTGGCAATGAGGGAAACAATTGTTTGCTAGACCCGTGAATATGTTTGTATTGTTGGAACTGACGTACGAGTGTATTATATATAAATGAGTTGGCAGTGTGAAATATTTGTTGTGGTTTGAAATCGGAAGGTATTGTATAGTAAATGGGTATTTGGTGAGCACTTCTACTATGCTATATAGTATTGGTGCTTTAATGTATAACTTAAAGTTGTACCATAACATTAAATGTATAAGTTTAGGTTGTACCATAAAGCAATTTGTACCATTATGTTATGGTACAACTTTACAACTTGAAGTTGTACCATCACATAAAAGTACAGGTTCAAGTTGTACCATAAAAGAATTTGTACAAAAAGTATAGGTACAATCTGAAGTTGTACCATAACGTAAATGTACAATTTTAAGTTGTACCATAAAGGCAAAATCCTATAGCACCAATACTATATATCATTGTAAAATTTCTCGTATTTGGTATGGTAAATTCGAATCAAATCGAAATGGTCACTTTCTCAGGTTGGAATTCATCAAATCAGAGATATAGTTGTAGAGTGCTATATAGCATTGGTGCTATAGGTTTTTTCCTTTATGGTACAATTTGAAGTTGTACCGTTAACTTTATAGTAAAACTTTATATAGTACCTATACTCTTTTGTCAAATTGTTTTATGGTATAACTTAAACGTGTGCTTTCATTTGATGGTACAAGATTAAGTTATAAAGTTGTACCATAACATAAGAGCACAAATTCCTTTATGGTACAACCTGAAATTATACATTTAACGTTATGGTACAACTTTAAGTTGTACATTAAAGCACCAATACTTTATAGCATAGTAGAAGTGCTCTTGTGTTGTAAGTTGAGGATCTGTTCAAAACATATCAAACTGATAAAAAATTAGCCGAAATGGGAAAGTTTGACTTATTTGGAGCGAGGGCTTCAAACTTTACGCTCATCTGACCACGCGGATGTTCAGGCAATCCGTCTTGATTATTTTGTTTCATTATTCTGTATAGTATAATACAACCCTTCACTTAAGTAGATTTTGTGCATTTCGAGATTCATTGGTAAATAGACTTTGACTCTCTATCAACCACTAACGTGTCACTATTTTATTAACATGGTTACAACTAAATCGTTTGAAATCCAAACACAAGAAGAACAATGTGTTGTACTCTTTCTACTAATATATTAATTATATTAATACATAAATGGGGTGTCATATCGCTTGGAAACCTTAAACTTCAACCTATAAGCTAGAAGAAAGCTTTGACTTCGAACCCGATGTGCCAGTAGCCGCGATAATACAGAGGATGCAAGCGTTATCCGAAATGATTGGGCGTAAAGCGTCTATAGGTGCATGAAAACCCGAGCCGGTCGCTCCTCCATTAATCCGACCGGGGGTGTGGATAACGAGGCCACCTTCACAACCTTCTCCCTTTTGTCCCTATGTTGTAGTAAGGTAGGAATTTTAGACAAAGCTTCATATAAACTTTGATTTTCAGTTAATCCGACACCAACTCTTCAATATATTTCTTGCTGAAAATATCCTTGATCCCATTGGTAACGAGTGGGACTATGTCTGGTGATCATCTTTTCTTTGCCACTTGTGTATTTTCTAATTCTGAAGCTGATAGAATAGTTCTCTATAAGTAATCCTATTGCACTACGCGTACACAAGGATTTTGTAAATTTGGAGTGGCTGGATAAGCTCCCAGGGGAAAAGTTAATCTGCTAACTTGAAGATTCGTTAGCAGATACTAACTTATATCCAAAATACATGAACTAGTATCCAAGTACTAAAATATCAAGAGAGCACAAACTAGTATTCAAAGTTTGCTAACTGATATCCACCATGAATCAACTATTATCCCAAAGTCACAAACTAATATCTAGACAACACAGAATAGTATCCATATAGCACATAATTAGTATCCAGATAACACATAAGAGTATCCAGATAACATATAAGAGTATCCATATTGAATACTAGTTGGTTGTTTGTGGATATTAGTTGGTATCTGCTATTTGGATACTAGTTTGTGATGTTTTGAATACTAGTCTGTGCTATCTAGATACTCAGCAGACTTGGATATTAGTTCATACATTTTGGATATTAGTTAGTATATACTAACGAATCTTCTAGTTAGCAGAATAACTAGGCTGCCCACATAGTAAGGTTAGTCTGCTTGACCTTGATGTCTCGGTTCATTGTTCGATTCAGGTCCAACCAGCTGAGAATGTGAAATCTCTTTTGAAGCCTTTCAAATTCTTCAAGTTTTGGCTTCCACATCCATAGTTTGAGGAGTTGCTAAAAGAATGGATTACTAGAGTTGGAGGGTCTCCAATGGTTGGGATTTGTAAGTAATTATGTGTCCTCAAAAGTATGTTGAAGAAACTTAATGCAGAAGAATACTCATGCTAAGGTGATTCAATTCCCTGTCAATCGTGATCTCAGAACCCTTGACGGAAGACGCCTAGATCCAAGATTTCTTACCGTTGGCCATACATTGGCATGTAATAATAATTATTATTGCAGTTGGATTAGAAACATCCAAGATCATCCTTTCCCTGAGATCTAACTAGGATTTTTTTACGTTGGATTATAGTCATTATTATTTTGATATTTATCGTCAACGTCTATTGGGGTAAGAAACGGGTATACCAAATGGAGAAGCTACTGCTCCATTTCTCATTCGCGCAAAGTGAAACAATTATTTATGAACTAAACCGTCTCCTCAATTAATGTTGTCATAACCGAACCGGAGCATGACCCGATAATGCGAACGGCTCGCACTTTAGTGGTCCAACCGGTATTAGACCGTTTAAAAACCGTTAGAGAACCGATACCTAATAAACGTTATCAGTATAAATAGTGGACATTTATTCAGAGCTCATCTCTTTTCTTCGAAATTGTGAAATGGAAATAAGGATTCAGTTTGAGAGCCCTACGTTTTTTGTTTATTTCACTTTTCAATTTTCTGCAATTTTTTTAATTAAATTTAGTGGCTGAATGGCAAAAATCGGACCAGCGACTCAATCGGCTCAAACGGTTAACCGCCTCGGCCGCTCGCCAACCGCTACATAAAACCGGAGCAGCTTTTAGACTTTTTCGAGCCGGTTTTATGACCGGGTGGCGGTTTTACCGGTCGGGCCGAGCGGCTCGGCTTTAATAACACTGTCCTCAATACTATAATTTGGTGGTTGCAGCTTCGGGACAATAAACTCAAGACTGCAAAGACAAATAACTAGCAAATCACAAAGAACTGAAGGAAAACAACAGGAATGCAAATTATTGATACAGACTCACACCCACACACATCAGAGTAACATATGTAGAGAATGTCGCCACTCGAATTATCGACTGCCTTACCCACAGATACATTCGTAGACAAGAACGTAGACAAACAAAGAAACGATCAACTTCTGCAATTTACAGCAGAAACAAACACCCAATCAGCAGACAGCAAAACTAATCAGACAAGATCCTAAAATCTTCCATCCGTTTATATACAACACACAACTTACTCCGCCACAAAAAGGCAAACATATACCTTACTCGCAGAGAGACTCGACAAACTCACAAATCATAGCAACAGTCACTTCCTTTGGCCTGCAGGAATGCGACAGCTTTCCTCACTTGGATTTCATGCTCATTGACGTATTTAAACCAGGTTTGTCATTGCTGTTCAGTCCATACTGCAAGTACAAAGGGAGAAGCACGAGTTTAAAACATGGAATGGAAGATCAAAGACCTTAGAACTAACAAGAACAAGACGCAAATAAATGTTCGCATTCAGCATGATAGAAACCACAGAACTTGCAATAAGTGAAATAATCCTAAATGGTTCATCTTTCCAACACTCTATGGATGATTTCCAGAGGAATGAACACTAATTCTTCGTCTTCAATCAAGAATACCAACCAAGATTACCACCGGTTTTTGACAGTCAAGAATATTTCTTGAGTAGGACAAAGTCGCAATGTAGGCTGGTAAAATCACCGAGATGGACAACAAACTATAAGTGCACAAATATCCATATGCCAAGGTTCTGAATTCCATAGGCACCTTAATAGGGAAGTAAAAACCCTTTCAAAACTTAGCCTGGAAAGGCGGAAGTTAAGCATGGCTCGTATCTTAACCAGCTTTCGGAGTTGAATGTCAAATAAGTTTAATTTACATCCGTTTATTTACATTCAGATGTCACCATATATTCTAATTTGGGTACATGTTTAATCTCTGCAGATCATGCATTCTCTGACCATTTCAGGATACTATTAGTTGATTCAAGAGGGTATTCTAATTTTTTCAATCTGTTCCCACCATAAAGAGAGACCTAAGCTTATCAGTACTGGAATTTTTCTTGGCACAAGTTAGGCAGTGTCCTTCAACATACCTTTTCCCTCATTCTCGAGCTCCAAATGTCTGATCCGTTCCCTGATCCAGATGTTTGACCTGGTTGACCCAAGAGTGGTTCCCACCTTCTACTTCTACCACTCTCGTAATCATCCTCGCCATCAATATCACTCTTTGGAGTGGAAACCAAACCACGCAGAACCATGGCAAGCAGTAGAGACACAGCCTGAAAGTAGTGAAACAAAGACCAATAAGATAGAGGTCCAAGATGACTGGTTTATGTTAATCTAAGCACTGCTTCACAAAATCATTCACAATTCTGGAATTGACAAAAGCCAAATCGAGATGTCATCTAGCAAGATCTCATAATGCCTTGTTCTTTCATATTTTTAAAAAAGAGTCAGTTATATAGATAAATTTTCAGTAAAAGTGGCCGGAAGGAAATTACAAAATAACTGGAGAAAGATTAGAGTTTATGGCTTCCTGCAGACTTTCTTACATCAAGTGGTCACAACTTTATCGCTTCACAGTGGAAAAGAGAAGTAACATGTTCCAAAATTTCCATATCTCGGTCAACGAAAACCTTGTTAACTATAAGAATCCATTAAAGTTGAGGTCATCTGATACCTGAATTACAAGGACTGCTATGCCAACCCATTTACATATCTCAATGTTGTCCTCAATAAAAGCTCGCATGCTTTGAACTTCTCCAGTTGGATCAAATGGAATATCCTGTCAAGAATAGATACAGTTACTTTTTTTAGTTCAAAGAAAACCTCTGATAAAACATGAAGGCCAAAGCAAACACTCGAAATCATCACAAGAGCAGTGAAGTAACTAGTACTACCTTTTCCCAATGACGATCAATTGCAATGAAAGCAATCAAAGCTGCTTCCACCAGAATGAGTACAACTTTGAGGACAGTATACTAATGGTATTACGTTAAGGATACTATGTACAGAAACAGCTGTTAAAGAAACATATAATTTAAGTGTCATCGATTTGCTGCAGATACAGATAAAAATTCGATGCCCCCCTGTGGCCGAGGGATGGATTTACCACCAGATAAGAGATCGCAACTTACAAATTAGATCCTATAAGCGGCAAACGAGAAGAAGAAGGCAAAAAGAAAAAAGAAAAAAAAACAGATAAAGCCTCATGTAGCTAGGATACAAAGCACAGGCAACAACCGTTGATGGCTTCAGCTGCAATGCAACCGATGAAAGTGGTGCAACATAAAATGGCGCCGACTCCCATAAAAGAGTAGATGAACCTGCAATTCGAAACCACTTCACTTTTTAATGCTCTATGGAGTACCACAAGTTCTTGTAACTTGAAAGCCCCATAATCACAAATATTCAACAAGAAACTGAAGGCATGGAAGAAAAGAAAAACTCTATCACGCGATTATACAAAAAAAAATTAATTTAGGAATCCATGGAGTCGCAGGCCATCAACCAAACCAAAACAAGGACAAGAACCGTGACCCCAACTCAAAGATCAGAGCAATTAATGAAGGGAAAATATAAGAATTCAACTTTGAACTACTACCCATCACCGATAGAAACATGCAAATCACTGTGATTGTGGAATTTTCGTTTTCTCTCCTCCCTCTCTTGAAAAGGAAGTGTATTTCCAATCTCGGAAAAAAGCATAAGATATCGGAAGCGTTCAATCACGGCCTTTTACCATCAAAAGTCATATTTACATGGAAAATTAACTATATTGAAGCAACTAATTAATTTGCAGGTCAACCCGTAATTAGACTGGAAGAAGAGAAGACGAGGGATGGGGCGAAAAATTCAATTACCAAGGGGCAGGGAGGTCGACGGAATTCAAGTAAAACCCGAGGCCGGCGTCCATCTGAGAGGCCACATCGGTGGCGAGATTAAGAGTACTAACTGAATGAGATCGGGAATAGACGATAGAGGAAGAGGAGGAGGAGGAGGGAGCAGGGAACGGCGGCGGGGAGGCGGGAAGGTGATGGTTCCATTGATCGAGCATCCAGGCGGAATAGAGAATGATGGAGATGCCGATGAAGGCAAGGAGGAAATTGAAGAACTTGAGCAGAAATGCAATGGATACATGACAGCAATTGGGCCGCATCTCTTCCGGTGAATAAAAAAACTGAAACTGAAAACCCTAGCAGAAGATTGGAAATTAGGCAGAGAATGATGTGATTGTTATCAATTGTAGTGAAGATCAGCTGGAGACTCTCCCTTTTCGTTTCACTTCTTTCCCCCTTTTCAATTTTGTTTTCTATTTTCTCTGTCCAACTTTTTCCCTTTTCAGGGTTAGTGTGATGGTTAGGGCCGGAAGTTTGGTACCGGTATTTAAGATATACCGAATATCATACCGAATATGTCTATATTTTGTATTATCGAATACATGTATTATTTTTTGGAATTGAGATTGTGATTGAATTTCAATTGTGATTAGGTATTAGGGATTACGGGATTGGGATCGGTATATACCGATCCCAATCTCGTAATCCCTAATCCCTAATGGTCGGTATATACCGAAATATCGATCAATACCGAAATATAAGCTAGTGTATATTTTATCTTCTCAACTAGACTCTCTCATTCACTACTACACGAACCTAAACCACCAATAGTGACATTTGATTATACATAGATCATTCTATCACTATTAATAATCGCCTCTCAACCTCCAATTCGTCAAATTAACGATTACCAATGACAAGAACTTGAGATGTCTCCTCTCCTCCATTCTCCTTAATAATATCCTAATTCAAGACACTTTACTTAGTCTTTTCCCCCCTAAATTAAACAATAAAATCTAATTGATATATTTAATTATTAATTGCAAAGATAATTAATTTTATATTCGATAATACCGATTGGGATACCGAAGTACCGATTGGGATACCGAAATATTTAGGGATTGGGATTGGGATACCGAAATTATTTAAAGATTAGGATTGTGATTGACTTTAGAATCTAATGCGGTATTCGAGATTTCGGTGTTTGGTATTGGGATACCGATACCGTACCAATTTCCATCCCTAGTCATGGTTGTCAAGTCGTTGACATATTGAGCGGTACATCCAATAGTACTAGTATTGATTACAAAATCAGCTAGAATGCACTAATATAAACTACATGATCAAATTTTCAAATCTTAACAAGATGATGTTGTTTTGCTGATTTTAATTAATCATTTTTTTTATAATTTGAATATAAATTTGTAGATATTTATGTTATTTGATGGATTTGATTATAAACGCTTGGATGTTGGCATTAAATGTTATATTTAAATATGAGAATTTTCTTAATTTGTTCGAAAAATTGTATTTTATTTAAATTTGGATGTAGTTTTTAGAGAAATTGTCTTCAATTGGGGTTGAGGTTGAGGGTATAGTAAAAAAAAATCTCTAATCCTCTCTTCTTTCTCTATCGGTGATGTTTAAATTTGCATGCCGACGAAGAAAACACCAGGACGGGGGAAGAATTGCCTCATCGAATAGTTAATCAGGCCGATTCCAAAGGTTATAGTCTTCACCAATGGGCGACTGCTCTTTAGGGTCATGATTGTGTAGTTAGGGCTCTCCAGGTTTGATCCGAGACTCCTAGTTTTTCACTTTCCCTCTACTTCTACCAGCATATGGTTTTTCAATATGCTCCTTGGCACTATCAAGGAAATCATATTTTCTTTCATAAGTGAGCGATGGGGATTCAACTGGTTGCCCCCAGTAGTTGAAACCCTTCCTATTTGGGTGAGGATTTGGGGGTATACCTATGGAGTATCACTCTTTCGAAGGTTTGGAGTGGCTCATAAGTATGTTGGGGCCTCCGTTATGGATGGATAATTCGATAAAAGTAGGTGCTCGACTCGGGTATGCTAAGGTCTATGTAGACCAAGCTGTAGATTGTGGGTTTCTATCTCAAGTTAGGTTATACCCAGATGATGACCCTTGTTTTTTGGTAGATATATTAAATACCTAAATAAACCTTTTACATGTCTTGCTTGTAAGGTTTATGGGCACGATTCTGAGAGGCTGGCAGAAAATAGGAGAGACTGGAAGGCTAAACCAAAAGCAAGGCAAATTATAATATTGTTAGTGATACAAATGTTAGTGCTATTGAGGGTGAGAAGTTATCCTCTAAAGTGTTTGCCCCCGAATCTTCTGAGGGGTCGTTGGATGAAGGTTTTGTGTGAGTGTTTTGGGCACAATTCCTCACAGTGAGAGATTTTAAACATTAGGGATTTCATAAACCCACATTTGTAGGATTGGAAACCATTTGTAAGATTGAAATCCCACAATATTTTATCAATTTGTTCAATATATGCCCCTACTCCTTTTATGTTAATCCAAGTTTGCCCTCTCTTAAGTTAGCTCCTATGGAGCAAGGGGAGGAAATCAATGATTAATGTAAGTCTCAAATTGTTTATACGGCTACTCTTGAGAAGGGGGGGGGGGGGTCAAACAAATCAGGGTGATGGTGCAGCTACTATTAGTTTTGCTCAAGTGGTTATGGATCACCAACAATTGTCGGGAGACCTCAACCTACTAAGAAATTGACTGCCTCGGCTAGTTTATCAGCTTTGTCTAGGAAGCTACCTGATCAGTCAACTACAGTAATGAATTCGAGCAACAACCAACATATGAAGGGTATTTGAGTGAAGAGAAAAACTTATACCCCTTTCTTAGTTCCTAAGGTGAAAGGGGTGGTCATGGTGGTAAAAAGAAATGAAGGTCCTTATATGGAATACAAGGGGATTCAAAGCCCAAAAAAGAATAAAACTATAAAAAAGTTAGTCAATAAATTTAATGTAGATATCATTGCTATATTAGAGCCAAGAGTTAGAGTAGGGAAGGCAAAGAAGCTAATAAATGACAGGTTTCCAGATTGGGAGCATAAAGTTGCTAACAATGAAAATAAGTTGGGGAAGAATTGGTTAATTTGGAGAAAAGACATTCAGTTTAGAGTTCTGCATCAGTCAGATCAGTTTATGCATGCTATTGTGAGTACATGTATCCCTTAGCTTTCTTCAGCACTCTAAACTATGCATCAAATGAAGAGGCTAGTAGAAGAAAATTATATGTTGATTTTGAAGGTATTAAACTGGTAAATGAGCCATGGATTTTACTAGGAGATTTTAATGCGATTGTTCACACTAGTGAATCCTCGAACTCTCCTGCTTCCTCATCTAGTATGATGATTTCTTGCAATGGCAGTATAACCTAGAAATTGAGGAACATAAGACTACTAGTCCTTTGTTCACATGGATCAGTAAGCAGGAAGGCAACCCCATGCAAGGAGGCTTGATAGGGCCTTTGCTAATATAGGTTAGTTGGAAAGTTTTGGCTCTGGCAAAGTTGATTTACTGGATTCTTCGGTCTTTGACAACTGCCCCATAATGTTGGAAACAAATAGCTCTATCAAGTATCTTCCAAAGACTTTTTAAGTTTTTAAAGTTTTGGATGGGTCATCTTTAGTTTATGGATCTTGTTCAAACTCTTTGATCTAGGGAAGTTGAGGGGTATCCACTTGCGAGAGTTGCAAGAAGCTTAAAATCGTTAAGGGATTGTAGAAGAAGCTCGGTAGAGAGGAGTACTCAGATTACAGAGGGAGAGTCAGGTCAAAGGAAGATGACTTGGTGTTGTCTCAAGCAAAAACTTTATCTTATCCTTAAGAAGTTTCTTTTGAAAAAGAGAAGATGGTCTTCATCGAGTTAAAGGAGTTAAGGGAGGTAGAAAAGACTTTTATGAGGCAAAATTTTAGGGAGATATGGTTGAAGGAGGATGATGCAAATACTGCATATTTCCATAGATCGATGAAGATTAAACAAAAAAAATGATTTGTTCCCTCATTAATGGTGGGGGTAGAACAGTAACTTATACTGAGTCAATGAGTAGTATTACAGTTAAATTCTACGAAGGTTTATTGGGTAAAGTGGATTCAGAAGTCTTGGCAGAATGAGTTGAGTATTTCAGAAGCATTATAGTGAAAACATTAAGTCAAGATCAACCAGAGTTATGCAGGCAAATATCTTATGAAGAAAGTGAAAGATAAAACGTTTGCTTTCATATAGGAGATAAAAGTCTTAGACCATACATGTATATAGCAACAAAAAAAAATCAAGCTATAGGGCATATGGTAGGGGCTAAGCTGACCTCTGCTATTAGGTTTTGTTTTATTCATTCTGAGGTAAACTCCACACTCCTCACTCTTATTCCGAAGATTCAGAACCCATTGGAGATAAAATATTTTAGAACAATTTCATATTTTGCATGTTGATGCTTATCTCGGTGAGGGCCTATGTTGCCCATTCGTTTGTTCCTTAGACTTGAACTCTAAGCATGGTTAGTTTTGGTTGGTGAGTAGTCCCGTCGAGACTTGTATTGATTTGTGAACAGGATGAGAACTTTTTGTTTGCATGTTCTTAATGTATTCGAATGTCGTTTGTGGTGGATGTCGATATTGCCTGTAATAGTTCATGTGTTGATGCCCAATAGCCATTGGGATTCACCCTCTTTGAGCCCTTTGATATGTCCCCAAGTTATCTTGTTAGGTTGAGATATTACCTTGTTTGGAATTGGTTATTGGGGACAAGCAAACGTCTAAGTGTAGAGGAGTGATTCGGGTCTAATTGTACACTTTTTATCCCGTTTTCCTTAGATGTTTGAGGCACTTTAACTCTGTAAGGTTCAGTTTTACGCTAGGTTGTAGTTGTTTTTAGTACGTTTCAAATCCTAGCAAGTGAAATCAACCCCTTGAATGAAAGTTGGACGAAAAGGGGGGAAAACCGGTCAAAAGGGAACAAACAGTTGTTCTCAGGGGAGGCCAGTAGATCATGATCAGCCCGACTGTGAAGAAGGGGAGCAGACCGCTAAGCGCATGGAGTCCAGGATAGTTTTGCACACCTCGCGGGCGTTCAGCATTTCACGACCAACCGACTGTGAAAAACCGCTCTAAACCGTGAAGCGCCTAAGTGAAATGACGTGCTTTTGCTTGACATCACGGTCCAAGCCCTATGTTCACATCCGTGAACTAGGACCGGGGAATTCCGTCAATCTGGGTATATAAGGAGGGTTGAGCTGAAAGAGAAAAAGGAGAGAACCTAGTGTGAGAGACTTCTTCTTCTTCTTCAGATTTCTAGAGTGAGAAATTGACGAACAAGAGAAGGAGGAGAAGTTAGGGTTTCATCAAAGAGAAAAGTTTTGGGAATTTCTTCCTCCAAGGTTGATCTCCACACCACAAGGAAGAAGGCAAACATCATCAAGATGGTTTTCACTCTTCTCCTTTGTGAATTCCCTCTACTTAGAATAGAGTAGTCCTTTCTTTCACTTGGTATTTGTAAACCCTAGCTATAATTATGTGAATGTTTGTATGGATTTAATGACTTGTGTGTGCTTGTGTTTTAATACAAGTTATGAAGTATTTTCATAAACGTTGTGTTGTGTTTTTGCATTTCCAACTCTTATGTCATTTTGACCTAGGTAGAGGAAAATCCACTTCTTGATAAGATGCTTGTAAAAGCTGGAATTCCTTGGCCTAATTGTGTCACCTGCTTAGGTTCAATTAGGGGGAACCTCTCAATACGTATTAGCACCTTGGGTAGGTTTTGTTTTGGTCGTCCGGACTACGGTTCGAGGGAGAATCCCAAGCAACCCTTAGTCGATTGGCCAAGAGAGCTACCTTGGTAGCTTGATTCCAAATCCCTTGGCCTAGTGACCGAGAGAGTGACGCTTGTTCACTTGTTGCACTTTCCTACGATTTACAACCGCCTTTACCACACATTTGCATTTGATCCGACAACGGCGACAAGTCATGATTACTAGCTAGGGGGAGCAACACCCGAGTGAAGCCTTCTCAATTAGTGTTCAAACCATTTACTTTATCAATTGCTTTAGCTTTAAACCATAGTTTTAACCAAAACCATTTGCTAGATAATCTTTCAAACAATTGAAGTAGTGGTACATGGACCGACCTGGGTTTGACTTTTAAAACATACTTGCCCTATCTTGCACCCGGTTAAGGTTTATACTTGGGCCTTAATCGGGATTTTTATTGTGATATTCGGGACGATTCATTCATCAATATACATACCGATGGAGCCTTACAAACTAGATGGAAGAGTATCAACTATTTATGTGGAAAGTGAAATGTGTCTTGGATGAGGGAAAATGTTGTACCAACAAGCGGTTCTACCATACTTAACATGGTTAGTCGACTTTTTATATGTATTCATCAAAATGATTACGTAAGTGTCATAATTACGGATTTTTAATTGAAATATTCAATACATAATCAATTACTTAACATCATCAATTACTAAGACATAGACAGTATAGTGTCGTATTGTTCCTAGACCCATTTTATGTTAGGTTGTGCTTCTTTTGTTATGTTTCAGGTCTTAGTGCACACTACACTATCTGAGGGAGTGAAAATAACACCTAAACCATGAAATGTTTTCTTCATTGCCGTGAAATCAACCCAAGGGTGTGATCCTTGCACTGCTACGTACGGGTATACATTGACAGCAAGGGTTTTGAGCAAGAAGAGCTGGGTTTTTTACCCTAAAACACCCAAAGGGGTAATTGTAGAGAGAGAGAGAGTGGCCAAGAGGGTTCATGGTGCTATTTTGGGGGTGCAAATCACCTTATATTGTTCTCTCTCTCTTCTTCTCTATGAGTTAGCTTCCTTCACTTAGGTTGATTAATTCTAGTTTTAGATTTTGGTTTCATTATATTTTTTATATATGTGACAAAAGACAAATCCTATATATTATCTATTTGATTGATGTTTATGAGGAATTGCATGAGTCTTGATCCCATTACATGTCAATTGAGCTTTTGACCTAGGAGAGAGAATATCGTTCTAGGTTGAATAGAGCACCTTCAATCATTCACTATGGGTCTTTGAATGAGTGTGATAGGATCCACAGTTTCGTATTCGGTTTTCTCCAATCGTGGGAATCGGTTATGAACACCTCAATCGCCTATGTCGGTTGTATGGTATGCCTCGCCGGGTAAAGCAATTGAGCGGGAGTCCAACCTAATCTAGAATTATTGGCAGTAGAAGTACCGAGTCAATCAATCTATGGTAGTACACACCATCGGTCCAAATGACAGAATTAGGGGGATTCATGCCTATGTGAGCTCCCAACCTTGTAATTAGTTAGGGTAGTGGTTAGATTATTTAGCTAGCTTAGTATTAATTAATCACTATTATTGTTTGGCTAGATAACATACTGAAGTTGAAGTAACATTACATCTAGAGATTCGTGGATCGATAATTGTATTACTTTGCTCACCCTATGCTACACCCGATCGTCAGTTATGTTTGACCCTCGATGGATTGGGAATGTGTAGTTAGTGCGAGTCAGATAACTCTAGAATTAACTTCAATTTTTAACAATGTTATACTGATAATATTATAATTAATATGACAATGATATAATGTCATCAAATTATTTTTTCCAAACATAAGACTTCATACCAACATCATATCACTATCATATTGTGATGATGGTTTGATGGCCTGAAAATTTTTTGTTAAAAAAAATATCAAAATTGATATCATCTTGTAGAACACAAAAAATATTGATTTTTCTATGTAAAAAATTTCGAATTCCGAAGTAAAACGAATAAGATAAGTTTTGCTATTTTTTTGGTGCGATTTGACAAATATTTTACCAACAATCTGAAAATTTGTGTCAGCCAAAAAATCTGGTCAACTGCCCACGAAATCTGGTCACTTGTCTTGTCTCCACAAACCCCTACTTTTCCTCTTTACTTCTCTACAAAGACGACCATTAGATCACATTTTCTCCAATCTCAACCATTTACGTATTATGATTTTTTTTTAAACTAGAAAATAAGAGGGTTTTTTTTTCCAAAACCAAGTCAAACTTTTGAAATAAATGCAGGCATGTAGCTCTGTAAAAGTAACCGCAAAAAAGATTGCATGTAACCGAAGTGGAAGACGAAAAAGTTAATATATGTGCATGGGAGTAATTAACTGGTGATGGTAGAACCTTCTTAAATAAGCACCTCTGTCTTTTTCCTCCAAGTTAGATAGCCACATTTATTAGTGCTTCAACCAATTGCTAACACATTTTAGGGAAAGTTTTACCCAAACAGATGCTCAGTCGTTCTCTTTATAAACAAGCAAAGTCCCACAACCAGAAGAACAGCACATCAAGCCGTGATAAAAAGTTGCCAATTCTACACCATCGTGCGCAAACCATATATTCCGAAAGAAATTATATAATGCTCTTCTCGTCTCCTATGAGAATCTCTGCGGCGGCCACTTCGCTCCTGGCTGCCGTGACGGTACTAGTATTAGCCGCACGGGTTTCGACGACAACACCGGCACCAGCCCCAGCAACGGCACCAGCGTCGGCGCCGGCTCCGGGACCGTCTGCTCAGGAGTCCGTGCCAGCCAGAGCGTTTCTAGTGTTTGGGGACTCCCTGGTGGACAGTGGGAATAATAACTACTTAATTACGACGGCACGTGCGGATTCGCCGCCCAACGGCATAGACTATCCCCACCAGCAACCCACGGGCCGCTTCTCCAATGGCCTCAACTTCCCTGACCTCATTGGTACGTGTATATATATGTAATATGTTGCGGCTCGCGTACTCGTAAATTTTATGCTGTAATTTTGGGTGTTTCTTCCCTCTCATTGGACGTTGTCACGCGCGTCACATGCACGCAGCGGAGGCGCTTGAGTTGGAGTCACCGCTTCCGTTCTTAAATCCGGATCTTAAGGGAAAGAAACTACTGGCTGGCGCCAACTTTGCCTCTGCTGGGATCGGAGTCCTCAATGACACCGGCTTTCAGTTCGTAAGTTGCCAGATCCAATTGTCTCTCCCTTTAATATGTTTATATATATATGGCGAGTTCTACGGTATTCATGGTGAAATCCATGGTACTGCATACCTTGACTATGAAAATGCTATCTAGACTTTGAATTGACTGATTTTTCGGACATAATACTATACTCTAACCCTTAAAGATCAAAATCTAGGTCTTAATTCTCTAAATCTTATACCCAAAATCAATTTAATTAGAAACAATAATCGACGGTTATGATTCGTCCAAATATATGGGGAAAAAATGAATGCTATATTTTAGAGTTTATAGTTTATGATTTAGATAATTAGGACCTAGGGTTCACTCATTAAAATGTGGTGGAGAGGCTGCAGGTTACGGTGTTGAAGATGTACGAGCAACTGGGGATGTTCCTGGAGTACAAGCACCGGCTGGCGGCGCTTTTGGGCCCGGCCAAGGCCCAAGAGGTGGTGAGCAACGCCGTGATCCTCATAACCTGCGGCGGGAACGACTTCGTGAACAACTACTTCCTCACCCCCGTGGCTCCCCGGCGGAAGCAGTACACCCTCCCGGATTTCTGCAGCTACGTGATGTCGGAGTACAAGAAGCACCTCCTGGCGCTCTACGGGCTGGGCGCCAGGAGGATCGTGGTGACCGGAACGGGCCCACTGGGCTGCATACCGGCCGAGCTGGCCTTCTACGGGAGCATGAACGGCGAGTGCGCCGACGAGCCCCAGGAGGCGGCCAAGATGTTCAACCCCAAGCTGTTCGATCTCGTGGACGAGCTCAACAGGGATATCGGCGAGGACGTCTTCATCTCCGCCAACGCATTCTCCTTGAAGATGGACATGATCGAAAAGCCGGAGCAATACGGTGCGCACGGCACCTGTGTGTGTGTGAAAGTTTTACCATTTTTTAATTTTGCTGTACTTATGGTTCTTCTTAATTTAATTAATTACGGATGCAGGGTTTAAGACGTCGAAGGTAGCTTGCTGCGGGCAGGGGATGTACAACGGGCTGGGGATGTGCACAGAGATGTCGAACCTGTGCAGCAACAGGGAGGAGTACGTTTTCTGGGACCCGTACCACCCCACAGAGAAGGCGCTGCGGATCATGGTGAAGAAGCTGATGAATGCTTCAACAGACCACATCCGACCCATGAACCTTAGCACCATGATGGCTGTTGATGCTGCTGCAGCTGCCGATAGAGCCATTAATTAATTACCAACTGGTTGCTATAGCTGGTTAAAGACATTAATTATGTTGGTATTGCATGAATTGCTTTCCTGCTAATAGTAACTGCCGTGGACCTTGAGCTCCGGTTTGGTTATGTGGTGTTGTTGTTATGAAGAAGAAGGAGACTATAATCCAGTCTAATTATATATGTTTTTTACATTGGTTTTTCATTTTTCCTGCGAATAATTCGTGGTGTGTAGAATTTCGTGCGTTGATTTTGACTGAATGCACGTCTTTAATATGCTCGGGGTCAGAATATGTTGTGAGTTGTACTTCAGATCTGCACTTGTTTTGCATGCCCGTTGAGGACTCATTTGGCTTTTCTGGTCGTGGCGCGCGAGAAGAATCTGTTGGGCGCAGCGGGTGAGAATAGCGGGTAAATATATTGGATTAAAAAATCACACGCTTGTAAAAAGTTCACAGGTAAGTTGGACCTGGTGGCAGAGCCTCCAGAATTACGGTAACCAACTTACTTAGATCAATTTACTTCGGTAATTTAATAACGCAATATACTACGACTATTCTCAAAATGACAACAAGCATAGACAATAATAAATGTCACAGAGGATTTACGTGGTATACCCTGATTTAGGGCCAGTCCACGGGAACAACAGCTCCAGAGTATTTCTTCACTATTGCAACAGTAGGTTACAGAGAATTTCAAGATACAAGGAAATAGAACACTCGGTGTTTCCCGGAACAACCTCACTATTTCACTCACAAGAATTCTCCTATCTACCCGTGGTAGTGAAAACGTTTCACTACCAAAACCCACAAAAGAAATACGAACAGAAGCAGAGCAAATGAATTGGAAAAGTATGAAATGGTGAAGGATGATTTTGAAAAAGGGAGAACCATGTTCCCTTTTATAGCAGAGGAAATGGGGAACCAATTGATTGCAATTGGTTGGATCTATCTGCTATCCATCTCCCCAACTGCATTTAAGTTTTTTTTTTTTATTTCCACCGCTTGGCTCGTTGGCTATTGTTGAGCCACATGAGGCGGGCCAACAATTCTCCCCCGCCCGACTACATGGGCGACTTCATTATTCCTGCAGCTGATCGACAGAACTCAAACTTTTCTCTTGGAAGAGTCTTGGTACACATGTCAGATCCATTTTCGTCAGTATGGATCTTCTCCAGTTGTAGTTGCTTCATTTCAAGTACATCACGAATCCAGTGATATCGAACATCGATATGTTTTGATCGAGCATGAAATGAAGCATTCTTCGCAAGATGAATAGCACTCTGACTGTCACAGAACAGCTGCGGTTGTTCCTGTAGGAACCCAAGTTCATTCAGGAACTTCTTCATCCATATCATCTCCTTGCATGCTTCCGTTACTGCTATATACTCAGCTTCTGTTGTGGAAAGAGCTACACACTTTTGTAGCCTTGACTGCCACGATATTGCTCCCCCTGATAAGGTAATCAGGTACCCAGAAGTGGACCTCCTCGAATCAACATCGCCTGCCATGTCAGCATCTGTATAGCCAACAAGGACAGGTTCACCATCTCCAAAACATAGACTCATTTTGGAGCTACCTCGAAGGTATCTGAGGATCCACTTCACAGCTTCCCAATGTTCCTTTCCTGGTTTGGAAAGAAACCGACTGACAACTCCAACTGCATGAGCAATATCTGGCCTTGTACACACCATGGCGTACATCAAACTTCCCACTGCTGAAGCATATGGAATTTTATCCATCTCCGCCTTTTCCTTCTCAGTAGACGGGCTCTGTTTGGATGTCAATGTAAAGTGGTTAGCAAGAGGACAGCTAACCGCCTTAGCATTATCCATGTGGAAACGTTGAAGCACTTTCTCAATGTACTTCTCTTGTGACAACCATATCTTCTTGGCACCTCGATCTCGAACGATCCTCACGCCAAGAATTTGCTTTGCTGGTCCCAAGTCTTTCATGGCAAAAGACTTGCTCAACTCCTTCTTCAAATCATTGATCTTTGAGACGTTCTGCCCAGCAATTAGCATATCATCCACATAGAGCAAAAGTATGATGAAATCTCCATCAGGAAATTTCTTCATGAACACGCAGTGGTCTGAAGTAGTCTTCATGTAGCCTTGCTCCCCCATAACAGACTCAAACTTCTTATACCATTGTCTTGGTGCCTGCTTCAAGCCATACAAGCTCTTACGGAGCCTGCACACATAGTCCTCATTTTTCTCTTTCTTGAAGCCTTCTGGCTGCTCCATGTAAATCTCTTCCTCCAAATCACCATGAAGGAAAGCAGTTTTCACATCCATTTGTTCAACCTCCAGGTTAAGACTTGCTGCTAGTCCCAACACAGTACGAATGGATGTCATCTTCACCACAGGTGAAAATATCTCGTCAAAGTCAATGCCTTTCCTTTGACTGAAGCCTTTCACGACTAGTCTGGCTTTGAAGCGTGGCTGACGGTTGTGTTCATCATGCTTGATCTTAAACACCCACTTGTTCTTCAAAGCTCTCTTGCCTTTTGGCAACTTCACCAACTCAAATGTGTTGTTATCATACAAGGAATCCATCTCGTCTTGCATGGCTTCTATCCACCTTTGCTTGTCTTCATCATTCATAGCTTCTGTGAAGCTTTCTGGTTCTCCGCCGTCAGTAAGTGAGACATATTCAGTCTCGGGATATCTGGTAGACGGTCGTGAAATTCTACCAGATCTTGTTGTTCGAACAGGAGAACCTTCTATGGCTGGTGGTTGACCATCATCATCAGCATCTTCTGGTTGAACCTCCACATGGGCATTTGGTTCAACTATCTCAGGCTGATCATGTTGTACTTCTTCTCCAACTTCTGTAGGCGCTGGTGTTGGAGGCACTAGCTCAAGGTTTGGCTGGCTAGCATCAGTACTAGGAACTTCTTTCCTAGCAACAACATCTTCGATGGTCTCATTCTCGATGAAAACAGCATCACGGCTTCTGATAAGCTTCTTCTGGATTGGATCAAAGAATCTATAGCCAAACTCATTTTGACCATAGCCAATGAATACACACGGTCGCGTCTTTGAATCCAACTTTGACCTTTCATCCTTTGGAATATGGACAAAGGCCTTGCAACCAAACACCCGCAAATGTTTGTAGGAAACTTCTTTTCCTGTCCACACCTTCTCTGGGGCGTCATACTTCAGTGGCACACTAGGTGACCTGTTCCACACATAAACTGCTGCAAGCAGTGCCTCCCCCCAGAAAGATTGTGGTAGCTTCGAGTGTGATAACAAGCACCTGACTCTCTCTAGCAGGGTCCTGTTCATCCTCTCAGCTAGCCCATTCAATTGCGGCGTCTTTGGTGGTGTGAATTGCTGCCGAATTCCATGTTCCTTGCAGAAGGTAGCAAACGGACCTCTGTACTCTCCACCATTGTCAGTCCGGATGCACTTCAGCTTCTTGCCAGTTTCCCTCTCCACCAGGGCCAAGAATTGTTTGAAAACGTCTAGGGCCTGATCCTTGGTCTTCAAGGTATACACCCAAGTCTTCCGTGAATGGTCATCAATGAATGTCACGAAATATCTGGCACCTCCAAGTGATTTGACGTTGACATCGGGTTCACAGAGATCTGAGTGAACTAGATCCAACACGTTCTTTGCTCTTGAAGGGATGGAACTTTTGAAAGCAACTCGATTTTGCTTTCCCGCAAGGCAATCGACACACTTCTTTAGATGAACTTGATCCAACCCAACTATGACCTTCTTCTGGGCCAACTTTGCCATGGACTTCTCACTCATGTGACCGAGCCGTTTGTGCCACAATTCAATTGTGTCACCATTCTCCGCTGAGTTGACAATCTCTGGGGAGATCTTGGCTTCCGTCACATACAGCTTTGACAGCTTCTTGCCCTTGGCCAACACCAAGGAGCCTCTGGTGAGTTTCCACTGGCCATTGTGAAAGGTGTTGCAGTAACCTTCCTCATCCAACTTGTCTACAGAGATGAGATTCAGGCGCATTTCTGGAACATGCCTGACATCCTTCAGCAGTAGCTTCGTACCATTCATCGTCTCCAAGCAGACTTCTCCTTTTCCGATAACTTTAGAAAGATTACCATTTCCCATTCTTACCACACCAAAGTCACCTGGTGTGTAAGATGAGAAAAATTCTCTCTTGGACGTCACGTGGATGGTAGCACCACTATCAACCACCCAGCTTGTCTCCTGGGTTGTCAGGTTGACAACATCTTCCTCGTAGACAATATTGAACTCATCTACAGAGTTTGCACCATCATCATCACTGTTCTCATCTCGTTTGCCCTTCTTTCTCTCATTTCTGAACTTTGGGCAAAATCTTCTGATGTGGCCCTTTTCCTTGCAGTGATGACATTGGATGTTGGCAAACTTGTTGGACTTCCCTCGACTCTTGCCTCTTTGCTTTGAGCCTCTAGCTTCACTTCTTCCTCTGCTTCTGGAATCCACTATCAGAAGGTCTGACTGGGAAGATGATGAGGATGCACCTTGTGATCTTTTTCGCATCTCTTCGTTCAGGACTCCGCTTTTGACAATCTCCATGTTTATAACTCCATCTTTTGCAGAGTTGGTAAGTGAAATTTTTAGCGTCTCCCAAGATTCTGGAAGGGAAGCCAGAACGAGGAGAGCGACCACCTCATCTTCCATCTTTATGCCCATACCGGACAACTGATCCACGATCCCTTGAATTTCGTTCAAGTGATCCGCCAAGGATTTGCCTTCCTTGTATTTCATCTGGACCAACTTGGTCAGATAAAATAATTTGTTGTTGCCGGTCTTTGATGCATAAAGTGCCTCCAGCTTGTTCCACAGAGTTCTGGCATGAGTTTCTCCGCTAATGTGGTTGTATACATTATCGTCGACGAACTGTCGAATGTAGCCACATACTTGCTCATGCTTGAACTCCCATTCCTCTTCAGTTTTGCCATCAGGTTTAGTTGGGCTAAACACCGGCAAATGCAACTCCGTCACGAGTAGGAGATCCTTCATCTTGTTTCTCCATATGTGATAGTTGGAGCCATTCAGACTTATCATCTTGCTTGTTTTTGCCTCCATTGGACGTGGCTCTGATACCACTTGTTGGGCGCAGCGGGTGAGAATAGCGGGTAAATATATTGGATTAAAAAATCACACGCTTGTAAAAAGTTCACAGGTAAGTTGGACCTGGTGGCAGAGCCTCCAGAATTACGGTAACCAACTTACTTAGATCAATTTACTTCGGTAATTTAATAACGCAATATACTACGACTATTCTCAAAATGACAACAAGCATAGACAATAATAAATGTCACAGAGGATTTACGTGGTATACCCTGATTTAGGGCCAGTCCACGGGAACAACAGCTCCAGAGTATTTCTTCACTATTGCAACAGTAGGTTACAGAGAATTTCAAGATACAAGGAAATAGAACACTCGGTGTTTCCCGGAACAACCTCACTATTTCACTCACAAGAATTCTCCTATCTACCCGTGGTAGTGAAAACGTTTCACTACCAAAACCCACAAAAGAAATACGAACAGAAGCAGAGCAAATGAATTGGAAAAGTATGAAATGGTGAAGGATGATTTTGAAAAAGGGAGAACCATGTTCCCTTTTATAGCAGAGGAAATGGGGAACCAATTGATTGCAATTGGTTGGATCTATCTGCTATCCATCTCCCCAACTGCATTTAAGTTTTTTTTTTTTTTATTTCCACCGCTTGGCTCGTTGGCTATTGTTGAGCCACATGAGGCGGGCCAACAGAATCTTTCCCTTTGCTTGGGGTAAAATAGATCACAAAAAATATGGGAGAGTTATAGGATGGCAGCGCGGGTTGGTCTATAGCCACTTTTTCTGTACAAGTATACATCATTCGCAACCACGCTTTTAAATTTGGTAATTTTTTTGAAAGTAAAGTTAAGCAGAAATGTGAAATTGCATTATCAAAATTTACTCGTGTTTGGTTCGAGAAAATACATCCGCACCATCCCGAATAATTATATATAATTTTTTCTATATAAAGTGAAAATTTTCTTAAAATGCCGATGTTGCTTTAAGTTTTGTTACGATATTGTTTAGGAAAGCGAGAGAAAGTGAGTTAGAGTTTTCTACGAGATAATTATAATACTTGGATGATATGAATGACCGAAATGCTAAATACAGTGAGTCTAACCCATAGTTGTGGCACATATTGAGGTGAGTTTGGTATGGATACTTAAAATACCAAACTCAGTACCCTCTTTATTGGATTCCGTAGAAAATCCAAAACAAAATAATTTATGATATTTTCTCCAACCAAATCGATTCATATTCGGTTGAATACCAATGGTAATAGGGCTCAAGTTAGGGTGAGTAACCTTAAGGTGGTTAACAATCAAATCTGGAACCTTTTTTTTTAAGTGGGCTGCAAATCTAAGGGTTGGGAATTAAAGGTTTTTTTTTTAATTTTTTCTAGTTTTTTTAATCGGCTCTTATCTTCTTCGTTCTAACTCGGATTTCAAATTTTTTTGCACAGATGGAACGAGTTGGTTATGCTCTAAAAAATAAGATATATATTTCAATAATTTTTTAGTAAAAGAATTTCATACCCTCGTTACCAACTCCATACCATATGGTATCTCCTTCGTTTTAAGTCATTTTCGAAAGTTTTTGCACAGGAGTAACAAGTTAATTATGATCTATTGGATCTAAAAAAATTATGGGTGAAAAAAATACAGGACAAAAAAATATCATACTATACCACCCTGGTATGTGGTGGTGTGGTATAATGTGGTACACGATGTTGAAAATCATAAATGCCAGTTAGTATACTCCTACTATCTTGTATTCAACCATCCTACAGTCTTGATATGTTCATACCACCATGGTATCCTTTCATACCATATGGTATGCTCTTATGTTAATATCAATTGAAGAGCACAATTAATCTGATTTATTTGTGCAAAAAAATTTAAATTTTGACTTAAAACGAGAGAGAAATCATCCATTAAAGATTAAAAAAAAGATTAAATACTTTCCAGGAGAGAGGGTGTGCGCTGATATGGCGGCTGATGGTTGGGTTATGTACAATTACTGACCTATGGGTTACTGCCATATTTTTGCGGTCCCATAAAATAGATAAAAATATGGTAGATTTATAGGATGGCAGCGGGTTGGTGTACAGCTTTTTCTATACATCATTCCCAACCACGATTTTAAATTGGTACTTTATTCGAAATTAAAGTTAGGCAAGATGTAAAGTTGCATTATCAAAATCTACTCATGTTTGGTTCGAGAAAATCCATCTTCACCATCCCGAATAATTATACATAATCTTTTTTATATAAAGTGAAAATTTTCTTAAAATGCCAATGTTACTTTACGTTTTATTACAATATTGTTTATGAAAGCGAGAGAAATTGAGTTGTAATTTTCTACAAGATAAATATAATACTTGGATTATAGAAGCACAATCAACATAAACAAAGAATAATCCAAACCTATTCCACGCGTAGGGAACATGGCCAAGTATACAATATTGTCGGGTTCCTTCTTGCTGAATCGATTCCATGATCAAGAAAAAATTAGTTTCAAAAGAATTAGTTCAGCCTCTTATATAGGTTTCATAAGTATAGGCCCAAAATAACATGGAAAACCCGTCTCTTAAGTATTGAGAAACCTAATCCCAAAAGTAAAGGAAAAACATATCAGCGGAAGCAGCCCCCCGATCCCTGCTAGACCTCTCAATTCCCCGGTCGGGGTTTTAGTCTTCACGCTCGGGAGTGACTCATCCCGAATATCACAATAAAATTTCATATTAAGGCCCAAGTATAAACCTTAACCGGGTGCAATATAGGGCAAGTATGTTTTAAAAGTCAAACCCGGGCCGACCCATGTACCCCTACTTCAATTATTTGAAACATTATCTAGCAATTGGTTTTTGGTTAAAACTATGGTTTATAACTAAAGCGATTGGAAAAGTAAACAGTTTGAACACTAATTGAGAAGGCTTCACCCGGGTGTTGCCCCCCAGCTTGTAATCATGATTTGTTGGATCGAATGAAAATGTGTGATAAAGGCGGTTGTATACCGTAGGAAGCGCAATAAGTGAACAACCATCACTCTCTCGGTCACTAGGCCAAGGGATTTCGAATCAAGCTACCAAAGTAGCTCTCTTGGCCAATCGACTAAGGATTGCTTGGGGTTCTCCCTCGAACCGTAGTCCGGACGGCCAAAACACAACTTACCCAATGCGCTAATACGTATTAAGAGGTTTTCCTAATTCAACCTAAGTAGGTGACACAATTAGGCCAAAGAATTCCAGCTTTTACAAGCGTCTTAGCAAGAAGAGGATTTCCCTCTATATATGTCAAAAATGGCATAAGAGTTGGGAATGCAAAAACATAACATAACCTTCATGAAAATAACTCATAACTTGTATTAAAACAAAATCACACACAAGACATTCAATCCATAAAAGCATTCATATAATTTTAGCTACGGTTTACAAACACCCAAATGAAAGAAAGGACTACTCCATGCTAAGTAGAGGAAATACACAAACGAGAAGAGAGAAAACCATCATGATGATGTTTGCCTTTTTCATTGTGGTGTGGAGATCAACCTTGGAGGAAGAAATTCTCAAACCTTTGCTCTTGGATGAAACCTTAACTTCTCCTTTTCTCTTATTCATCACTTTCTCACTTTAGAAATCTGAAGAAGAAGTTTCTCTCACTAGGTTCTCCCCCCTTTTCTCATTCAGCTCAGCCCTCCTTGTACACCCATATCGACAACTTTTCACGACACACTTGCGGTCGTGAACATTTGGCTTGGACAGTGATGGTGAGGATCATCCAAGAAGTAGTATCGGAAGTCGGCAAAGAACCTCCTTTTCTTGTTGGTATTCAACCCTTTTGGCAATTGCTTTCCGACCAGATAATTGGCAAATTTGGCAAACCAAGGGGTGTCACTCTCCACTACTGCAAGCACGAACAACCTTTCACCGGGGAAAGTGTCATTTATCTCGCTTTCGAAGTTTCTTCCACCAAGACCTTTGAGTCAGGAGAGGTGGTCCGCCGCAAGGTTCTTGACTCCTTTCTTGTCTTTGATCTCCATATCGAACTTTTGGAGAAGCAGGATCCAGCTGATCAAGTCGGGCCGGTTCATGTACCCCTGCTTCAATTGTTTGAAACATTATCCAGCAATCGGTTTTTGGTTAAAACTATGGTTTATAACTAAAGCTATTGGAAATTAAATGGTTTGAACAATAATAGCGAAGGTTTCACCCGGATCGAATACAAATGTGTGATAAAGGCAGTTGTATACCGTAGGGAAGCGCAACAAGTGAACAACCATCACTCTCTCGGTCACTAGGCCAAGGGATTTCGAATCAAGCTACCAAAGTAGCTCTCTTGGTCAATCTACTTAGGGTTGCTTGGGGTTCTCCCTCGAACCATAGTCCGGACGACCAAAACACGACCTAACCAAGGTGCTAATACGTAGTAAGAGGTTTGCGCTAATTCAACCTAAGTATGTGAAGAAGAAGAAGTTTCTCTCACTAGGTTCTCCCCCCTTTTCTTTTTCAGCTCAACCCTCCTTATATACCCAGATCGACTGCGTTTCACGGTCCCAGTTCACGGTCGTGAACATTTGGCTTGGATCATGATGTTGTGCAAAAGTGCACCGTTTCATTAAGGTGCTTCACGATCTGGTGCCGGTTTTGACGTTCGGGAGACCATGAAGTGATGAATGCCTGCGAGGCAGACAAAACCCTCTTGGACTCCCTGGGCTTCATGGCCCGAGCCTCTTCTTCATGGTCTGGCCGACCGTGATCTTTTGGCCCCCACCGTGAGCTGTTGCTGTTTGCTCCTTTTGACTGATTTTCGCCCCTTTTCGTCCACCTTTCGTTCCATGGTTTGATTTCACCTGCTAGGATCTGAAACATACTAAAAACAACCACAACCTATCGTAAAACCGAACCCCACGGAGTAACATTGCTTCAAACATCTAAGAAAAATAGAGGTAAAATGTGTTCAATTGGACCGGAATCAAGGGGTCTTTCTGGACGAGATCCCCCTGGTCCCCATTCCCTGATCGGGGTTGCCTGCCTCCTCGGCCAGGGATTCAGCCAAATCCATCTCAACGCGGATTAAGACTAAATTGGGACCCACAAACAACTAGGCCTCCATATTTTCGAAGTTCTTAGCCAAATAATCTTGAAGTTGACTCTTGAATGCCTTGGCTCGACTTCTAGTGATCGGACCTTGACCTTGAACACTTTGAACATCTCCCTCTCGCACCAAAGTTGAACTTGTGAACGCCTTGGTATTGATGCCATTATCATTCCACTCCACTCGAAAATGATTTGCCCTCAAATCTGAGTCGTCTTCAAGGAAAGGTGCTAAGTCAATAACATTGAAAGTAGCATTCAAGCTTGTAAGCATTTTCATTGATGTGTTTGATGACTTGAAAGGGACCATCTCCACGAGGCAGCAGTTTAGAACGTCACTGATGGGGGAAACGTTCCTTCCTCGTGTGCACCCAGACCCAATCTCATGGCTTGAACATTTGAGGACGTCGATGCTTGTTCATATTCTTCAAAATCTGCTCAGTCCTTCTCTCTATGTTCAGTCGCGCCTTCTCATGAAAACCTCGAACAATCTCTGCTTACTTCACATCATCTAAATTCACACACTTATTGACAAGTAAGGGAGATAAATTCAGTGTGGTTAAAAGATTAAATCCATACAATATCTCAAATGGTGAAAACTTAGTGGTTGAATGAACAACCCTATTATATGCAAACTCTACATGAGGTAAGCATTCTTCCAAAGTCTTGATATTACTTTTAGTGACAGCGCTAAGCATTTGAGACAAAGTTATATTAACCACTTCAGTTTGACCATCCATTTGAGGGTGGCAAGTAGTAGAAACAACAACTTAGTACCAAGCTTACTCCACAGAGTTTTTCAAAAGTAACTCAATAACTTGACATCACAGTTAGAGACTATAGTACGAGGCATACCATGCAACCTAACAATTTCTCGAAAGAACAGTTCAGCTACATTAGATGCGTCATTAGTTTGTGACATGGGATAGAGTGTACCATTTTTTAAAACCGGTCAACCACAACAAACACAAAATATCTACCATTCTTACTCCTAGGCAATCCAAGAACGAAATCCATAGAAAAATCAATCCAATGAGTAGTAGGAATAGGGAGAGGAATATATAACCCATTTGGTTGAACCCTTGATTTGGCTTGGCGACACTTAAGACCCCTTGCACACACCTTCTCCATGTCACTTCTCATGTGTGTCCAATAGAAATGTTCCTAGAGGCAATCCAAAGTCTTGGATACCCTAAAGTGCGCCATGAGGCCTCCACCATGAGCCTCTCTAACCAATAACTCTTGAATTGAAGCACGAGGCACATAAAGTTGGTTAGCACTTAGCACGAAACAAATAACCATCAACTCGATAATACTTTCCCTCACCATGTTCCTCACAAGCCGCATAAAGCTCACCAAAGTCACGATATTGACATATAACTCTTTAATGTGCTCAAACCCAATGAATCAAGCATGAAGAGATGAGACAAAGCATACCTTTGAGAAAGAGCATCGGCAACCACATTCTCCTTACCTTGCTTGTAGAGAATCACATAGGGGAAGGATTCAATGAACTCCACCAATCAAGCATGTCTCTTGTTCAGCTTATGTTTTTCCTTCAAGTACTTCAAGGATTCATGATCGGTGTGGATCACAAAATTTTTAGGCCAAGGGTAGTGTTGCCACGTTTCTATAGCTCAAACAAGAGCATATAGCTCTTTGCCATATGTGGGATTATTCAAGGCATCCCCACTCAACTTTTTGCTAAAGAAAGCCATTGTCCTCTTCTCATGCATCAAAACAGCACCTATGCCTACTCCAAAGGCATCACATTCAATCTCGAATGTCTTAGAAAAGTCAAGAAACATTAGCAGAGGGGCATGGTTTAGTTTATATTTCAAAAGCATGAAACAGCATGTTCTTCTTAATAGTCGCGGTTAAAGGGGAAGCAATGGTGCTGAAATCATTTACAAACTGTCTGTGAAACCCTGCAAGACCATGAAAGCTTCGAATCTCATTAACATTAGTTGGGTCTGGCATGCCTTAATTGCCTCAATCTTTTCCTCGTCCACCATGATCCCTTCCAAACTCACCACAAATCCAAGAAACACAAATTTATCGGTGCAAAACATGCATTTCTTAAGATTTTCATACAACTAGTCCTTTTGAAGAGCACCTAAAATAGCCTTAAGGTGATTCGCGTGGCCATCTAAGTTCCTAGAATAAATCAGAATGCCATCAAAATAAACAACCACGAATTTTCCAATAAAAGATCTCAAAACATGGTTCATTAATCTCATGAAGGTGTTGGATGCATCAGTCAAACCAAATGGCATAACTAACCACTCATATAAACCATGTTTCATCTTAAAGGCAGTTTTCCACTCATCACCTTCTTTCATGTGAATTTGATGGTATCCAGATTTTAAATCTATCTTATAAAACACACTAGACCCATGCAATTCATCAAACATATCATCCAATCTAGGAATAGGATGTCGATACTTTACCGTGATGTTGTTGATGGCTCGGAAATCAACACACATAAGCCAAGTTTTATCCTTCTTAGGTTCGAGAATGACGAGTACATCACAAGGACTCATGCTCTTTTGGACATGGCCCTTCTCCATCAAATCGTCCACCTGTCTCTTAAACTCTTTGGTTTCCTCCTGATTGGTTCAATATGTAGGTTTGTTTGGAATGGAGGCACCCGTAACAAAATCGATCTAGTGCTCAATCCCTCTAATGGGCGGCAACCCTTTTGGAACTTCCTTAGGGAAGACATCCTCGAATTCCTTCAAAACAAGTTGAACACTACTAGGCGAAGCCTGAATGTCGTTAGAGATAAAAAAAAATCTCCTTGTAAAGGAGCATGATCATCGGCTCTTGGGTGTTTAAAGCTTGCTTAATCTCACCTCCACTCGCAAAGAAATTCTCTCTTTTCGTCGGAGCTTCAGTCGTCGTTCTTTTCTTTTCGAAGTTGAGATTTCTGTTTTTCTTTCGTGGTGACTCACAGGGGTAGGGTTACTCGGATTTTCTCTCTGTTCTTCTCTCAAATCGAGTTTTTATCCTCTCTTGCTCACATAGTTGTCGCAGCTGCACTTGGTCTTCATAAACCTCATTGGGAGTCATTGGCACCAAGGTATGTGTCCGCCCCTTGCACGATAAGGTGTACTTGTTGGTCTTTTCTTTTCGAAGTTGAGATTTCTGTTTTTCTTTCGTGGTGACTCACAGGGGTAGGGTTACTCGGATTTTCTCTGTGTTCTTCTCTCAAATCGAGTTTTTATCCCTCTCTTGCTCACATAGTTGTCACAGCTACACTTGGTCTTCATAAACCTCCTTGGGAGTCATTGGCACCAAGGTATGTGTCCGCCCCTTGCACGACAAGGTGTACTTGTTGGTCTTGCCATCATGTTGGGCAGCTCGATCAAATTGCCATGGACGTCCCAATATAATGTGGGAAGCTTGCATAGGCACCACATCGCAAAGCACTTCATCCTTGTATCTCCCAATTTCAAACCCCAGAAGTACCTGTCGTCTCACCTTAATGGAGCCATCCTCGTTCAGCCACTGCAAAGTGTAGGGACGATGTTTGATGGTCTTCAATCCTTACTTTGCCACCATATGAGAACTAACGAAATTGGTGCAGCTTCTTCCATCTATGCCTTGAAGACACACGAAATAGTACCAAGAAGGCATCAAATTGATAAAAGCAAGCCTAGTGCTACTAGTATGCACTTTGATCACGTAGCAAATCAAGGATATTATGATGTCAAAAGTATGAAAATCATGAAGTTATGATAAAACTTTACTCACAGTCATACAACTCACTCGATCTTCACGATGACAAGTGACTTTCGATCGTAGAAAGAGAATCAAAGTAGCATACAAAGTCAACCCTCGCACTTAAAGACTGTACTATATCTGTGAAGCGCATGTCATGTAAGAAAATCTTGGCTTATCCTTACCAATCGTAAGTTCCCTTCTCCTTCGAGTGTGTCAAGATTTTTAGGGCAAAGCTTTGTATATCCTAAAGCAGAATTGGGGAAGAGAATCAAATTTCACCTTGGCTATAAAGCTACCTTTGGAAGGATCCACATGGGCGATAGAGACTTCATCCGGAAGAGGGTTTTGGATATCCAGAGTAACCTTTGCCGTAATATAGAGGCCACCGGAGGTGAGAGATCTGTGTGTGGTCGCAGGATCCGTTGGGCCCATGGCCGCCCCAAGCAAAGATCCCAACTTCTCCGTGCAACACTAGTACGACACCCCCCCCCCAGATTTTGCGCCACGAGTGGAACTCTAATTAGTTCTGCCGCCAACTCCGCCATCGGGGTCTTCCATTTTCGCACCTGGATGAGAAACTTTTCAAAGATCCACGGAGAGCCGGTGATAGGCGATGGGTTGTTTCCAGATCGGGGAGAACGAATTGGAGAAGACCCCACTCCACCATCACGATTGAGATATCACACTTCCAGACTCTGTTGACAATCGGTCGCAGCGTGGGTAAAGGTGCCACAAAGTCGACCAATCAAACTCTGATCAACCCTTTGGTAACCCACAGCAACATCAACATCGTTGAATTGAATGGCCACCTTTCGGACTTGCAGAGGAAGTTGCGATTGGAACCTTATGTACGAGGGGGAAAACAATTTCAGCAAGTCAGGTATGGGAAGAACCGAGCGGGTGAAGGCTGGTCTTGCTTTTATCCATGTCCCGATTGGAAAGTGTCGGACTCGACAGGCCAAGAAAACAAATACCATTATCGGCATCGTCGCACGAAAGCGAAAAGCCTTACCCTCTCACCCGTCGTGGGAGAGAGGAGGGAGGATTTGCTTTTTTCGTCTTTTTCTCAACCAACCGTCCGTTTTCCTTACTAGCTTATAACCCGGCCCATTGGCCGGAATGTTCTTATTTGATTATTTATATTTTTATATTATGTTTAATCCAATCAAGTGGTTTAATTTTATTGACAATCCTTCGATCGAGATGATACATAAAGAAAGAATATGTGGGTCTAACATTCAGAGAAATACCATTTTCATAATGATAAAATACCATTTTCATCATTTAAGAATATAAAATGATTGACAATCCTTCGATCGAGATGATACATAAAGAAAGAATATGTAGGTCTAACATTCGGAGAAATACCATTTTCATAATGATAAAATACCATTTTCATCATTTAAGAATATAAAATATAAAATGTATCATTAATTCCATTTTCATAATGATAATTAAGCCCTCGTTAAAATACTATTGGTTAGTTGATTGTCAAGAAAGAGGGTATAAAAGCTCAGTGAAATTCCACACGACCATTAGATAGTTTGAAACTAAATCACCTCACAATCCAGCATAAGGATTTAATGCGCTCCATTAATGAACAATATGCCACTAATCAAAAAGAAATGGAGAGTTGTTGATTCAACTCAGCTAAGAGGGGACCATCAAAACTTGAGAGCAAACGACAAAATTAGGGTTATCTCATACTAATAGACTCAATCAAAGTAATAATGCACAAAATGGCACACTCCTTGTCTATCAGTTCCAGTAGCTTGAATAAAGAATCGACCTACTTCAATAAATCAATCAATGATTCCTCGTTTTAAGATAGAAATAGGTTGCGATAGATGTAAAAACCATAAACATAAAAATCCAATAGCCACCACTCTTTGTTGTACAACTAAATTTTTATCTCAAGAGACATATATTTCAACCGTAAATTCAATTTCGAATCCTCCTTCTGCAACTCCATTATTGATTAAACTCTTTTACTTGCCCAACTTAAATCCCCAACAATAAAATCACGTGCCAAGAGATACCGGATGATCGATTTTCAAAGGTGGCCTTGTACTGGGAAGTGAAAGGGGCGCAAACTATCGTACGATGAAGGAAATTTTCGAGGAAGTTAAAAAGAGATTAAAACAAAGATAAAAATCACAAAATTTAAATTGAAAAATGCAAAGACACACACGTAGTGACAAAATTAGTTTTTTCCATGGTAGCCAATTATCAATTTACCTTTAGCAAAAATTAAGGAGAGAGAAAGAATTTTAAAATTGAGAAAATTACATGAAACTCTACTATGAAAATTGAAGTATCAAGTACCATAAGAATACATACGGTATACTTAGTGGGCTTGCTAATCATGATGGAAAGTCCTGCGATTTTCAGAGAGTTGAACTTCGTGTATATTTTGTATTCAAAATGACACAACAAATTTGTTCAGTGTAAATGGTTGTGATTGTTGTCTTTGTTTGAAGAGACTCGGGTTCAAATCTTGATGTTGATATTTTTAATGTGAGATAAATAATTAATTGTAAAGACAAAAATGTCCTCCCTACTTTCACTCTAGTTGCAGGAAATTTGAAATAGAGGAAAGTACACAAAAGTGTACTATATATTATTGGGATGGTAGTCGAAATGGTTTATAACATTTTTGTCATCACTAGTTCTAATCCTTCAAGTTCAAACAGAACGGACGATATCTTGATAACTCCTCTCCGTGTGTTTTGTCTGTTTTTGGTGGGTGACCACGTGTCTATTAGGAAAATGTGGCAGGGAGATTGATAACCCACCTCCGTTCCCCGTAAACCCTAGTCCCAGCATTTCCTGCCTTCCATATTCCATTCCATTATTGTATCAGCCCGCCACCTACTGTCAATCCTACTTCCCCACAATGGCTGCCACAGCCGCCTCGTCTGCCGCCGCTCTCACTCCGTCCGTCCCGTCGCCGTCCTCTTCTCTAAAACCCAAGGCTCCGGTGTCAAGCTCCCTCGGGTTCCTATCCTCTTCATCTCGGTCGCTGAAGCCCCTAATCTCTCGGATTGCCGCCCAGCCATGCCCCAATGCAAGATCGCCGCTTTCGGTCGCCATGGTGTCGGCTCCGGCCGTCGCTCCCACGACATCTCTTGATTTCCAGACATCTGTTTTCAAGAAGGAGAAGGTCACTCTCGCCGGCCATGACGAGGTGGGCAGTAACCTCCTTTCGATTTTGGAGATTTTTCTCTATTGTCCCTGTCCATATTTTGTCACTGAAGTTGTTCTATTTTATTATATCTTTTGTAGTACATTGTGAGAGGAGGGAGAGATTTGTTTCCCCTGTTGCCCGATGCTTTCAAGGGTATCAAGCAGATTGGAGTTATTGGATGGGGATCTCAGGTTCTCATTTGGTTATATGCTGGCTTATTAACTTCCCTGTTTTTCTTTTTCTTTTTGTGGCGTTTCGACTAAAGTGAAATGATCGTCTCAGGCCCCTGCGCAAGCTCAGAACCTGAAGGATTCTCTTGCAGAGGCCAAATCTGATATTGTTGTGAAGGTCGGTGCTGTCTTTTCATTGCTTTAACTCATCTCTGAGCCTCGCAGCTGTTGATTTCGCTTGAAGTGCGTTTCTGCCTCCATTGCAGATTGGTCTGAGGAAGGGTTCTCGCTCTTTTGCCGAGGCTCGTGCTGCTGGGTTCTCTGAAGAGGATGGAACTCTCGGAGACATGTGGGAAACCATCTCTGGAAGCGATCTTGTCATGCTACTGATTTCAGATTCAGCGCAGGTTCGTTAATTCTCCATGGGCCCTCTAATGTTTATACGTTAATGTTCATGCAAGTTAAGCGAGAGCGATGGCAGACACTCTTGTAACTTTTTTTTTTTTTTTGCAGGCTGATAACTTTGAGAAGATCTTCTCTCATATGAAGCCAAACAGCATCCTTGGTCTTTCCCATGGGTTTCTCTTGGGGCATCTGCAGAGCTTAGGTATTGATTTCCCTAAAAATATTAGTGTTATTGCCGTTTGCCCCAAAGGAATGGGCCCTTCTGTGAGGAGACTCTACGTGCAGGGGAAAGACATAAATGGAGCCGGTATCAACTCCAGTTTTGCTGTTCACCAGGTATCTTTACATCTTCATGATGGCTTATGTTTAAATCTATTTATCCTAGTATTTTCAGTTGTTGAACAGTCGCTTATTGTTCTCTGTCTCCCACAGGATGTTGATGGTAGAGCAACAGATGTGGCCTTGGGTTGGTCCGTTGCTCTTGGCTCTCCTTTCACATTCGCCACCACATTGGAGCAGGAGTATAAGAGTGATATTTTTGGGGAGCGTGGTAAGTTTCTCGCTTCAATTGATTGCATCAATCTGCTGCTAGAAAGTTTGCTGCAAGTGTCTCATTGTCTCTTGCTCCCTTGCAGGTATACTGCTTGGTGCTGTTCATGGTGCTGTTGAATGCTTGTTTAGAAGATACACAGAAAATGGTATGGATGAGGATTCGGCTTACAAGAACACTGTTGAGTGCATAACGGGTATTGTGTCAAAGACCATCTCAACGAAGGTTGGTATCACTCTTTTTATCTCTCTAGTCTCTAATATGACCAGACATGCTTGAACTGTCTCTTTCTGTGCTAATGTACTACAATACTTCTTTTTGGTTTTCATTTTGTTATGGTGTATTTGTTTGGCAGGGCATGTTGTCAGTTTACAACTCCTTATCCGAAGACGAGAAGAGAGAGTTTGAGCTTGCTTATAGCTCCTCTTACTATCCTTGCATGGATATATTATACGAGTGCTATGAGGATGTGGCTAGTGGCAGTGAAATCCGTAGCGTTGTTCTGGCTGGGCGTCGATTCTATGTAAAGCTCTGCTAAATTTTCATCTTGATATCTAAGATCGCTCTGTTGTGAACTTCATCTTTCCACTTGTCTTACTGTTTAACAGGAAAAGGAAGGCCTCCCAGCTTTCCCAATGGGCAAGATCGATCAAACCCGGATGTGGAAGGTGGGGGAGCGTGTGCGTTCAACACGGCCAAGGGGAGACTTGGGACCAATGCATCCTTTCACTGCTGGTGTTTTTGTGGCATTGATGATGGCTCAGGTACGTCCATCAATGTTGTTATTGTGAAATCAGGCATTTTGTGTGCTTCCTGAAAGCACCTACAAATGCATTCCTGAAGGCCCTTTTTCTATCTAACATTTGTCTGTTGAAATTTCCAGATTGAGGTGTTGAGGAAGAAGGGTCATTCTTATTCTGAGATCATTAATGAAAGTCTGATTGAGGCTGTAGATTCACTGAACCCTTTCATGCACGCTCGAGGAGTTTCCTTCATGGTGGACAACTGCTCCACCACGGCACGTTTGGGATCAAGAAAATGGGCCCCTCGATTTGATTACATCCTTACACAGCAGGCCTTTGTAGCTGTGGATGCTGCTGGGGCTTCTGTGAACAGGGATCTCATCAGCAACTTCCTCTCTGACCCGGTCCATGCAGCTGTTGAAGTGTGTGCCCAGCTAAGACCAACCGTAGACATTTCTGTGACTGCAGATGCAGACTTCGTCCGCCCTGAGTTGCGTCAGTAGCTATCCAGTCCCCAGTGGATGTTTTGCTGTGATGGAATAATTTTTAAGACCCTCCGAGTTTTGTTTGCGATGTTTCTGTTGTCGAACTCATAATTTCTATATGCCGAGTGTCTGTTCCCCTGTTTTTAGCAACTCTTCCCGTCGCTTCAATGGTGTAGTAACTCGTGAGTTCTATAGATGAGAGCTTCTTCAGTCGTGGTGTCCACCTGCGCATTCTGTCTCAGTTTTGGTGTCCACTGTCCAGTGGATGTAATTGTTGGTTCCACAACTCAAATTTGTACGATTTGGAGGATGTTTTTGTTTTCATGTTAGATATTGTCAGGGCATGACAAATAATAATAATAATAATAATAATGTTATTGCAAGAACTGAACTAAGCCGCGTATTAGAAATTGTAAATCAAGTAACACAATTTAAGCAACCCAGCTCATAAATCCAAGAGGATGGAAGCTGGCTTTTCAGTGTATTTCGCACCTGCCACAAGATCTGACTGAGGATGGAGGACGCAATTGGATGGGTCTCCCAGTTTTAATAGTCACTAGAATCAATATCCATTGGTACTCAGCAGGTTATCGACGGGAAGGCTGAGAGATTCTTTTGTTCTTCTCCGTTATAAGCGGAATAGTTTGCGATTCTTAATGCAGTTATCTGTGCAGCCCAGGATCCTGTCCCAACGTGTATCCTTCTGATTGTCAGAGATTGACGAATGCGTTGAGACAGGATCCGAGCCTTTGGCCCTGGCAGTGTCGGGCTTCTCTTGCTCGGGTGGTCTCCATTCTCTGTGCTTCTCCTTGGATCTCGATTGAGTTTGTTCCTCGTCAATTCAATAAGTTGGCTGATTGGATCGCTAGAAACTCTCGTCTTGATCTCCTTCCTCCAGAATGAATTGTCATTGCCGACCTTGTCGCTCCATTATTGTAATCGTTGTGCTTCCTATTGTTTGGGTTTGGAATGAAATGAATGATGTTTGTTGTAAAAAAAAAAGACTAAACTTGCAGCAAAATCTCCTAAAGTACATAGCAAGGAAGTGGTCACCACTCTTAAAACCACTATGAACTTGTATATATGTTAGTGTTGACAATCCATGCCTGGAAGCAAGTTCAAATTACTGTTGCATACGACAAAGTAGCAACAAACCCTATTTTATCGCAAACACTAATCCGGGTTACTGTTCACAATGAAAGGAATTATATTATACACTCCCCTTCATACTACACCCGAGTCTCCGGGCTCCAGTTCTTCCTATTTCGTATCCATCATCATACCTGGAAAATTCCAATCTACCGCGTATGCGGTTACCCAAGTGGGTGTGTGGCCGCCAATTATTTTTTCTCCCGCTAGGCATTGTTATTTAGCTAGATTTCCATGGGAGGGGAGTTGGAAGAAAACATTAGAGAATATAGCTAGGCTCCCATCAAGAATAAGGTTTGATAGTATTTTTCAATGGTAGCTTAATCAAATGTAAGAACATTCTATAATTTGATTATTATTAGATCACACACGATAAATGATTTACATAATATCATTTTGTAATAAGAAACAAATTATATAGGGATAGTTATTTCTTATATATCATTTAAGCAAGCATATTATATAAGAGTTTCACGATATAAGCGATGTCTTCAATTTTATTGTACAAAGGTTTTGTTAGGTAAGTTATTTGTTACATAATAATAATTTAATCATAGGTGATACTTTTCAAAACTTAATTCACTAATTATTAACTAAAATTTGTGTAATACTATCTACTATATTACACATCTACTAAATTTTCCTTACACACAACTAAAGCTTCTACAAGCATCTTACATAATAGTTTAATCAAATGTGAGACTTATAAGTAACTTGATTTTATTACTAGACCACATGTTACGGATGATTACATAACACCGTTCTATAACAATTATTAAAATACATTACGTAAAACTTATGAAGGTTGAATGGATTACTATTTTTTATGTATCAATCAAACAAACGTGTTACCTAAGCCTTCCTCAATAATTAAGACTGTATATAAAAATTATGAAAGTGTCTTACGAAAAACATTTTTTAAATAGTTTTATTTCACTAAATTATTAAATGAATTAATAAAATTTTAACACCAAAAGAAATTATTAGTTGATTACCGCAGCGAAGCGCGGGTTAAAAAACTAGTTAAATAAAATAAAGACTATGTATCATAATGAAAGAAGAGAATTTGACGAGCTTGATCCAAGAGAATACTTTATGTGAATTATGAACTGGACCACCTAAAGCTTTAAACAAAAACTAACCGAGAGCTGGGTTGCCACAGATACACCGAGATTTAAATCCCGACTAGAGTTCAAGCATAAACTCTAGCCGGTTGCAGTATAGGGCCAGTATATTTTAATTATCAAATCCGGACCGGTCCATGTACCCCTATTTCAGTCGCTTAGGTTGTTATCTAGCAAATGGTTTTAGGTTTAAAAGCTAAGAAAACTACAAAAGGAAAACAAGCAAAAAAGTAAATCGAGGTTGTCCCAATGAGAGAATAATTCACCCGGTTATTGCTCCCCCTAGCCTTGTATCAAGATCCACCAAATCAAATGCAAATGTGTGAGGTGTGTTCATACACCGTTAGGAGGGCACAATAAGTGAAGGAAACCTCACTCTCTTAATCAATCGGTTAAGGAAAACAATTAAGCTAGGAACCTTAGCTCTCTCAATCAATGGATTAAGGATTGCTACAATAAACTAGGAAGTCTAGCTCTCTTAACCTTTCGGCTTGGGATTGCAACAATAAGCTAGGAGTCCTAGCTCTCTTAACCGATAAAACTAAGGGTTGCAAGAACGAATCCCTCGAAACTTAATCTGGACGACAAAGTAACACCCAAGTAAAAGTGTTAAATCGAAGTTTGAGGTTTGCCCTAATTTTCCCTTGGTAGGTGACTCAATTGGCAAGGAATCCAGCTTATCAAAGCCTTCTAACAAAAATGGGAATTCCCTCTACCTAGGTCAAATTGACATAGTAATGAGAAATGAAGAACACAACCCAAACATCATGAAAATACCTCAAACTTTGCATTAAACACAAACCCACACACAAAACATTCAATTAATACAATCTATCACATATTTCAAGCTAGGGTTCACAACACCCAAGTGAGTAGGTAGGCTATTCCATAGCTAGGCAAAAGAAAACAAGAAAGAGGAGAGAAAGAACCATGAAGAGATGACAATCTTCCTTCCTCCTTACTTGAATATCCCTTGAGAGATAAGAATCTTCACTCCTCTAACTTAGGGCAAGCCCAATCTCCATCTTCCTCCTTTGAATGACACTTTCTCTCTCTAGAAGAGGAAGAGGAAACTCTAATCTCTCACTAGAAATCCTCATTTATTACGAAAACTAAAACCCTAGAAAAAGCTATGCCCTTCTCCTTCAGCTTACTTCCCCTTTTATACCCAGATCGACGCCTGTTCACGGTCTCAGTTCACGGTCGTGATCATTCGTCCTGGACCGTGAAGTCGAGTAGATTCACACCATTTTACTAAGTCACTTCACAGTCTGGGGCTGGAGTTCACGGTCTTACGACCGTGAACTAACTGGGATCCCCCGAGGTGTGCAAATTGTTCTAGAGCTTTGGCACTTCACGGTCACGATGCAATTGTCACGGTTTTTCTTCACTTTTCCGCGCTTTTTGACCTCCAATTGACCCAAAGCTCGTCCTCGACTAGGGATGGCAATGGGTCGGGTTGGGGCGGGTTTTGTCAAACCCAAACCCAAACTCATGGGTTTATCCGCCAAAAAAACCGGGGTAAAACCCGCTGGGTTTGAAAAACTCAAACTCAACCCAACCCGCTGGGTACCCGTGGGTTTTTGTGGTAAAAAATTTACAATAACAAGTTTCTTTCAAAATAAAAGTTTATCATCAATTTTCTCATACAAATTATTCATACAAAAAACATCAATCTATAGCATACAAGCAAACCGCAAATGATCAATACAAATTGTTCAAAATTAAAGATAAACATCTATAAACAATAAGATTAATTGAAAGCTTCTTCCTCGTCAACTAAGTTTCTTCACTCTCCACTTCATAATATCAACTTCATTCTAAACAATTAGAAAGAACAAATTATACATTTCTCCACAAACATAAAGAATATTAGTTGTTTAAGGAAGATATATTATTTAGAATAATAAATATATCGAAAAATTAATTATATGTGTGTGGGCGGGTACCCATGGGGCGGGTTTACCTAAACCCAAACCCAACCCGACCCGATGAATAGTGTAGCGGGTTTAAACCCAAACCCGGCCCAAAACCCGTCAACACGGATTTTACCCGCGTTGACCGGGTTGGGTCGAGTGGGTACCCGTGGGTTCGGGTTTTGTTGCCATCCCTATCCTCGACCTTCCCACACATGCTAGGACCTGAAATGTAAAGTCAAACTATCAAGAAATGAGGGGTAAAATGTGAACTATTGGACCCGAATCACACCCCACACTTGAACGTTTGCTTGTCCCCAAGCAAACCAATCTCAAACAAGGTAATATTTCAACCTAACAACAACAACTTGGGGACATATCAAAGGCACAAAATGGATGAATCTCAATGTTTATTTGGCAACGATACATGGACAATTCACAAGCAATACCGGCAATCCACCACAAACGACATTCGAATGCATTAAGAACGTGCAAACGAAAAGTTCTCAGCATGTTCACAAATCAATACAAGTCTCGACCTGACTACTCATCAACCAAAACTAACCATTCATAGAACTCAAGTCCAAGGAACAAACGAAGGGGCGATAAAGGTCCTCGCCGGGATAAGATGTGAACATGCAAAATGTGAATGAATCACTCACTCTCGACCAGTGGGGTCAGGACCTTTTGGTGCAAAAGATGTGCACAATCATCAACACTCAACCCTATCGTCTCTCCACTACGGCGACAACCTCTAAATTAGAGTTCACGGGATGGTTGTCGTTGCTAGCTTGTCCAGAGGTCTTAGACACGAGTTCAAATGACTGGTAAGGGTCTTGGACATGGGGAAAATGTCTTTTGGGTGGTGGCAAGCAAAGCATGATGTTCTACATCTTCAACCTAAAACCAAAGGTTCAAGGGTTTCAACTAGAACCTTTCCTACAAACAAAGGTCAGTAGCATCGGCCAAAAACCACACTTCCCTACCAATCACGAACTATATTCAAACACACTTCTTCGGCCTATCTTCCTAATTCTGTGCAATTATGTTCTTCAATCTCTACTCCCAAATTCTATTCTATCTTCCCAGTCGTTAATCCTCTCTCAGAATCCCTAAATACCTTCTTTCACATCTTGTCATGAGAATTGCCAGAATCCCTAAATACCTTCTTTCACATCTTGTCATGAGAATTGCATGTGCTCAAACAAGTGTGTTTCTTACACCCCGGGACTATTCGATCGACCTTTCAAATACAATCACAAGATTCATTATCTTTACAACACTCTCCTTGACATAGGCTTGAGCTAAGATGATTAGCTCTAACTAGTCAGCCTTTCCATGGTGTTATTGACCAATTTATTTTTAAACATCGACAATTTTATTGTCATATCAACCACAACATATACGTTGTCTACTGTTCTTTTCATTTTGTAATGGTTGGGTCTCATTATTAATGTATCATTCGACCGAGCACTTAGACCATTTTGTACAAATAAAGCCACCATATTCCATACACAAACGTTTCGCTTAACAGATAGACCAAAGCCGTAGGGTAAAATTCGACTTGAAAAATGGGCAAAAAACAAAAGAAAAGGCGCAACAAAATGTAAACTAAGCAAAATTTGACGGTAGGGAAGGGCAAACAACGGGCAGCCACAAATTTACAGAATCTACCCCGAAAAGAAAAGGAGAGCTATGTACACTACCAAGCAAGTAGCACACTCGAGCTCGGAAGCTTCTATTTTGAATGGCTGTTGCCCTTACTTGGTCCCCATATCCGAACTGTACCATCATCACTCGCAGATGCCAACATTCGATGCCTTCTCGGGTTCCAGCTCACGCAATTCACTGTCATCAGATGGCCGCTTAAGATCTCAATCGGTTTTGGATCTCTTCGATTCCATATGTAAACCTGTTATCAGTTTCAGCATAGCATAAGAGGTTTCTCATTTCCTACAACCTCAGGACTTAACAGCAAACAAACTAATGGGATAAATGCTGCCGAGGGGGGCAGGGGGCCGGCCAATACAACAACAGTGTGCATGCTACAGGGTACATATATAGAAGAAGAGAGGTGAATCTAGAAGAGGCGAACCTGGGAATCTTCGCTGCCACTTGCGATGAATGAGCTATTCAACCCACCAAAGCAGGAGCGTATGACATACTTGTCTTGCTTGTGGCCCACAAACCTAAGTGGTTTATCCCATTTGCAGGCAACATCCCATAGATGGATCTCCTGGCTGTTGAGATTGACGATGAAGTAGTCGCCATTGGTGGACACTGAAAGGGATGTGATTGAATGCGCCTCCAAGATCAATTGTTCAGTACTTGTCTCCACATTAAACTTGCGGATTTCTTTATCAGAGACAACTATAAGATGCTCCCCATCTGGTGTCACGGCAAGATCTGAAACCTTTGGCATCCTTCTTCCCTTCCATGATTTTATTTCTTTTCCATCACAGTCCCACACGTAGATGCCCTTCCCAGGCTCCGAACTGCCACACACGAGTTGCTTTGAGTCCGGAAACCAAGCACATGAGCTGACAATGAAGCCATGACCTCCAAATGTACTCAAGCATGTACCTGTTTCCACATCCCACAGCTTGAGGACTTCTCCATTCCCACATGTCAGCAATCTGGTATCATCAGGACTCCAGGCCACTAAAGATACCGGTTTGTGGTGACTGCTTAACACGTGTTTAAATGCCAATTGCCCATCTTCCATTACCTACTAAGATCATTACGAAATCAGAACAATAAGAAGTAACATATTTCCGTTCAATGCTGAATAAATTTCAGATCCAGATGCCAAGCAAAAGTTCCGAGGATCACTTGCATCAATTTAGGTATAATTAGATCTGGAAAACCCAGCATATATATAGAGTCAAATGACAGGATTTGCTGCATTGAAGAGACATAAATAAGAAACTCCAGTCCTAAAAAACAAATAAATAAAACTCACTGTCCTACAAACAATTAACCATGGAAAGTTATCCTAATACAGTACCAAAAACAAAAAAGTAGAGCAAAGGCAGACGGATTCAAAATATTAGCTTAAGCCTTAAAGGCCTCAGCTCACCAAATTAAAATCATTACATTTCTTGACAACTTTTTTGGGGAACCATCTACCAGCTTCAATACTAATAAGAAATGAATTTGTTCGGCCTTAAGAGATCCAATGGAGTCAATGTTACCATTTGCAGAAAATGCAACAGAAATTTGGACTCAAATTCTCTAACCAACCTCTCATATATCATTACTAACAAGTTGGAACCGAGCTTTTTATAAGGAAAAAGGAACAGTTTGGTGTTCCCTAAGCAATTGCATAAGTTACATCTCGATCAAGTACCTTCCACACAATTGCTGTACAGTCACTTGAAGACGAGGCCAAATACTCTCCATTATTTGAGAACTGTACAAACCAAACTTCATTCTTGTGCTCTGTTAAAATCTGTAAAAATAACAGACATCAGAATGGATTTTCTATCAGGAACAAACTCACCAGTTTGTATTTAAGAATTAACTAACAGCAAGAAGATAATGTTATTAAGAAAAAAATATATTAACTATTAGAATGAGCGAGTGGTTGAGGAAAAGCTCAAAATTGACTCTACAAAACCCAACTTAGGGATTTCCTGGACTATAAAATACAATTCCAGTGAGTTGGTTGCCTTTAAATGTGATTATTCTTCGGTTCTCGCATGGCTTTTAAGTATCTGCCATTTAACCCATTGACTTTCATCCTAAATGCACTACTTTTCTACCTTAAAAAAGAAGAGACTATCTAAGAAGAATGAGAGACCATTGAAACATGTTTGATTAGGATATGAGAGCATAACACCTTGTGCACAATTAATAATCTGTGCTCAAAGCAACTGTCTAACAAACATCTTCTTTACCTAGCCAGGATATTTGCTCAGTTCTAACAAACAAACTCTATAACAAACTACACCAATACTCTAAACATACACGCTAGAGCTGCAGGCTTCGGGGACAAGATTGATATATAATAAACTAAATTCTTACAAGGATGAAAAATATTTAATTGCCAGCTAATAGTTCCAATGATCAAGATTCTCTATCTTGCTTCCCAGTTCCCTACTTTTGTTTCAGTAAAAATATAAGCAGCAGCAATGAAATTTCAGACAAGATTATCATTATGAAGATATCTCATGAAAGACATCTCAGACTCATTCAACTTGAGCAATCAAAGTATGCAAGAATGACCACCACATAGAAGGTTTACAAAGCTTGCACAAACAAAGAATTACTTGCCAAAGACAGTAGCAAAAGATTGATAGAACGCAATAAACAGGTTAAAAACTGAGAGTGATAACTGTATTATCAGGTCATAAAATTTTCAAATGTCAAACAAAATAAAGCCAAAAAATGAAACCAAGTAGTGGAGCGTGTGATGCACTGCTATTCTCACTTACACCAGAATGCACACCTGAAAGGTCTCTGTGGGTATCTGATCTCTGGAACAGCAGTGATCCTGATAAAGAGAAACTCCCGCATCTGTATTGTGATACTTGCAACAATCAATTTGGGCAATGATAGCCTTTTCAACCAGATATACCAGCCTTCCTTCAGCCAGAAGAATAGGAGGAGGAAGCAATTTTTCCATCTCACATAAGCAGCTTTTTCGCAGATCATGGATTTCTTCATTGTTTCTGAAACCTATCTCCTTTAAGGAAAATATACCACGAGCAAGATTGCACACCTTCTCTCTAACCAGTAAGGCAGGAACCTGATTCCGTAAAATATGCAGTGCCAACGAGATGTTGCCACAATTCAAACATTCTGACAAAAACTGTTTAAAGAGAAGAAACAATGCTGAAGATCGTGCTTCCTCCACCAAATCCTCCATCGAGTTAATGATGTCTATGCAGGCATCCCAATTACCCTGAAGAATCTGGGACTCTAGCAACTCAAGCTGTGAAGATTTCCCAGAAATACTGGATTCTGATTCCAAAGTCAAAGCGGACTTTCTGTAACCCAATGAATAGAGGCTTTGGATAATCAGCCTGACGAATTCGTGCCTCATTATCAGACCCTTCGGACCAATTGCTGTACATAAATTATCCATGGCATCAGGTCAAAGTCCAGTAAGAATTTCTGAGCTTTCTCAGAGTTCCTGTGATCTCAATTATTGCAGTCTCCTAGTACCTAGCTATAAACTCACGCCAATGAACCAACTGTTTTTCCAGCCAATTGTCAGCAGAACGACTCCCCACTTGCAACTTCACAAGAATGCCAAAAACATATTTCAAGTACCTGAATTCAAAATATCAAAGGGGCCAGAAGGAACATAAGCAAAGGAGGAGGGGAAGACAAGAAAGGAAAATCCATCAAAGCGCGATCTTTGAACCGCTCAATAGTGTGATCATTTTCCATGCGAAGAGGAAGGAACAAAGTCACAGAACTGAATATAGCGTTGAAGTAACTGTTCTGAGCACACAGCTGAAAGGAGGGAAAATTCAAAATAGCAAGAAAGTAAAAAAATACAGAAAACAAAAGGAAGAGCTGGCTCCACGATGCATAAGCCGAAACAAAAAGTGACTTCCCAGAAGCTGTGGAACTCGATAGAGTTGTCGCAAAAAACTAAAACCACGTATACAGACGGGGAAGGAATCAAGAAGCTATTGGGAACTAGGAGAATCATTTTCCCCACCAATGGGCAACTGAATTGAAAGTGAAGACAGCAAATTGTAAGGGGAAAGGGAGAGAGAAAGGAACTGACCAGAAACGGGAAATCACACTGGCGGAGGGGAAGATTTTCGCGGCGGAGAAACGGAAAACTTCGGCAGCCTGATTCGCCCGTCTAGGGTGTCGAAATGGAATCAGTCCGTACAGAAGATATCGGAACAGATGGGAGAGGAGGAGAGGGGGTGTTTCGGCGTCAGGCGATGATTTTATTTGATTCCAAGTTTTGTAAATTTACTAAGAATAGTAGGAGGAGGTGCAATAAAATCTTTCAGGGGGTCGACAAGGTGCAAGGTTACTGCAATACTATAGTCTCCACTCTCCACTGTTCCACGGTTAGTAAAATCTTACTGGAACTTGTACCAAATAAGTCATGTGTTGGATACTAGATAGGTTAGGTATTATGAGCTTTAAATATCACCATCAATAACAACACTAACAACCCGAGTTCAAACCAAGTAAAAAGACGATGTATCCTAGATTGCTTTCTCGCGATCTCCTGGCTGAAAGACGAAGACTCTAGCTGTTATACCTTTTGTCTTCTTCGTCAGTTGCCTCTCCAAGATCACGGTCGAGGGATCTGAGATCCTGGTTGTGATCTCCTGCGTAGCCCGTGATCTAGTTCGCGGTCTAGGAGTTTATTGTCTTTTTTTAGCGTTTACATGTGAACTCAAATTAAACTCTTTTTTTTTGGGTAAGAAGACGGATGCAAAGCATCCCAACCTTAGATTAAAACATCACGTTCTTGGGAGGTCTCCCTTACATCATAATTAAGCCAATACATGAAGTTCGGATCGCACGTATCAAGGTGATGCGTGCCAAAAGGAACCTCGTGACCCTTGCAAGCCAAGATATCAGCTGCATCATTACACTCTCTATAAACATGATTAATTTTCATAATCCAATCGCGTCTCAAAAGCTCTTTCGCTTGGAGGATGAGAAGGCCGTGTCTACTGTTGGGATCGCCTTCTCCTTTCAAAATGCCCACCGCAGTTGTAGAATTCATGTTGACTTCTACCTTCCTCAAGCCCATTCCCCATGTGATCTTTAAACCCTCAACTACACCTTTAAGCTCTGCCTAGTAATGGTGCAGGCTCCCAGTTTGCACATAAACGCTGCCAAGCACTTCCCTAAGTTGTCTCTAAGAAGACCTCCCGTAACAACATTGTTGTTAGAGCTCTGAAAGCTTCCATCATTTTGAAGTTGGATCCAATCTTCTGGTGGTGACTTCCAAGATATGAACCTCCTTTCTCTAATGGTTCTCGTTCCTTGTTCAACAAAGGCAACATTCGCCACAACATTGGTGTTAATGGAAAAGCAAGCCTCAATTCTTTTGATCAGGCCCACTTCGGAGAAAATTTTCCCGTCCATTGCTTCCTCATTCCGTTGTTTCCATATACACCATCATATGATACCGAACTCCGTTCCTTTACTCTCATCTTTCATGTTTTTGACCAGCCAGGTCTTGAAGTCTTGGCTGGGGGTATGGTCCGAAACTCGATCTTTGAAGTGTCCCATGACACCTTTGATCTTCTTTCAGTTTTGGAGAATATGCTCCACAGTTTCCTTAGTATTGCTGCAGTGAGGGCAGCTGCTGTTGGTGGTGAACCCTCTCTTCGATTTTTCCTTGTTAGTCATCAGTCTGTTGTGTGTCATCAGCCACAGGAAGTGTTTAATCTTGCTAGGGCCTTTCCATTTCTAGATGCCTTTCTAGATAACATCATCCTCCCTCCCCAAAGCATCAGAGGCAAGGCTGTAGGCAGATTTAAGTCTGAACTTCCCATCCTTTTCCACTCTCCAAATGTGCTTGTCCTCCCCCGAGCCAGGAACATGAACATTTGTACCTGCAATCAGCGACAAGATCTCATCAGGTAGTAGATTATTGAGTCTACTCCAGTCCAAGTTACCATCCTCCATGGTCTAGTCAGCAACTGTAGAGCTCCTCTCTTCCTCACTAATATCATGTTACAGGAAGTCAACAAGGATGATGTCATGATCAATCCATGGGTGGGTCTAGAAACCAGTGGAAGTTCCATCACAAACACTCCGGCCTATGGCACTCTTATTAGTGGCATTGCTTTAAGGACAACTTTCCATAGACTTGAGTGATTGCTCTTCTTCATAGAGACAAGCATTCCATCTTTATGGTTAAAATACTTCCCCTATAAGACCTGCACCCAAAGAGCTTTTTCATCATTGAAAATGGGTCACGCAATCTTAATCATGTAAGCCACGTTGAGACATCTAGCATATTTAAGGCCGAGGTCACCCTGGCTTTTAGGTTTGCAGATAGTATCCCACGAGACGAGGTGAACTTTTCTCCTCCCTTCCTGGGACCCCACACAAACCACCTAACCTTTCTATCAATTGCATCACAAATAGAAACAGGGAGGTTGCAGTTTGCATGACATATGTAGGTATAACATTCAAAACAGAGAGAGCAAGGGTAACTCTCCCTGCAAGGGAAAGCGTTTTCTCTTTCCAAGCAGTCAGTCTTTTATCAATCTCATCTAGGATATACCTATAAGTGTTCGTAGTAATCCTACCATGTAGAACTGGAACCCCAAATTAACCTCTTTTCCTTCACTCGACTTCATCATTCTTCATCATAAGTGTCCGAAGCTCACGATGCCATCTAATATTTCAATACCTGATGCAAGAAAGCAATATAGGATACATCATAAGTGTTTGAAGCTCACGGTGCCAACTAAACATGATTTTTATTCTCCATTTCCATAATTTTAAGATAACACCAAAAAGCATAAACAACCAACCATACTAAACCGAAACTCAGAGTGAATACAAGGTCATTTGGCTGTGGTAATTTAACGCAATAATTGGACCCAAATCCCACGAAATGCATATATTTGGTGGTTCTCCGATGAGAGGAGCTCTTCCTCAGCCGTCCCATCTTCTCCACCGCTGCCTCCAAATTCCCTTTCTGTGTCGCCCAACAACTCCAATCACCAACTCACTATTTTTATTTGCCGCTATCGCAATCCCATTATCTCTTTCATCTTCGTTTTGAGCTTCAATTAACGGATGTGAGCTTCAAAGGGGTTCGATTAGTAGCTACCACTATAATTGAAATTAAATTTAGCATCCCTAGTTAGAAGGGGGTTCATTGCTTACAAGCTCTGTGCATGAGAGATTAATCAGTTGACTTGCGATCTCCTATATTGCTGAATTTTGTTGTTGTGTTGTTGCTTTTGCTATACTGTTGAATTGTCGTTGCTATTGGATCCCTTCCCTATGTTATTTGTACCATGATCAATATGTTTGGTTTCTTTGAATAATATGATATCCTTTAATAAGATCCTAAAGCTATTGTGGATGGCTAGTGTTTAAGTCAGTGTGGTGCAAGTTTTCTATTTGGTGGCAGCAAAAGCAATGGCAACAAGAACAACTAGCAACAAAATCAGTTACTAGCACAAGCAACAAGGAGTGATTGGATTCTTTCATTAGAGAGTAATTGTATTTGTCACTAGCAGTCGCATACTTCACATACACAATATAGTGGTTAGATTGTTGCTACGGTTTTATTCAATAGTTCAAAAGTTCAAGGATTGAGAATAATGCATTGTGAGATGAGTGAAGAAAGGCTTTAAAGAGAGTACAAAAACACTTAACATGGAAAGGGGTTTATATGTCCTAAATGGCTCAATCTATGAATCAAAATTGCTTCGCAAAGAGGCAATTTCAACTAGCATGAAGAACATCGAAAATTGGCTAAGTGTTGAGATTGTTTCAGGGGACCAACTTTGCAGACTTGGTTCTCACAAATGGCTCGATGAAAATTCAAGATTAGGGGTTTGTTTTGAAGTTGGAGTGCTCCTCTACAAGCTGGGATGCGTGGGAGCTCGAGGAGAGTTAGGAAGGTAATTTTCGAAGCTGCTCAAAAACCTCGGCCAAAACCGAGAAACTGCCTGAAAATGGCTAAGTCTGAAAACGTGATTGTGAAGCCTACATTGGAGCTCCATTCGAGGAAGAGGATTGAAAATCTAGTAAGGAGCTTCATACCACATGAAAGTACGTATGTTAATCTACAAAGACACGACATTGGATGATCGATTTGATACCTAGAAGGCTTTGAACGAAAGAGGGCAATATCGTTTGGAGCCTGCCGAAATTGTCTTGCTTACCAAGGAATCCAAATCCTTCTCGGATTAGGATTACTTTACCTTTTCTGTTTTGCACTTTGATTTCGAGTTTGTTTGTGTTTAAAACTTCTCGTGTTAGTTTTTTTTTTTTTTACCTAGCCTAGCTCTATTTAAGCCTTTCAATTGCATTGTAATAGATAGATTTTGTTTAATTGAATATAAACGTCAAGTTTTGGTTCATAAGCTTTCGTCTTGTGAGTTGATTAAATAGCTTGGTGGAGTCAGAGTGATTCGTGTGCTTGTATCAAACAAGTTTTGAGAGATTGCTCGAAATTGACCATCCAAAACACACCAAACATGGCCCTATTGTTCGTGTGTTCTTGTCCGAGGTTCAATTCAATCCCATTGAATTGATCAAGCTGCTCACTCTAATCGAAAGAGACCCACCTAGGGCTCATCAAGTGGCATCAAGACTCAGGAGCCTGGTTCAACACAGTGGCAACAACGAAGAAGTAAAACTTACTCGCCGCTGCAAGAACGAGGCACAAAGATCCAATTGCCCTGCGGAAACCAGAAGAGTCAGAGTATGACGACGAGACTCAATTAGACCAACAAACAATGAGAGAATCGTCTCTCAGTGCGACCGAGCACGGCCACAGTGATGGAGCGCATTCACAATTTGGAACGAAGGATGATCACAATGGAGCACGACCACCGTGAATGCCGTCACGACGATCGAAAGAGACCCACCTAGGGCTCCTCAGGGGCAAATTGATATTCTAACGAAATCTCACACCATCTATTTCCATATTCTTGATCTCAATCCAAACATGTGATTTTAGTCAATTTTCATTTAGCAATTCCCGGGTTTTGTATAACATAGAAATACCACCCAACCCCTACAATCTAGGAAAAAATCCGAAAGTACCACTGTTTAAAAAAAGAATTCCAAAAATACCACCCAACCCCAAAAAATTCCAAAAATACCACCCTTTTTCAAAATCTGCCACCCCACCATGCGGTTTACACGAAAACCGCTGGGCGTGGGCCCGGTTTTCTATCCAAACCGCTGGGCTAAGGGGCGGTTATAAAAACCGCTGGGTGGGGCGGCGGTTTGGGCCAAACCGCCACCCCACCCAGCGGTTTGGTCCAATTTTTTTTTCCCGATCAACTCCTAACTTCGGCCGAAACTTCAAACGAACGTAACTTTGCACTCAGGTATCAGATCGTAGCGATTTTTTTTTAATCCGAATAACTTTTCGAGATCTTGCAAGCCGCAAACGCCATAGGCGGTTTGATCCCGCCTTCGTCTCGAAAAAACGTCATTTGCTACCCCGAACGAGCCTTTTTTTTTATTTCGTCAAACTTTGGTCGGCCTTAACTTTGTGCTCCAAAATATGAACGTCATGAATTTTTTTTTTATTCCGCATAACTTTTCAAGATCTACAACTTTTAAGATAATCATGATTTTGAATGTACATGGATTTGTGAAAAGTAAAGGTAAAGTTATTCCCAATGTCCCGTATATCCACAACTAATTCATGTTTTAAAAATTTCATCCTAGTAAAAGTTGTAGATCTCGAAAAGTTATTCGAATTAAAAAAAAATCGCTACGATCGGATACCCGAGTGCAAAGTTACGTTCGTTTGGAGTTTCGGCCGAAGTTAGGAGTTGATCGAAAAAAAAAATTTGGATCAAACTGCTGGGTGGGGTGGCGGTTTGGCCCAAAACCGCCGCCCCACCCAGCGGTTTTTATAACCGCCCCTTAGCCCAGCGGTTTGCATAGAAAATCGCGCCCCACACAGCGATTTTCGTGTAAACCGCAGGGTGGGGTGACGATTTTTGAAAAATAATGGTATTTTTGGAATTTTTTGAGATTGGGTGGTATTTTTGAAATTGTTTTTTAAACAATAGTATTTCTGGAAAAGTCCTACAATCTACATGTGATAACAGACGACCGAGTTGGAAATTACTGGTCTAACCTCAGCGCGTCATTACACGCATTCCAATTATTACGGTCTAGGCGCGTGGAGCAGACAGCCATCATCATCGTTTCCCGCAAACAGCGTAATGCTGTAGCAAATGCACTCTCCTCCACTGTACTATTACTATACTGCTCTCTCTCCGTAACGCCTCCGCAATAAAAGCTTCCCTTTCCCTTTCCCTCTTTCACTTTTGCTTCAACTAACTCTTCTTCAATCTACTCCGCTCGCAACAAATATACGCTGCCATCACAGCTGGAAATTCCGGCGTCCATTCACCCGCTCGTGGCCGTCTTGTCTTCCCCTTCTCCGACGGAGCTTCTGAACGACGGCGACGACTTGTCTCCCTAGATTTTCGGGACCGCATTTCATGGATCTGCAGCTCGGCCCACGGGCATTGTGTCCTACTCTTTCTTCTCTGCCTTGAAGCATCAGTTGTTCGTGCGGGCTGTTGGAGCCTTTCTTTTGCTTTTATTTTTTTTCCCACTTGAGCTATGCGGTCAGCTGCTTTGGTGGCCGCGGAGTTTGAGGCAGTGGATTGTTGGTGGCGGAGAAGGAACCCTAGGGATATTTACTGCTCATTCACTTGGATCTTGGGCGGAGACGCTGTAGAGCTTGACGGTGTTCTGTGAGCAATGGTGTTTGGTTTGGCTTCCTGAGAAGAAGATGCGAACCTTGGTGCTGCTGCTTTGCTTGCTTCGCCTTGTTTTTACTTGTTCAGGTAAATTGACGAGTTGCACTCTTTCCGCCTTTTATTTTGAATGGCGGCTTCCTCTGGATTTCCCGCTATTAGGTATTGTTGGGATGAATAGCTTTGAAAAGACAGGGTTTGAGATAGTAGAATAAGGAATTTGTACCAAAACTTCACTTGCTGCTTGCCACTGATTATTCCGTCCTCTTCTATCACAGGCGCCTTTAGGAATGGATTATGGGAGACGAAATTAGTTAGATTTATAATCTTCAGGTTTCTAATGCTAGCTCAATTTACTGCGGGGAGAGTTTTTAGGATTAGGGAAGACTTCCCCAGTATCTGCAGTCTGCGTCCCTCTTATTCAGGTTGATGCTTGGATGTCCAATACAGGGGGATGCCCTGAATCATGGCGGCTATGCCTACATTTCTAGTTAGAAACTTGTGGTGCAATCTTCCATGGGTGCCGACTCTGTGTGCATGCTTGTGTAGGAGACCTGGTTGCCATGAGCCGTTACTGAATGTAGAGAACTTCTAAGTTGGATAACATCTTTCAAATTGGTTTCCTGCTAGATTTTGACTCATGCAAACATCTTCTGCTTATTGTCTCTGGGATAAAGGTGCTTAAATCCTTCATTATTTCAATATGTTCATGTATCTACTTTGCTCTCGCAGGGAACTCATTATATCACATGTTTTTAACTCCTGAACAAACTACTCAGCGTGTACCTACAAGCGGAATTTCGGTGAAACAAGGTAGGAAATCGAGCAATTTAGGTTATTTCTTGTGGTATAGTTGCTGCCAATGGATCCATGATTAACATGTTTCCTTTATTGCTTGCAGCAAGGAAAACTTCGAAGGATGTTCAATTTGGTCATTCGCAGCCACCTCAGAAGCATCTGTTTAGACCTGCTCATAACCCATCTTCTGCACCTGCCCCTGCCCCTATCCCACTGAATAAGGGTATTACAAGTAAATGCAATCTGGCAATGGTTCCAATTGCTTTTAACAATCTTTTGGTATTATCTTACTGATAACCTCTGTTTTACCAGTCTCCTCTAGTCCTAGAATTGCTCCCATACCAAGACGTCATGGCCATCATCGAAATCACCATCCAAAAGCAGCTGTAGTCCCTCCACCCCCTTCAGAAACAACGAGTAATACTTGGATCTAAAATTCTTATCTTCCTCATATTTGTACTAGTATGGGCTTTCTGATAGAGGCGTCTTTGGCAGGCTGTGACCAAACTTGTGTGGATCCACTTACGGCTACTCCATTCGGTTCACCTTGTGGCTGTGTTTTCCCTATGAAAGTCAGACTTCTTCTTACTGTGGCTCCTTACACCGTTTTCCCAGTGATGAATGAACTAGAGGTTGAGGTCGCAACAGGGACTTATTTGGAACAGAGCCAGGTAAAGATAATGGGTGCCACCGCTGAGAGTGAAAATCAGGGAGAAACGGTGGTGGACATTAACTTGGTTCCACTGGGAGACAAATTTGATAATACCACGGCTAGTCTAATTAATCAAAGATTCTGGCATAAGAAAGTGCCTCTAAATACGACTATCTTTGGTAGTTATGAAGTGGTGTATATTGTTTATCCAGGTAATTATTTCAGTCATACCAGATGTTTTGCTATCTCTTGTTATTTTCTTATCTTCGAGATGACCATCGAGTTTCCATCAGGCGTTCCTTCTTCGCCGCCATATCCAAGTTATACTGCCGGCGGTCCATCGGGTAGTGGTGGAGGTCTACCAATCACAGCCAATCCAGTGAAGAAGGACAAAGGGATCAACTTTAGGACCTTAATAATCATCGCATTATCAGCATTGGTGCTCTTGTTGGTCTTAATTGGGGCAGTGTCCATTTTCATAAAATGGAAAAAGTTTGGGAAACAGTCAAATGCTGTTGGTCCTGCATTCCCACAATCTATCAATAAAAGATCTGGTATGAGCTTATATGATTTCAGTTTTTTTTTTTATTATGCACTGCTTGGGAATGTGCCCCCATACATTTTACCGGGGTTATGTTCTGTAATCCTTTTAGGCCAGGCAGCATTATCTTTGCATACTTTTTTTCTTTTCATTTTACTTAATCTGAGCACTGGTTTCTCCGAAGGGTAGCATGACACTGCTACTTTCTGTCATGCAATCCCAGCATTGATGTTTCCACTTCTCCTCTTGTACATTGTCTATAATGGCTCATTTTGTTCCAACTTAGATTGTCACTATCTAAAATAGCTTCTTGACCAATTTCATGCTCCTGAATCCTTCTGTCCCGTGGAATGTATTGGTTGATTGAATTTGTCAAACATGACAACTACAAAATATAATCTTAATACTTAATAGACGATGGTTCTGTTTTACTACTTACGCTGAATTTTTCTGAGCTAGGATGTGTAATTGCAGGTTTTGGATCCTTCTTAACAAATAGTATTGCGAGCTCAACATCAGTATCCCTCATTTTTAACATGGCTCCTTGCATGTTATCTGTGAAAGCATTTAGTTATCTGGACCTTGAGAGGGCTACAGACAAGTTCAGTTCAAAGAGGATCCTGGGGGAAGGAGGGTTTGGACGTGTTTATCATGGTCTAATGGAGGACAGGACTGAAGTTGCAGTGAAGATGCTTACTAGGGCCAATCAGAATGGAGACCGTGAGTTTATTGCAGAAGTGGAGATGCTGAGTCGTTTGCATCACCGTAATCTCGTCAAACTGATTGGTATATGCATTGAAGGGCGTACACGCTGTTTGGTTTATGAACTTGTTCATAATGGCAGTGTTGAATCTCATTTGCATGGTATGTGCCATCATCATATTTATCGTTCAATACTATATGCTATTTGTTTCAGACAGTACTTCCTTGATTGTATATTCTTCTAGTGAAAATGAGACTGCCTATACTGTTGAACTCATGAGTAAAAGTTCCTTCTGCAGTATGGAACTCTTTCCGGCGGAAACACTGGTTGGAGTATATACAATTCAGTTTAGCATATTTAGCTGTGTTTCAGGTGTTGATAAACAAGGATACCTTGACTGGGATGCACGGTTGAAGATTGCTCTTGGAGCAGCTAGAGGACTTGCCTATCTACATGAAGATTCTAATCCTCGCGTGATTCATCGAGATTTCAAAGCTAGTAATGTTTTGCTGGAAGATGATTTCACTCCTAAAGTATCTGATTTTGGCTTGGCAAGGGAAGCAACTGAAGGGAGCCAACATATCTCTACAAGGGTCATGGGAACCTTCGGGTAATCATTCATGTCCTTTTCTTCTAATTTCTTCATCTTGCATAACACTGAACTGTCTGTACACCATTCCCGAGGGCTGTGATATTACTGGTCTTGTGGTGACACAAGTCTGACACTCAGGAATGATTACGAAACCTGCTTCAATTGGCTGTCTAACGTCCACCAATTCCTGATTTGGCAGGTATGTAGCTCCTGAATATGCAATGACAGGGCATCTGCTTGTCAAAAGTGATGTCTACAGCTACGGGGTTGTGTTACTCGAGCTTCTGTCAGGGAGAAAACCTGTGGATATGTCCCAACCTCCAGGACAAGAAAACTTGGTAACTTGGGCACGTCCGCTTCTGACAACCAGAGAAGGGTTGGAGCAGCTAGTTGATCCTTCCTTGGCTGGAAGTTACGACTTTGACGACATGGCCAAGGTGGCAGCCATCGCCTCGATGTGTGTCCACCCGGAAGTAACTAACAGACCGTTTATGGGAGAAGTTGTGCAGGCTCTCAAACTGATCTACAATGACACTGATGAGACATGTGCGGAGGACAACTGCAGCCAAAATGAGTCTTCTGCCCTGGATGACTCGGACTGCAAAGGTGATTTTGTTCCATCAGAAAGTAGTTGGTGGAATGCAGGTGCAGTCTCCCCTCGCATAACGTATGGGCAAGCCTCATCTTTCATTACCATGGAGTACAGTTCAGGCACACTCGAAGGGTTGGAAAACCGACCAGTCTCAGCCTCGAGTTTGCTTGGAGAACGATTGTCATCACCAATCAGGCATGGCAATAGGTCTGGTCCTTTGAGAACGGTGAGAAGTAAGCCATCCTTTTACAGATTGAGAGGGAGTATGAGTGATCATGGGAACCTCCCGGTGAGACGAACCGGGAATGATGAATATTGGGCATAAGGTGGGTTTGGTCATTCAAAGGGAGTGTACAGTCTTCTGCAAAGGACTACCTGTAAGCTTTTTGAATTGTTATTTATGGGGCTACAGGAGAGGTTTTCGGTTCTCAAATGTCTGGGGTAGAGGGTCTGGAGAACCCAGTTTCATTGCTTATGAATCCTCAGCTTCTGATTTGGAGAACCTCAGATTCATTTAACTATACAAGGTTTCACAATGAAAGATGCATACCTGAAATGGTGTACGTACTTATGTCTTTGTTTTATAGCTTTAATCTTGCCAACTTTTTTCCCTTGTTCTATTTCTGAGTTTTGACACCGAAATACCTCGCCCCAAACGATCAATAATTCAATATAGTCTAGTCTTGTTGGACCTATTGCAAAGAATTAAATCTATTTTATGTGTATGTACAGATCAAGTTAGACTGAATAAAGAATATCCAATCAAACAGCCGCCTGACTAAAGACACCTTCGATACAAATCTCTCTTTCTCTAGACATTACTTTACTTCCAGGTACGCAGTCACGCAGACAAGCCAAGGCCAAAAGGAGGACACGGGAAACGTGGAAATTGAGTTGGGGACGAACTTTTTGCTTTTCCCAAGTAAAACTCTTATTAGTTGAGAATAATACACTGAAAATCTTATCTTCCTCCTCAAATATTGGGAGGTTGCCAACTTCATTCCTTCAGAGGATACCACAAGCAAGGAAGGGGCAAAAGAAAAAAGACACAGAAACTGAGAAAGGGAGATGCAGAGGACGAGGAACGGAGATAGAAGGTTAACTATAAACAAAGAGAGAAAAAAACGGGGAGCAACATACGGGACTTGTAGGAACTTGGTATTACACCAGTTAGTGCAAACTATTTTACATTCCGGGCTGTGTCCATAGGCATACATTCTTCCTTGGTTAACACTGTTTCCATTCTCAGCAACAGAGTGTTTTCTTCCTTCGACGACAACGGAATGTATTCGCCAGCAGCAACCATTAAAAGTAGGACCCAGTTAGTCACATTGAAGATTCCTGCCATCGTTCATACAGAGTAAACCACTTAATATACTTGACCAAAAAACAAAAGCAGATTGCACAAGGGAAAGAGAAGCAGACACAAGGTATTCTAATTTGAACGGTGTGCAGTCGCCAAAAGCATGCGCTTAAAGTAGAGGTTTCGACATTATACCATCCAGAGAGACTTGCACTGCACTGATCACACAGTAACTACGCAGGTCATGGGTGGATTCCTAACCTTCTAGAGCATACGTCCCAACCTTCAACCAACAAGCGCAGAGAAACAACAAATAAACGTAGAGACAGAAATTAATGGTTCTTCGCAACAGTGATACTGAAAGCTTTGAATGTGTACCTAGTAAAGCCTATCATCTGATAAAAAGGATGCGGAACTTAAAAGTTGAAACCATTTCAGAGTTACAAATATCAGAATGAACAAACAGATGGACATTACAGAGTAATCCGACATCTAAGCACCCTAACATAACAACCGACTAGTTTTTACAAACTAAAACACCATACATAAAAAGGCAACTCATTCACCCATTTGTTCTTTTATGGAACGTAAGAGTGACAAAGTAAGAAGTTCAGTCCAAATGAGCGTAGAATAAAAGGAATGAAGATAGATCATTGGCACAAACATTTTTCAGATGTTGTATTGTTCCCACCTCATTGTTTAATCATTTGTCAACGAGGAAGGGATGCAAAAACTATGGAACAGGAATCTGGCAGTGGTATATAAATGGAAGAACCACTTCTAACAAGGATACCAAATACAAGTAGAAACGGATAACCTTTGCATTAGTCTACCTCAGCCAAGTTCTCAGCGACATAGTTCAGTGTCGAGCAATTTGACCCATGAGCACTGTCATACTGCAAGACCCTAAGTCGTCCCTCCTACATTTTACAGAAAGCAGTTATTAGTTCAGAAGACAGAGCCCCCTTACATATGAAAAAGAACAATCATGGACCAAAAGCAAGTGATTTGTCTAAGACATGCACACACCTTGGTTCCATAGACTAGACCTCCCCCGGCAAATGGATGAAAGCAAGCAACATTAACCTCGTCCTCTGCACTAGGAAGTACTCTGACAAGTTCCATATCTGAAACTCGGTAGACCTATATGGCAAAATTATCATATCATTGTTGTAATTTTGTAGTTAATTAGAAACAGCAGATGTACTAGGAAGTACTCCGGCAAGTTCCATTAAAGATAATCAACAGAATGCTGCCACCATAAATTAAATTGTGCAGATTTCCCCTTGGGGAGAAACGAATTTTCTCGTGGAATATGAGGCACCAAACATAAGTACTCTTGGACTTCAATATGTCGATCAAAATGACTATCTTCCTAAAATTTCAGAGGAAAAAATCCTGTATCCTAATTAACACAGTAGTACAACATGGAATCCAAAATACAACAGTAGGCAAACTAGAAAATTCACCTCTAAAACCGTGTAAATGAGTGAAGTTGTCTCCCCGTCAATAACAACGCTCTTAAGAAGAGACCCATGACGTCGCCCATAAGCCAGTAATATGTGCTCAGACGTCGGAGAGAACTGCATTTAGCAGCATAATTGTAATCCAGATAAACATGAAAGGACATCCAAACAAACTACAGGCATCAAACTGAACTAAATCAAAACAAGCGAGAACATCTATCTGACCTGTTTTAAACACATACGAGGAGAAATTAACAGACTCATATTTTTGGAGAATCAATTACCCTATCACTCCCAATATGAACTAGATCAAAACAAGCGAGAACATGAATTCGGGCTACGGATTTACACAAGCACGAGGAGAAATTAACAGATACTAATATTTTTGCCCCCCCCCCCCCCCACACACACACACACACACAAAATGTAGACGAACAAAAGACTTTAACACAATTATTGCTCGGCCTGTGTGCTATGGAAATGACAGTCGTGATATCCAAAACAGGCAAAAGCCAACAGTTCTCTACAGGTAACAAGCTACAAGAAAACCTAGAATAGAACACCTGGAATGCATGCAATTAGCATCATTTAACCTCCAATCATCAAATGTGAATCCATCATTATTAAAGCAACATAACAGTAGATAAAACGGCATATCACCATGGAGGACACAGAAATTATCAGTTGGTCCATGACAGCTTGTTCATCCCCCTTATCTGATCACATTTGGTATAATGCGGGAACAACACAACACCCAGTATACTCCAAGGAAGATTAAATACTAGTAAGGAAAAGCTGTGAACCTGTATAGAAGTCAAACAGTGTGCAGCTCTAATTGCACGGGAAACAAGCACTGAGCCAAAGCTGCACACACAAAAGCCCTTGATGGATCACAATATATTACCAGACTAGGAGCAAATGAAAGGAATGCATAAACAAAGAGAACTTACGTTGCTTCCTCCAAGGAATATATACGAAGCTCATACATAACTTGATGTGCAGAGATTGGGTGTCTAGTAGGAGACGTTGCAACCCCAGCATCATGATGAACTAATGCTTGTAATCCAGGATCAGCTTCCATTTGTGGAAGGGTGCATGCAACACAGGCAGCTAAATATCTTCCACAAGGCGAAAAGTGCGCACCCATTTCACTGCAGGTACAAGAAAAGCTCACAGTGATGCAACAAGACCTTAAACGACATGTATGCTAGACATACAATTTCAGCACCAAGGTTTAAGACAACAAATAGTCTCAAACGTCACAAACTGCATACCTACAAAGAACAGCATGTGGTATGGTTAAGCGGCATGTTTCAGCATTTAATTGTGAACATGGATTTTGTATATCATGTGACCACACTCTCAGCCTCACTGTACAAGGTAGTTCTGCAGCAGCTGCAGCTGTTGTTGCCAGTTCAGACTGAATTCTGTTTAAAAGTGGCTGAGCATCAATATCATTTTGCGTATTGAGAAGACCTACAACTTCACCAGATTCGGGTTCTAAGAAGCGAGAGCGTGAAATGTGATACCGCAGACCAGATCTCCCAGAACCCCCAGATAAAAAGGAACTACCAGACAGCGCCAAAGATGCTACCGCAGCCTCCGCACTGGAACTAGAGAAATGAGGTGCCACAGAAGGAAGACCTGAAAGCTGAGCATTGTGTTCACTGCCAACACCATTTAGCGGAAGTATCGAAGGAAGACCAGCTTGGCTTTGACCCATTAACCATCCTTGCAAAAAGGGTACCTCCCACCAAACCGGATCTCTTGGTGGCAAAAGCTGGTGAACTTGGGCAAACTCTGTCGGCTGCTGCCGAATTGAGCCATGCCTAGGGCCTCCATCAGCTGTACTATTACCTTCACTGAAAGCATTTATTTCTTGATGGTTTGGCCTCATATGTGGTGGTTCATCTGTGTCCATGGCATCTTCAGCTATGCCAGGAGTACGAGCTGCAGTATGAAAATAGTTACTGGCTGCGCTGCTTATTGCTGGGCATGAGCCTGAAACAATGTCTGAATGTGTCTCCATAGGTGCAGTTGTTTCCGTTTGTATCTGCATACGCATAGAAGACTCCACTTGCATTGAGCTTGAACTTGAACTAACATCTCTATTATCATTTACTCTAGTATCATCTACAGGGATTGAAGGCATGACTAGTAAAGGTAGGGACATCAAAGGTAGTTCAGCAGCAACATTTACACGCTCACTGGACTGAACATTTGCCACAAAAACAGCAGGAGGTGGATATCTCAGATAGCCTGGCGATGTTGCCCGTGACATTGTAGAATCTGAGGAGTCGAGATCATTGACCTGCATATCAGTCCAACAATGTAATCCATAGAGTAGCATTGAGATAATAACCAATTGAACATTCTTAGGAGTACTAACCTCTGCCGTCAAGAGAAACGGGGCAGCGTGAGGGTGAAAATGCACTGCACGAAGAGAACGTTTTGTCCTCAAAACAACGGTAGGTGAAGACGCCTCCCCTCTCTTATTGTAATGCCATATGTACAACTGCGTCATGAAACCAAATGTTAATACTGCTCAGATATGTTATTACTTATTAGTACCCCCATACTACTTGAAAGCAGAGAAAACAGAAAATTTAAGCAACGCTACACCACATATAAAGTAAAGGATTCTACACCTTGTGCCCTGATGCAACAGCCAGCAATTGACCCTCAGCATGGAAAGCAATGGAAGCAATAGGGCGATCTGCACAAGTCGGGAAAGGCACAAGGATAAACTGAGCAACAATCCCACCAACTTTGCATACAACCAGTGCAGAAAGAATGAAATTTCTAACAATAACTAAAAGGTGCGCACAGTCAACTTACTAAAATCACGAGATCCAACACATTCTGCAGTATTAGCATCCCACAAACGTACTTCATAATCCAAGCTACCACTGGCAAGAATCTCCGGGTGGAGGGGATGAAACCTAACCTGAAAAGGTTAACTTCAATAATAAATAAATAAAACAGCTAGTCCAGCAATTGGAAAAACAGATGGGCGCAATGCAACAGTTCCAAGTGCTGAAACACTGAACATCACATAACTTCATCCAAAGAACCATAGGCGGCCTTTCAATGAGATAAGAAACAAATGGTTAGGAAAAGGACTACTCAGCACTGAATATTCTGAATGATAGCAACCACAAGAAACTAAAATATCTTAATCCCAGGAAGCCTAACACATGTTTTCATCCAAAGAACCATATCAAGCTACACAGCCTTGTCATGAGGTATATGACACAAATGGTTTGAAAAAGAACAACTACACACAAAACATTCTGAACGATAGGTACCACAAGAAAATAGAATAACTACCACTAAGAGATAAAGACATTCCATTTTTGCAGTCACAACTACAACAGAGACAACTAGTACTACCTAGCAACTGTAAAGCCAATCAATCGTTTCATAACAGTGCCTGTGCAAGTTACACATCAAGTAGACCAGTTGACTGATAAACAAACACTCATTGGTTTCTCGGGAACTCGAATAAACATCCTATATATGAACAGTGCACACAATGCAAATAAATATAACAAGTCACAAACTACCGAATGGGGTGGGTGGGGGGGGGGGGCGATTACAAAGATAATAAGAAAAGTAAAGTAAAGTAGTTTAATACGGCCGAACAGGGTTTAATTCCATAGAATAAGATCAAAATTTCATCCGTTGCTGAAAAGCGAAAAATCAGATCACCAAACTTCCCTCTCTCAGTAGAAAGATCAGGTAACGATCGCAAACCTGAGACTTTCAACCAATACCTAAAAAGATTTCTGGCAGCTAAAGTAATAATAGCAGTAAACTGGAAGCAGTGCACATAAAAGCATAGATACGGATAAAACAGCAGCATATATACATTGAAAACTAATTCTCTGCCAAACAACTAGTTGAAAATACTCCTTGGCCCCAAAAAAACAGGAGCAGCTTATAAGAAACAATCAGATTTGAATGCAGATATCCAAAAGTGTATAAACGAGCGAGCCATTTACTGCACATAGATGGAAATGGATAACATCCTAATTCCAACTCACCACCCAAGGAGTTCTCCGATGACCACTCAATACCTTCAAGCACTTCCCAGTTTGGCAATCAATAATCTTGACAGTGTGGTCACCGCTGAGTACAGAAAACAGACCTCAAAGTGAAATAAGAGATTGATTCACAACTAAAAGACAACAGCGTGCGGTAAAACTTACTGCGTGGAAGCAAGTGTTTTCCCATCCGGACTAAATGCAGCGGCAATGGTCGACCTTGGAGGTGGCATCAGGGGACAATATTTGGCCGATAGATGTCGGAGTGATTCTGCCTCAACCCTAATGTGGGAACAAATACATATATTATCGAATGAACCAAAACAAGAATACGATGCAACATGATAACTTAATCCGAAGTATTTCCATACCATGAAATAAGACCTCGTTTGGGATCTCTTGCTGGTTCACTTTTAGCCTCAGATGGTGAATTGACATTCACATGAGAAGCCTCTCCCCATCCCTTCTTGGGAACATGCTTCCCTCTGGGGCATATCTCCCTCTGCACTAACAGCCGAAGAGCGTTTTTTCTACTACTGAAATCAAGAAGAGGAAGAAACCAAACAATTAACATAATCGAAACAAAGAGTTGTAATCCATATCAAACCAACTAGACTGGGGAAACCCAAAACCATAATTAAATCAGAATTGCGTCCCCAATAGAGGTAGCGAACCAATTTACAGTCAGAGATTTGACTGCTGCCCCCCACCCAGAACTACAAAATTGAAATAACTAAACAGAACTATCTACATTTACCAATTGAAGGCCATTAAACAGTTGACCAGAATTCAAACGACAAACAAGCGGCGCAATAACCAGCGGAAACCCTTCACATTCAAGAAAGAAAATGCTTCAAACATAGGCATGGGCAATCAATCTAACCTTTGGGCAGAATTACTGGACTGAGCAGATTGGAGGGAATTCTGATCTGGCGGCGGTAGACGGGCGGACATATCCTTGGCAGAGCGATTAAGGCTCATGGGGGAGGGCTTCTATAGCCGAATTCCAGTCAATTGAGGGGGGGAAATCAATAGGAAGAATTAGAATCTCCGAAACCCTAGTTCTTGGATTTCAATCTCGCTGCCCGGCGGTGGTGGATATGGCTCCTCTAGCAGCCCATCACAATCCGATGGACGGACGGATGCGATCAAGTCGGCAGAAGAGGAACGGGTCGGCGGATCGGAGCGTTTCGGCGTTTGTTTGATGAGAGAGAAATCGTTCTGATTCTAAAATGGCGACCACACCTAAAAAAACAGGAGCTGAGACTAGACACAGAGAGAGAGAAGAGAGATCGAACAGAAACGGTAATTATTTTAAGGCTAAATACTAAATACTAAATATTCAAATAAACAACTTTGTTTTACAGTATAATAAAAACCAATGTTGTCAAAGCCGAGCCGGAGTATGACCCGGTAACGTAAACGGCTCGGTCATTAGTGGTTCAACTGGCATTAGACCGTTTAAAAACCGTTTGAGAACCGGTAGCTTATAAATAATAATATCATAAGTAAAAGACACATAATGTAGCAATTTAATAGTTTAATGACTAAAACGAAATTTACCTTTCAAGTACCAATTAGTAAGTTTGCCATTTATATATATTAATTAACTAAGACAACAAACCCTAACCCCCACCCACTTGGGATGGCAATCATACCCACCGCCGCGGGTACCCGACCGCCTCCGACCCAGTCAACGCGGAGAATCCCCGCTTTGACTGGGTATGGGGCGGGTATGGGTAAAACCCGCGAAGAATCTGATGGGTATGGGGCGGGTATGGTTTTAGGTGCCCCCGCCCCATACCCATACCCAACCCGCCAACTTTATTTGTTATATGCTAAAAATACAAGTACCTGTTTGTAAATTTTTAATGACATAAAGGGTAAATGAAATAAATATAGATGACTAAAAGATAATTTCTCTTATCAAAACCCTAAAGGAAACATTAGCTCATTCCATTCTAATTTCTCACAGCCGCAGCCGCTCATTCTCCCAATTCCCAAATTCTTTGCTGCTGCTCGTCGTTCGTCGACTCCCGCAGCCGGCCAGCCGTCCCACAATCGATTCCTCCAACAGCCTCCGCCGCCGGTTCTGAATCGGGACTCCGTCGAAGTCGCCGTCGTCGGTGGCCGCTCCATCTCCACCTTCACGAGGCCGCACTTCCCAGGCCACAATCGATTTCCCTGGCTGGCTGGCTCCACGGCCCACGCACGGACGCACAGCGGCACGTTTCTTCCTCTTGACAGCTACACGCAAAGGTCAGATCCACGCCGCCAGCTCCATGCACAGCTCCACGCAAAGGTCAGCCACGTTTCTTCCTTTGGGCAATAGATTTTCATTGATTCTCCTGAGGCTTGAAAAATCAAACTGAACCCCAGACCAAAACCAAGTCCCCCACCGATCAAATTTCGTCAGTGAAAGGTGCATTTTTTATGGAGTACTATGAGAAAACGAAATGGTCAAATCTGGATTTGAGGTTGCAAAGGAAGCTTTTTTTTTTCTTTTAAGAACAAATATTGAAAATCAGTTTTCAATTTTATCTCTTGCTCAATTCAAGCGTAAGAATAAAATTTCTTAAAATCAGCTTTTGTTTTCAGTTTTATTCATCAGAATCAGCTTTTGTAACTCTCGTGGTTTCAAAAGCAAGCAAATGTCTTGTGACTTGAAGTGCATCTAAATCTATTTTGTTTTGTTGTAGGTCTTGCACTTGATTCAGATTATGATTCAGAAGATGAATGATGTCCAAATTTGTCTCGACTCTTGAGTTTAAAGTATGACCATATAAGGACTATTTCTCAGTGCTTTGTTTTCAATTACTCTTTTCATGTGTCTAATGCTTGATGATTTATTTTGTGTTTGTAGATATGGAGAAATGAAGAAGGGATTTATGTAATGCTTTTGGGAGAGGCAATGCGACTTTGTGTGTTTGAACTTTGAAGTAGTCTAGTAGACTTTGATCTTTTAGAGACAATTAAACAAAGGATTGGATGTTTTTTCGCATTAAGAACGATTGTACCTTGTTGATTTTATAATTTATTTGGTTGTTTTAGTGTTATAATTGAAGAATGCATGTTGTTTATTAGGTGTAGAAGTAATGCATACATGGGGATGGGTATTACCCATGGGTACCCGAAACCCGCGGGTATGGGGATGGGTATGCAAATCCTCCACCCGCATGGGTATGGGGCGGGGATGGGTATGGGTATATGGAAATGGGGATGGGGATGGTTTAGGCAAACCCGCCCCATTGCCATCCCTACCACCCACCCACTCCCTAGAAGCAGCGCCGCTTCCCCCACCCCCCTCTCTATCTTTTTTCAACTTCTTCCTTTCTTCCCCCCCCCCCCTCCCCCCTCTCTCTCTCTCAAAGGGAACAAGAAAGAAGACGACCGCGATGAAGGGGCGGGATGCAGGACAGAGAGGCTCGTTGGCGGCACCTCTTCTCTGCTTGAGAGTGAGCGCCGGATGGGAACCAACAGCGCCAACACTGCCATCGGAAGGGGCTGCCACGCTTCGACTGTCGGAGAAGAAGTTGGTGAGAGGAGGAGTTCGATTGCGCTGGCGAAATCCCAGAAGACGATGGGTTCGCCGGCAATGGTGTGTCCTCGGGAAATCGGCAGATTGAACCCATAATTTTTTTGTTTAATTTTTTTTATTTCCAAACGGTCAAAGTTCAAAAACCGGTCAAGCGGTTCAAGCGGCTCGAATGGTTAACCATTTTGGCCGCTCAAAAACCGATCTTTCTGGCCGTTACGGCTATTGGAGAGTTCCGACCCGAGCTAGCGTCCGGGTGCCGGTTTTACCGGTCCGACCGACCGGCTCGGGTCGGCTTTGACAGCATTGATAAAAACCCTTTTTTACAGTATAATAATTAATAAACAACCTTGTTCCCAACTTTTCCGATAATAGACAACTTTTTTCTAGTTTTTGAGTTGATAGTCGAGACTAACTTAGGTAAGATAGTCTAACGATAAAATTGTCGCGATAATAAATATTTGGGAGTTGTAGATCTCAGGTTCAAATCTAAACGAGACTCATTGATGTTTCCAGAGGTATAAGACTGCTGGGGGCGAAACCACGTTGGCATCGAATTGAGTCTCCACGGATTTGCAAATCCCACATTTTATTTGGGATTTGACAATTGAAAGAAAAAAATATGAAATCAAATATCAAACAATGTACTATTCCAAATTCATCATAAATCCAAAGGTTTTAAAAACTCAAAACCCTCATTTTCAATCCATCAAGCAAGATTTCTAAATAATACAAAGATTGTAACTCTACGAATAGTTGAAAAAAGATTTTAAAATGTTTGTTGTCTTGGTAACTGTGATTGTTAATATTTCTTGAAAAATAAAAATTCTAATTTTTTTTATCAAATTACATGTTTACCCTCAACCAAGTGAATCAGAGTGACTCGAGAAATTTTAAAAATGGGTTCGGATATTCCGTGAGATAAATAATGAAAAATAAAGAGAACAAATAGAATAAAAAATCTTAAAAATCAAGATGTAAAATCTCTCTAATTAGAAGAGATTTGATATATCTAGATTTTAGAGATTTAATTTTTTTGAAGTTAAAATCCATGATACAAAAGCACAAAAAAATATAACTCTCTACTGAACCTAAGAATTCAATGAATCCATGACCCACATTTTTTTATCAAAAGGCCAACTCATTTAACCGCTAATGACTCAACATAATTTGCTGACGTGGTTGTCATTTATTTTCCATGTCACCAAATAATGTGCCCATATTTTTTTTTTATAAAAAAATTCTTTTTCTGGGGATTTTTTAAATTAAAAAAATCAAATACAATTTTATGTGTGATATGGCAGCCACATCATCAAAGCACCGATCCATGGATGTTCTAATTAGGCTAACCACGTAGGAAAATAGAAAAACAATGATCTATTTTTTCCTCAATTTATTTATTTTTGTTTGTTCTATTATTTTATTTTTGATGCGGTTTGCTAATTATAATTGCAAGTAAATTGCATTGATATAGATGCAATGAAATTAACATTAGTGTAATCACAGTAATTGTTGAGGTAACAATAGGCTCCATGTATGAAATTGTTTTTGCAATTGCATTTGTGAATGACCTATTTATAAAATTTTGGATCATTTGTAGTATTATTGAAAGCTAGGGCTAAATCTTTATATTTGTACAATGTAAGCGAGCTGACTTTGCGGTCGCAGTCCATGAGTCGCGGCCGCGATCTTCCTCGCACTCAAATAATGTTGTGGCCCTGATACAACTGGGAAAAGTCTTTGTTTCTCCCTGACTTCTTCCTCGTGAAGTTCGCATCCTGAGCCCTCCAATTCGCAGTCGCGATCTGGGGCTTCTGGGCCGTGATCTTCAACTTTAGTTCGCGGTCTATGTTCCCGGACGTGATCTTTAGCTTCCAGGCCACGATCTTTAGCTTCATGTCCCCTTGCTACACTTGTAACAGTGTTTTGTACCTAATTCGCACATATCGTCTAATACACCCTAAAATCACATAGGATTCACATAGGAACGAAAGATGGATGCAATCGACGATGTTCAAGCAATTATGCACATGAATTGGCACGAAACACACCTTAATATGGGGGTTAAATAACGCTAATTTAGGTGTTATCAATTGTAAACTTTCCCCGGCAACGGCGCCAAAAATGTTGACTCGTTCCTAACTACACAAATAAAATCTCGACTAGAGCCCAAGTATAAACTCTAGTAGGGTGTAGTATAGTGCAAGTGTTTTAAAATGTCAACCTGAGTCGGTCCATGTACTCCTACTTCAACTGTTTAAAACGTTATCTAGCTATCAGTTTTGAGTGAGAACTAAAAGCTAGAATTTAAAGCAAGCAAGAAATTAAATTGTTGTAGATTCTATATGAGAAAACTTCACCCCAATGTTGCTCCCCTCACGTAGCAATAATTAGAACTTTAGTGCGAAACAGTGTGTTCTTATACCGCGAGATTGGCGCAACTAGT